TCTATAAGACTTGTGAGGAGAAATCACGTATTTTAAAAAAAAAAGAGTAATGTGAAAACTTTAGAAATGAAGAATACACATAGAGGGTGTGAGACATCATGTAAATATTATTCTTAGATGAATATTCATAATTGAAACATCTTGTAAATATATCTATGAGTGAAGAAGTGACAAAGATGTAAATCGAAGAAGTGAAGTCTAAATTATTATTCCAAGGAATGTTTAAATATTTAAGTGCTTGACATCATTCTGAAATGCTTAATATAAGAATCTAAAGTGTCTAAAGGTGCATCATTTCTAATTGTATTTTTTATGTATTAAAAATATGATGTTTGAGATTTGTGAATTTTTATTTTCATAATTTCATTGTTAAGAGACTAATAATGATTTAAGTTGGGGGGTATAATAAGTCTTCATTATCATGAGTTAAAAATTAGTAAATAATATAGCTTTAGCCTTTACTCATGATAAATAGACTTATATTTATGTTAAAAATATGAAAATTAGTTTTAAATTGATTAATGTAATTTTTTGGCTAATGATGTAATTTTTTACAAATTTATATAATTTTTATAGTCTTATTTTTGAGATAAATAAAAAAAGAAATAAAAATAAAAAATATAACAAAATGGAAAGGACTCGCCAGCTAGCTGAGCCCACAAGTGGGTTGGAAGTGCAGTTGGGGGGAGCCACAAGTAGGAACTCGAGCGGCTAAAAATCGATGGGGGCACGTGTGTATCACTCTCCTTCCACATCATCGATAGCTAGCCAATTGTGGGGCAAGGAGTGGTCATATATTGAGAGAAAGGGACTCATTACTAGCAAATGTGATATTACTATGTATTCATCAAAAACTTCAGCACACAAGGGATGTGAGACTAAACCCGCATCACGCCTTCCTCTGAAAGGCTTCGAAGGTTTAAATACCTAAACTACCCCTTCGTTATAACAAAGATATATCATGATGACTCACTTAATAAAGATATTAGAGTACTTATTTCAATCTCTCTCATATAGGCATACAACTAGTGCGAGTTTGAATCTTCCTAGAGTCAAAACTCATATTTTTATTTGATTATCACGACTATTCTACAAATCACCGATGAAGGATTAAGCTGCTAGAATCAGATAAAAATATAAGTTTTGACTCTAGGAGAATTCAAACTTGCTGGTTGACTGACTACATGAGAGAGATTGAAATAAATATTCTAATGTCTTAATTAAGTGATGTTATCATAATATATCTCTGTTATAACGAAGGGGTAGTTTAAGTATTCAAATCTTCAAAGCCTTTTAGGAGAAGATGTGATGTGGGTTTAATCCCACATCACTTATGTGCCAAAGTTTTGGGTGAATATATAATAATATCATATTTGCTAGCAATAAGTCTTTTTCTCTCGTGTGTACAACCACTCCTTGTCTCATAGTCGGCTAGTCACCAGTGACATGGAAGAGAAGTGATGCACACGTGTCCCAATTGGTCTTTAGCCGCTCAAGCTCCTACTTGCGGCTCCCTCTAATTGTGCTTCCGACCTGCTTGCAGGCTTGATTGGTCGACATGTCCTCTTCATTTTGCTATATTTTTATTTTAATTTCTTTTTCTTTATTTATCTAAAAAATAAGATTATAAAAATCATAGAAATTTATAGAAAAGCACATAATTAGTCAAAAATTTATGTTAATTAATTGAAAACTACTTTTTATATTTTAACATAAATATAAGGCTAAAACTATATTATTTACTAATTATTAACTCATGATAATGAAAACTTATCAATATCACAATATATCACTTCAATTGTGACACATAAATACTAGATGAATGTTTGTGATAAGAGAGATACCTAATTGATAAGTAATTAATACCATGTATCATCTTAAAGGGATTGAAGAAGAGAAGACTCAATTTTTCATATGGTTGACAAGTAATGGATTACAACTGATAGGAACACAAGAGGAGAGACACTAAATTACCCACAACAAACTCGATATTTCATCATTTTGTATTTGCATAGAGCTTCATTCACACTTGAACTTAGATAAAATGAGATTTCAGTTGGTCCAACATAGAATCGTGTTCTTGTAATATATGATCCACACTGTCCAATCTGGTCAATTGGGTGGTGTGTCATGCGAGAGTTAAGGGATGTCTTTCATAAGTGACATTGAAGGGAATGGAAGCTTGTATTCTTTTTACCTAGGTCAGCCTTTGGAACTATTAGCGGGGCCAATTGTTGATGAAGTAATATAGATAAGTTTTGAATTTGCAATCCATCACCTATAGTTGTCCACTTGTCTATGAATGACAAGCACTAGTCAATCATAATGTCATACCTTGAAGTTTGAATAGTTATCACAAAAAGTAGTTCATAAATATGTGATCTTGGTTGGTGAGGATTGAGTTGAAAAACTATATAAACAGGAAATATTGTGAATGATTTTTTTTGTGATTTCAAGTGTTGTAAGTATATGTCGAAGGGGAGAAAAAAATGTAAGTACTTGCCTAATTGATCAACCACTATGAGTAAAGCATTGAATATGTTGGAATGGGTAAGCCCTTCAATAAAATGTATGTATATGTCTTCTTAGATATCTTTTTTGAATAATAAGAGGTTGAAGAAAACCAATTGAAGAGAGGGAGTCTGACTCATTTTTAGTAGATGAAACATACAATCACATATTTCTAGATGTAGGTTTTGATGTCCATATATTGCACATTTTGACATGTTCATTTATAAATATGTAAGAAGCCAAAATGTCCACTTATAGCCAAATTTTAGAATTCCTACAAGATTTTGGGTATAAAAGCAATCTTTTAGGAACAGAAATCATTCCTTATGATATAATTGATCACGATGAAGTGAGTATTTGAGCCACTTCTCGAGGTGAAGTGAAAGTTCATTTAGAATGGTCATCAATTGAGGATCAATGATATTCTCTCATCAAATTAGGTCTATATCTAATAACTCATATTAAGATAAACCCAATACTTGAAGCACAACTTGTTCTAGTTTTTAGGATTAGATGTCTATGCCCTTATCGTTAATACCCACTTTGTATCTTATTTCAAAATAAAATTAATAATCTTAGACAACTAATTTTAATAGTCAAGTAAAAATTGGCATTGCTCTAAGATAAACTACAATTGCCTAGGACCAAAAGAGGGGAAGGGAGGGGAACCTGTCAAGAGCATGAGGAGGAGCTAATGTTCGAAGGAGATTGGAGAGGGGAAAAGAGCACGATCTTGTTGGGAAGATAAGGATATTTGACTTCACTAGTGGACTGCTCTTTTTCAAGAAAACATGGTTGGACACATTCACATGTGATCGACGAACAGAATTCTAACACATATTTCCACGTGGCACGTAGGGCATAGTGGAAATTTTAAATTAATACTAATATCCTTATTTATTAAAATAATAGGTTTTTCCAAATAAATTATTTATCAGAATAATGAAATCCAATGTAGACCCATTTGCCATTATGGGCAGACATCCAGTCACCAGGTATCTTAAGATGGCAAGCACCAATGGACACCGTGAAGATCTGTCAACAAACCCAGATGAATACAGCCACATGCTGATTACTCCATCGACTTGCCTAGAAGGAACATGACAAGTCACAGAATTGTAATAATAAACGAAGCAGTTTAATGTTTAAATAGTCTTTTCGCCAGTCCAAACCATGATTTCTATCTAGGTGAAATGACATAGCCGGAGATCATGAAAGAAAGGAAAACATAAGTAGAAACTAGGCAATAGAACCAGCTCTCCCAGGCAAACGCATACATTATTATATTATGAGATTCCTCTCCAATGGAGAAAAAAATAATCCAAGAACTCTCTGTTGGTTAATCAATGAGGGAACTATTCCATTATCATTTCTGCTCCGCGCTAATTCTATTCTGAATAATTTTTTCAAAATATTTCCCAAAACCTTTGAGCATAGCTACGCCGCCCATCCCCATCCCGGGCATCATAACTGTCATTGCCGGCATCTCGTCTATCCCCAGCTTACTCCTCAGAAGCTCCGTCAAGTCGGCGACCTCGAGCAGAGTGAGCCCCGATATCTCGTCCACGACCGATGAGACCCTCTCGTGGGGCACGGAGGTGCAGAAGCGGAAGCAGGCGGCGGATGCTCTGAGCCACCACCGCTGCTGCAGAGGCGAACTCTCGGTCGGAGACAAGGACCTTCCACGACCCAGATCGTGGGGCCGCGGAATATGGAGGTGTCCCAACGCCATGCGTTGCCTTCGAGTTTTGATGAACAGAGTTGATGGCCGATGCCGAAAAGCGAACGAAGTAGCAGACGCCTCATTCTCAGACACAGGGAGAGAAGGAAAAGTAGCGGAGATGGTCAACAGCTCGGAGAGAGGGATGTGTGGAGAGTAAACCTTCAACTGTGCTCTCGTCTGCGTCTACATTTCTCATCGATGTTCAGGCATCGCATGGCTAGTCCAGCATCCTTTTAGGTCAATAGGCTTTTGGTCCAGCCGAAATCAAGTACTCTCTAAATGGGGGTCGGGCTTTGGGCTTCAAATCTGATAAAATGCACAAATAAACAAAATAAGTTTGTGATATTCTAATTGGTTGAAATAAAATGGGTTTATTCGCCAAAAGCCCGAAAGTTGGTGTTTATCAAAGTAATATTTAATTATAAATATTAAGTGCGTAGCAAGCTCACGCCGCGCTCAGGGATTTCGTAAGACAAGCATGCGATATGAACTCGATGAGTTAACGACTCATTGACTCGGTAACTCGGTGGCTTCTGGACCGATCCGCAACCGTCAGTCGTCTCTATCCCAGATAGAGAGAGAACGAGAGAGAGAGAGAGAGAGAGAGGGCCCCTTGCTTCTTCGTATCTAAGATTTTTTCTTGTGTTCATTCTCATCATCGAAGTCCGGGTCTTCGTTCTGGACCTTCCTTCCACTCTCAGATTTTTCCGTCTGCAGGCTTCGGAACAAGGGGAGGGAGAGGGGTGGAATCTGGGGAGGAGTGGCCATGTCGGCGGCCGTGAGATCGAGGTCGATCAGGCCAGCGGTGGTGGCTGGGTTGGCTTCGGCTGCGGTACAGTCCATGCACTTCCCGGCCCAGGGGATGTACGCCGGCAGGATCTTCGATCTCCAGCGGAAGTCCTGGAGGAGGTGGGACGACTTATGGAAACGGAGTATCTTCCAGTCTAGCTTGTCGAAGGTTGCCTCGTCTCATACAGAGGTTGTCAATGGAGGGGACCCTCTTCCAGGTGTTTCTTCGTCGGAGAGCACCGGGAGGACGTCGGGCGATCCACCTGAGATCTGGCAGCAGCCTGGTGACTCGGGGATTTCCGTGCCGTCTGGAAACTTATCGGGTCGAATCAACGTAATCAGAGTGGGTGTTGGAAGAGGTGTTGGGGGCGGCGGAGGGGGAAACTTGGGGTCGACGGGTGGAGATGGGAGTGGCTCGAAGGAGGAAGGATGGGGCGGTGCTGGTCTCGGGAACGAATTCCCAACACCGAAGGATGTATCCAAGGAGCTTGATAAATTTGTTATCGGACAGGAGCGTGCGAAGAAGGTAATATGAGAATCCTGGTATGAAAACCAAAAAAGTAAGAAAAGTGAAGAAGATACAAATCACGATCTCCACGTCCCTGTGATTTGATATTAGCTGTGATCCTATTCATGAAATATGCTCTTATTAGTTAAATATTTTGCATCAATTAGCAAATTTCTAAGCTATCGAAATATTGGACAGAGGAGCAATCTCAGTGTTGCATTATTTCCCTTGTGCATGTTATACTCTTGATTTTTAGCACCCTTGTGTAGGCTACACACGTGATTTTTAGCAATGGAATGCTTTTCATATCTTCTATCACGTATTTTGATCATCTAGGTGAACAAGCACCATTGAGGAAAGTGTATGCATGAATTCTACTGCATTTTTTATAAAATAGTGCATTGCCAGTGCCATGTGGATTCAATTTCAAGATAAAAATGGAATTTTAAATATGTGAATTATAGGATCGATTATTTTTAATCCTCAGCACAACTTTCGTTTTATCAATAGGATTTATTGTTGCTATAAGTTAGATTGATTTCTTCATTCTAAGCTGCTATTCGAGCATGTGTGGTGGACAAATAATTACAGCAAAGTATCAAAAGGCAGTGATAGCTTTTCTTGTCAAATGGTGTGGTCACATATTGCTCGTTGTGCAACCTCAGAAACATCTTGCTTGAGTTTGGCTTCATCCAAGTTAGAACTTGATTTTTTTCTCAAAGGGACGGCTCTGGTCTCCAAACATAGTATGCAAGCTGCATTTCTAATGAATAATATAGTTTTTAATTTTTTCAAATAATATACAATGTTCATCAGGTTTTAAAAAAATCATCATCTTGTATTTTAACGTACTCCGTTATGCTTGTGTTGGGGACAAACAAATTGGTTCAGTTCTTTATACCGTAGGACGGGGAATTTGACTAAATTTTCTTCCTGCAGGTACTCTCCGTAGCTGTGTATAATCATTACAAAAGAATCTACCATGAATCTTTGCCAAAATGGTCAGACTCAGATTTTGGTTTATGATCCAATCCGATTTAATCTTTTTTTCCTATTTTTTTTCATCAGCATGATTACCATGAAGTGCTTCACCACTAATTGGTATGAATTATGGGTGTCATTATTCTTGCTTTTGTTGACTTTTATGGTTTTTGTCATGATGCTTAATTCTAGGTCCGCAGGAGATTCAAGTAATGATATCACTACTGGAAATGACAGTGATATGGTGGAGCTGGAGAAAAGTAATATTCTTTTAATGGGTCCAACAGGATCAGGTATCTTCATCTTTGTATATTTATCAAATTACATAGTCAACTTTAAATGTTCCAACGTGAGTTATGCTGTATTATCGTATTATTAAACATGTTTCTCACTCCTTGTATTCATTTTTTCTTTTGCTGTGTTTAACCATTAGACACATGCGGCACAGTGGTGTGCCTTTATGTTTAATGTTTATTTATACATTTGCAATGTTTCTTAAGGACAGGGAAGACATTATTGGCAAAAACCTTGGCAAGGTTCGTGAATGTGCCATTTGTTATTGCTGATGCAACTACACTAACTCAGGCAAGTTTACAATCTTTCCAGCTAACATTTCTCTCGTGTACAAGCTGATGAATTTTTTTAATTTATATTTGATTTAAGTTAAAGGAACTGTTGCTCTGGATTGACAAGTGTAAACTAAGTTTTCACCAGATAATCCAAACACACTAACTTCTCCATCTCGTTCTAGTTTTGAAGGATTGAGGCTTAAGATTGTAGTCATCTTTGGGACTATCTTCTTGAATATTTATCGTATGAACTTCAGGAAATTGTATTTATTCAACATGAATTGCTTCTTTTTTGTTGCATTGTCAGTAGGGCATAAACTTGCAAGTCAGAAATATCAACTTATCAATTCAGACTAATGTTACTATATCATGTATATGGATTTCTTTGTAAGCGGTTATGGAAGGTGTGCACTGGACATTATGGTATTTGGTTATAAGTGACGAAACAAGACTGCATCAGGAGAACAGGAGGTTGCGATGTCAAATCAAATGCTTCTAGCGATCTCTCTATTGCATGTGGGAGACATTCTTTTGGTGAATGATGCGACAATGGCCAGGTCTATGTTTCTCCAGGCAGGAGAGAGAAATATTTAGGCTTTTGAAAAACTAATGGTGGAGGCTTTCATCACTAGAAGAGCGATTTCCTTCATGTGATGTCGTAGCAGAGAACACTCAAACCATAATGGCATCGATTTTTAACTCTTGATATGTGAGAAGAAGCTAGTGTCTGAGATTGAGAGATTGACAGATGTAGAATTTTCAGCTTGATCCACTACTTGCCCTTCTTGTCTAAATATCAATTGATGCGCTAGAGATGTATGCATGGAGATGGAAATAAGACAATAATGGAGACTTACTATTTGATCTTCGTACAATTTTATGTGAGACTGTGGAATGAGACGATGAATAACCTCTAATATCAGGTGATTGCCTTCCTCTTTGAAGATGAAGATCTTGTTCTGGAGGATACAACATGGGAGAGTACCAGCTTTTGATCTCCTTGCGCCCATTATCCATCATTTGAGGACTCCCTAGAGCCTGTGGGGAGGATGATCCATTAGATCACCTATTTGTTGACTGCTCGTTTTCATTGGATATTCAATGGCATATCTCTGGAATAGTTGGGGAGCGGTGGAGCAGTACAGCTAACCTCAGCATTTGATAGTTGTAAAAGATTGAAAAAGTAGGTTCCTCGTAAGGAATGTTACCCTTCTGACAGTTTGGAATGAGAGGCGCGTTATTTTTACCACCTAGGCTTTTTTTTAGAGAGGTTTCATCTCTTTGAACTAACGAGGATAATAGGCTCCGTAATTTTGTGATGGGGAAAGAATCAGTCCTCAGTTTTGAGGGGATCAGCGTTCTAGCTTTTTATGTACGAAACGTTACCAAACCGGGTGATAGTTTCAGAAAAGGCTTTAAGTTGTTGAAATCTCATCGACCTTGTATATTCCTCTCTTTTTTGTATTCTATGCATGTGGTACCATTCACTTCAAAACAAAAAATCATTTATAGATTTATATATCTATCTCTGTCCAAGGAAGAACCACTGTGAATAACCTAGCACTAACTAATAACCTAATTGATATCATTTTTCGAGCTTTCCCAGTCTAACGTTGAAACGTGGCATATAAATTTCAAATCCTAGGCATTGGCCTTCTTAGCCTAACACTCGACATAGGTCTACTAAGAAGTCATTGTCAAAGAGACATAGGCCTGCATCATTCCCAGCAAAACTCATCAAATCTGGCTGTCTTTTCAAGCTGCACATATTTCCTTGCCATGCTTTTTCTTGAATTTCATAGATTCGCGATGACTTGGAGCAATCATGAAGATAGCCATTTTTGGTTTGGTGCTTGAATTTAATTTCGATTTGTTGCATGCAGGCGGGATATGTGGGTGAGGACGTGGAATCTATATTATACAAGCTTTTAACGGTATTGTTGAGCCTCTCAGTTAAAAGTCATCAGTTATTTGTCAGACTTAAATGATAAAAAAATCTTCCTTTCTATGTAATTGTTTTCCAATTGAGAATTTTGGGCTTCTTTTGGTAGTTTCCATATCACTGTTTCTTGTCTGATGGTGGTGTCATTTAATATGCTGTTGTTTAGTGAGCGGCATTGAGTGGAAGGAATCTCAGCTGAAATAGTTTTGGCTAGGCTAACATCTTTTCTGTTTTTGATCCAGGTTCAAATGGTCAATGTTTGAAAAATTGTTATCATGCGGGGTATTTGCCAGAAAAATACATCCTTTAATGTGAAAACTTATATTCTTGATGAAAGGAATGGATCTGAAACGACTAAAATTGGGTTTTTTTTTGCATCATTTATGTCTAATATGTCTAATTTATGCAGTGCATTTTCATCAGAGTCCGACTGGTGCGAATGGCTATTTGCTATTGCAAGAATTAATGGATTCTCAGTTTAAGTACAAGGAGTTTGATTTTGTGTGAATTTTCAGAACAGAATTTCCATGACTGACTACTCCAGTGGCTGGTTCGGTTCTAAAGATTTTTGAAGAGGATTAGGTTTTTCTCTACAAACTTTAGCTAAAAAAATGTTAGAAACAAAGGAATGGAAAAGTGTATACCTAGTATTTGCTGATGAGGGGAGTCTACTCTCCGTTGAGTAGTTCTCTAAGGCTCTGAAATGTGGATGGTGGTTGCTTGTCTATCATGGTTGAAAAGTTGTTTGGTGAATCTTGGACGTGAAGGTGTAATAGCTTGGGAGATTATGAAACAATCGAGATGGCAGCTGTGGATTCCTTGGAGAGAAGATGTGACAAAACAGGGGGCGCATGTCTGAAGTAGACTGGTGGGCATTCAGTTCCACTTGTGCTCGCGGTCCTCTGTACCCTGATCAATAGATTGGGTTTTCTCATCTTACCCAGTTGTCATATTAGAATCCATTTATCAATAGAAATTAACCTATTCTTAATTACTTTCAAACTCTGTTATTCTGTTTTTTAAGAACGGTTCGGATTTACAGATCTTAGTCACTTTCTTTTTGTTTGCTAATTTAGAATCAGTTATCTGGAGTTTATTTCTTTAAATGTTGCCCTCCAGTACCGTATGTTCAGTTTTTCTTTCTTTTGTTTTTACATTTCAGTAATAATATGTTTCTAACCATTGTTGTTCTTAGGTTGCTGACTTCAATGTGGCTGCAGCCCAACAGGGCATTGTATACATAGACGAAGTTGATAAAATTACAAAAAAGGTTACCATGTGAAAATTTTAAGGTGCACTTATGTGGCATGTCAATAATATGTTTTTCTTCCTAATAGATTATGTTTTTTTTAATAGGCAGAGAGCCTTAACATCAGTAGGGATGTCTCTGGTGAGGGTGTTCAGCAGGCCTTGCTGAAGATGCTAGAAGGAACTGTGAGTTTGAAATTTTGGCATGCTCACCATCAGACCCCGTCTATATTACCTCATATGCTTTTTCTTTTTCCAATTTGAATTAATGTATTTAAATAAAAAAATCAGCATTCATGAAAAACGTGTGCTATCTCTCTTTTTTTTTTTTCTTGCTCTAGGTTGTTAATGTTCCAGAAAAAGGAGCCAGAAAGCACCCAAGAGGGGACAATATTCAGGTACATCGTTGTAATGTATTATACGCTTGAAAGAGTAAGCTACAAGTCCTTCTCTCTGAGAGAACCCCCAGGGGGGTGGTGTGTTGGAAGGGGGGGGCGGCTGGACTGTGATATGGGATAGTTTTCTATAAGGTATGGGTAATCTAATCTACAGAATAGAGTAGTGTGAGCCTGCTCGTACATTTGAACTTTCCTTGCGCAATAGCCACTACTGATCTTCAGCTCTTCATCCAGTCCTTTTTACTTTCATCCACCGGTCTTGGGAGGTTCTTTAGTTCTTTACTTTATGAAGTTTTAGAATAGTACTGTTTGGAAAGCGGGTTCCAAAGGCCGACTGCACACTATTTCACACTGTGGACTCCTTCGCAGATTATTATATATGCCTGGGTAGAGAATGTTTTTAAGAGGAGAAAGTATGTGCCCTTCTATATCTATTTCCAAGTTTTCTTCATAACAGCAGTATCGATTTCTAGTTTATTGCTTTGACAATTCTTGATATGCTACTTTGCAGGTAGATACAAAGGATATTTTATTCATTTGTGGCGGTGCATTTGTTGATCTAGAAAAGACAATCTCGGAAAGGTCTTAGTTATCTGAAATGGTGATATAGACATCTTATTTTTTCCCTTCAATCTCGTAACGGAGAGTTGCTTATTTCCAGACGCCATGACTCATCTATTGGTTTTGGGGCTCCAGTGCGTGCAAACATGAGAACTGGTAACCTGACAAATGCGGTTGTGACATCATCTTTGCTAGAATCAGTAAGTAGCGGCAATAGTTTTCTGACGCCAAACTTTAACGTCTTTCTGACTATTGAAAAGTAATAGTACTTGCTATGTCACAACTTTATAGGTTGAAAGCAGTGATCTTGTTGCATATGGTCTAATTCCAGAATTTGTTGGAAGGTTTCCTATATTTGTCAGTTTGTCTGCCCTTAATGAGGATCAACTTGTTCAGGTAGCTTCCTTTCTCCACCGTAATGCTCTATCTTCGATGGTTTAGTCTGTTGTTCTAGTTTTTAATTCATAGCCTTGTGTTCAGGTGTACTGATGCTAAAATTTGTGTCAAATGTATGCTGTTCCGAGCAAGGATGTTGTCATTTTGAAAATTATATGACTTTGCTGATGACTACTTCTTACCTTTAGTGATAAAAGGGTTTAGATAAAATAGCGAAGACGTTTCTTGTGGCCATTCTGTGATTAAATAATCAATGCTAGAGTGATCTAGCAGCTGTCTAATTTTCTCTAATCTTTTCTGTCTCAGGTCCTAACAGAGCCCAGAAACGCATTAGTCAAGCAATATAAAAAATTGTTTCAGATGAATGATGTAAGTTTTTTAGCTGAGAGAATGATAGTCAATTGTATGTTTTAACTTTTAGGGTACCTGCTTTCCACTTGTGAGTTAATAGGAACCAACTTTTGGCAATATCTTGGAAGAACAACTCAGTCATAGTTGTCAGTGTACCCTTTGTTTCAGGTCAAACTACATTTTACTGAAAACGCTTTGAGGCTAATAGCGAGGAAAGCTCTGGCAAAGAATACTGGTGCACGTGGATTGCGATCAATATTGGAGAATATCTTGACAGAAGCCATGTATGAGGTGTGCTAATTTTCATTTGTTTGCTAAAGACGGATATCCACAACCATATCATTTATGCATAACTAAAAGACGAGTCCAATTTCATCATATTTTTTGACAAGACCAAAAAACTTCTTATGCAGCATTGCCTTAGATTCTCAGCCTCGAATGTTCACAATCGGAATGTCTTGTTGATCTGATTATGTGCTTTTTATATGATCAGTTAAATGTCTCGCTTATCTCTTTGATGCCCGACGTAGCCTTTCATACTCCATGGAATGTTCTAGCTAGTTTTCTCGTCTAGTTTTTTTTTGGTGACGTCTTATCATCTTCTATTATCTATTTTTCTTGTAATACTCTTCGCTTTCTGGTATCAAGATCTTCTATTCCCCCACCAGCAGCATAACTTAGTTCCAATATCATAATCCTAGTCTAGGAACTTCTTAATGCTTTGTTATTCCAATTTTCTGAATCCGGATTTATTACGACTTGCTATGCATTCCTTTAAAACTAGTTAAATATTTCAAATGGTGTTAATATAAATTAGGGCACTAGGGGCTTGTTTTGTTTCCCTCATTTGACATGATAGCATTTTTCCTTAGGTTTCTTTTGCCGGAAATACTAGAAAAATAGAGGATAAGTTGAAATCTGTCGCATAATGGGTGCCTCGATTTAATATTTTAACCTCATAAAAATTTATGTTATGATAAATATATATCTATTATAAGAATGTTAAGTAGTTAATAAATGTAAGGTAATATTGAAAAAGTAATATAAAGTAGTTAATAAGTGCAAGAAATGTAAAACTACATTAAGTATAACTATTTATTTTTCTACACTAATATGTATGATAATTCCATTTAAGAAACTTTTTCTTATCCTGTTTTCATTCTTATCTTCTTTCTAATTTCTAAAACTAAAATAAAATAATAAGAAGTTTTTATGAGTTTGCGACTCTAACTGATTTCATGATAAAGTCTATTCTTAAACCCTGGAGTCTGGATCTTTTTCTTCGCCTTCTGTTATGATGTAGCCTTAGCCACGAACTGTTGTTGTCCAGTCTGATCCTAATTCTTGATCTTTCATAGATTCCCGACACCAGCACAGGGAAAGACAGAATAGATGCCGTTGTGGTTGAAGAGGAGTCCGTCAGATCCTGGGGATCAGGGGGGCGTGGAGCTAAAATCCTTTATGGAGAAGGTGCACTGGAACGGTATCTTTCTCAGCAGAATGAGGGTGAACCAGTGGTATGTGCTAGTGACTCCCACAATACAAGCTTGGCAAGCTTCTTCTTCGTTCTTCTGCTGACTTTTGTTAAGATTTGTATCTATCATACATATAACTATATATTATCGCATTTATGGATCATTCAATGGGCATGTAATTGGAGTTCATGCCCAGAGTAGCATACCCCTTTTTATTTCTTCATGAAATTATTGCCTCTTGCTCTTCTCTCGTCCTTTAAATTTAAAGTAAAGCTTCCCCATATGGTACACCTTCCCTCTCTCTCCCTCCCAAACCTGAACAGTTGAACCGTTGACTTTTGAGGTGGGATCTAACTTCCTCCTGCTGTCCCCTCTAAATTTGGTTGAAAAATTCATTAGTCAATCAGAATGGGGGTCTGATGCATTCAATCTTGAAGCATCATTCGACCATCTTTCATTTATGTTTCCCAAGGTTACGATGATTCAGGTCTTATCAAGCTTCAAAATGGTTCTGTTGGAAATCTGTAGGTTGCATATTCTTGCTTAGTACTTGTCTAATTTACATCTGATTCGATTTCTTAGTACTCTTCGACCTTATACAAGTTAGAAATGCATGTTATTGTGTTACAGAGAGAACCTGAGCTGGAATCGGAGCCTGTTTCCAGAGTTGCTAGCATGTAAAACCATACCATCACAGCTTACAGTAGCACCTGTAATGAGTAAGTCCTCTGTTTATGCTGTAACTCTGCTTCATGGACTCAATCCAGATTTGTACAACTGCCCAATAGTTTTATTACATGTGTGATACCTGGCTTAAGGTCACCAATGAATTCAACTATTTCCCCATTTAGAAAGTGCTTCAGAGCTAGATATGACCTCCTACTGGATTCCGGTGGCACCTGACGTGGGCACTTTTGTTAATTAAAAAAGGAGAGGGATAAAAGTGCAATCCTTTGGAGTTGAATGGGGCTTCTGTTGATAGGGAGATTATTTTGACGGAAAAAAAAAGGGTTGTGGGAATCATCGGCTCTTTAAAATTTATTTTTAATTTTTTTCTGTTTTTATTAGTAAAATTCAATGGATTTTTGTGCTCATGTATTAAGTCGCACTCTCTTTTTTTGTTTTTTTTTTCAAGTCCCCCAAAAGTGATACTCTTTCTCGGCACCCTCAACATTATTAGAAAATATAAGATGGATATTCCCACGGGCTTCGTTCAGAAGCAAAGATAGGAAGGGAGGACGATGGCAGATTCAATGATTTCATTGTTATTATTGAATTGTGAGAATAAGAAAAAGAATAAAAAAACCAATTGTCACACCGGCAAGAGAGGCCAATTGTTCATATGATGTAAAGAGTGTAAGTTAAAGATGATGAGGATTTTTTTCGAAAAATGATGATCTCTTGAGAATTTTTAAAACAAAATGGTCTTTAGTCTTTTGGATGAGTATTCTTGAGACCCCCGCCTAAACATCTTCCCAAAATGCCCTCTCTAGGACCAATACCTCTCGGATATATATATATATACTCTCTCTCTCTCTCTCTCTCTCTCTCTCTCTCTCTCTCTTACTCACTCACTCACTCACTCTAATTTGGTACCAAAAATTTGATTCTTGAAGGCCGCTGCTATTAGATTACCTGCTCACAAATACCTGCTCGTACACCATTAATGTGTGCTAAATCTCTCAACCGTCAATGCCTTTTTTCTTGAAGTATCATAAAAATTGCTTCCTAGGTTGAGAACAATATTAGAGTTATTGAACGAAATAGGAAAGTGAAATCTTGCATCATTCAACAAGAATTACACACAATGGCAACTTAGGAAGCAAGACTTGTCAACAGCACACCCATTGGACACCCGGCATTGGATTATTAGCTCATAAATCAATAGTAAAATCAATAAAGAGACATGAACAAATTTGCAAGTCTCAAGACATGTGCGGGGATTATGATTGTTGAGTAGCCAGATTTGATTGTGTAATACAGTCTTAGAGTGATTGTGGACCTATTGAGGGGGATGTGGGACAGTCAAGAGAGGTTCTCTGCTAGACAAGTGAAGTTAATTGAATTAGAACTGCAACAAGGGTGCGCCTACAGGATCATAAGCACTTCACAAAGCAAATGATTTCATGCATAGTCAATGTTCTTTGGTCTTAATGTCAACTCCTTCACATGTATGTTGACAATTTTACTCAATGATTGGGTCTACTTCTGTCATGTGAAGGATCACGTAGATAATGGGAGAGCCATGCATGAGGCCTAGTGACTAGGAGAAGAAGACTAGCTCACCTGGGTCCTTAAGCTGTGTAGAAGTCAATCGAGTCTTTATTATTATTATTATTATTATTATTATTATTATTATTATTATTATTATATCTATAATTCATTTTAAATCTAATATCAAAAATGAATTTACTTGATGAAAAGTTTCAGGTATAGCATGATTTCACTATTTAAAGACGTGACGTTTTGGTTGTCAACCTTCAATTACTGACGATTAGGGTTTTTGGGGGAGAGCTCGTCAACCTTGAATTTATCCTCTTGTTCCTTGGTTTTTCCTCACGTCCCCTGATTTCCTCCCCGTTTTCTCTTCTTCCTCCCATCCACCCCACCTTACTAGCTGCGTCCCACACGCCAAAAGTCCCCTGGCATTTGCCGACGCCAAATTGCCATCTGTACCCCAATTTGGGAACTTGAGAACACACCCCATCATCCCTCATGCTCGGAGCATGGCCTTATATTACTTATTATTGAAGTATAGTTTGCCCTCAACATTGACCTATATTAATTATTTTGTGTGATTTTAAGCATGAACTTATAGGATTATTGATTTATCCTCTATTTAAGTAAAATAATAGATCTCCTATTTAGCAGCTCTCTCTCTCTCTGACTCTCTCTCTCTCTCTCTCTCTCATAATCTTAATTACTTGATACCTTTCAAATTAATACAATTTGAGTCCTATGTGATTATATTATTTTTTTAATACTGCTTGGATTTATCATGAATTAGATTTTAGTACTATAGCTCGAGTTAGGTTATGGTGCATAGCAAATCAGATTAAAAAATCTCATTCCATGTTTTATGCCTACTTTGTCGTCATAATTTAAGTCTACCATAGCTTGCATTGTTATTATTGCACCAAGTACCCATAAGTGAGGTTTGATCTGAAATTCAATAACAATCCATACTAACTTATTTACACATAATTATAAGATTATGACTCAAATTGAGCGATTAATGAGACTAGGGTTCGATGGGTTAGTGATCCTAGGTGCAGCTGATGATAACCCAGATTGAGAGTGCTTAGATGCTCATCTTAGGACACACTTAGGTCACTTAGCTCATTGAAAACCTCATTAGACATCAAACTTAAAGGTTTTAAGGTGAGCTAGTAGTTTTGATGCTTCAATTGATATTAATAAATATGATTATCTGAGACTCGGTATGAATCTTTATTTCGAGTGAGTGATGTGTTGATGCTCATAACTATGGTTATTTGATGCCTCACTAAGAGGATAAGGGATAGATGCTTTCATAATTGGTCAACACTTTTCTCCCATAGCTGATCAAGATGGAAGTTGGCATGACGGGCAACCCAGCTCTATTTCATGGGAGAGATCAGGGAAATGGACAGGCTCAGCCAACTTGAAAGTTTCATTATCCTCGTTGACTTCTAAGAGTTGACATCACAGGTACGTAAAATAGTGGCATTAGGAGGTAATTATGAATTAAAAAACCAAATCAAGAGAGTAATTAGGATTAATAGATAAAATTAATCTCCTAAACTGTAAACAAGGAATGAAAAAAAAGGACTCAAAAGAAAGACTCAAGTGAGTTGGTCTTACCCTCTTAGCTACAAGGCTGTTGGTATAGTCCTCTCAGCAAGACAATGCTCCTCAGAGATGCTCCGTCATTCAGGTTCCGCTTTAATCATGATCTATAAGAACATCTATGAGAACATCACGCACAAAACTAGGTAACTTCATGTTTCATAAAGAAAGATAAATATTTTTAAATTATCATCTTCAATGCTGATAAAAGGGGCATGATTTTAAATCTCAGCTGCAAGATATGCAAGGGATAACCTCATAAACCCACTTTAAACAACTCAGGATTCTCTGAGTTCATGTTGTTCACTCACGCCATGAATTTACACTTTTGTATAATCTCTGAGCACTGGTTTGAGAAAAAAAATGGAAACAAAAAACTAGGGGAAGGGTAGGGATTCCAAATCGGGAGTCTTCAGGGAAACAAGTTGGCTGTCGGGCAAAAAGTCAACTGACCTGGTCAAACAGGGTAGATGTTAGAATATGTGGTTGTCACATTTTGCTCGCTGTGGGAAAAGAAAAGGGAGGAGAAAGTGGTCAAGAGAAGCCTTGTCAGAGCATGGAAGCTAGGAAATGACTCCAGGAGGAAGGGAAGCCAGAGAAGATGGAAGATCTCCAGGGTCAAATCTATCATCTTCTTCCTCTCTAGCCGATCCTCAGAGGATCTCAAGGGTCCACCTTGAAGACGTTGTTTGGTGGAATCCTCCTGCAACTCTCCCCCTTTCCTCCACTTCACTGCCGACAGTGATGTGGTTGCTGTCTTCAGAATCTATTGCCTCCATGGAGCTCCATCTTCAAGCCCAAGAGCTGGCCTGGAGCGAATGCCACCTCTGGGAATATGTCCTCTCTGACAGCAAGGTCCTCACCACCAATGTCAACCAGAAACTCTGCCCCAAGCTCATCTGCCTCATAATTTCCAGACCATGAATCATGTAAGATCGGTGGAACGGAGAATGGCACTGCTCTGCTTGATGAGCTCCATGGAGGGGAGCAGTCGTTTGAGTATGCTGAAGAAGGGTGTCAAGAAGGGCCAGAGAAAAGTGAAGCTGCATTCCTGGAGACTGTCCCTGAGACCATGGATCGTCCTTGTGATGAACTTGCTCTGAAGATCTCTCAGCACCTTCCTTTTTTGTTCATATACATAGGAAAGAGGAAAGGTTTATGCTGCGGATAACTAATGAAAACTATTAATCTCCAATTAACTAATTTATTGAAGATCAGATGATCATCCGATATAATCTCATAGCGATCACCATAAGGTATATGCTGCGCATGGGAATTCAACATTCTTTGAAGAAAAGGAGCATTGAATCAATCACCATTGGATGGACCAAGATCAATAATTGAAGCCTTAAAACTCCAGGTGATGAAAAGACTGAGGCAATGGACTGTAACAAGCAGTACTGAATTCTTTGAGCAAATAGGCCCATACAGTTCCTACTTTTCCCCCAGTAGAGAAGAATCATCGATACGTCCATGAAGCAATGGCCTAAATCGACTGCATCATCTCTCTTCGCTAAACCTGCTTCTTTAAACTGCATCATCACTCTCAATCCCGTGACTGTCCTGGATCCCATACATAAGCTCCCTAAAAGTCCGGCCATCAACGAGATCCTTCTCCTGAAACTCCCTCAACAGAGCTACAGCATCCCCCACCCTTCCATGCCTGCACATTTCTTCGAGAACAGTCCGGTATGTGATAAGATCGGCTAACCTACCCCTGCTCCCCATTTCCCAGAGGATCGCCACTGCCTCGTCCATCTGCCCAGCCATTGACAGAGCACAAACAAGCGAATTATACACCTTTTCACTGGGGATGAGGCCCTTGTTCTTCATCTCTATATACAGCTCCTTGGCATTCTTTGTGCGGCCTTGCGCGCACAGCCCATGCACCAGGTAATTATAAGAATGCTCGTTCGGAAGGCACCTGTAGACGACGCCCATTTGGTGGAATACGCGGAGGGCATCGTTGATGTGGAGCGAGAGAACGTACCCCTTGATGATGGAGTTGAGGGTGAAGATATCAGGCTCGATCCCAGAATCCACCATCTGCCGAAACAGGCACCGGATGGTGTCCATGTAAATGTAGTTGATGTATGAGTTGTTCCCTTTGCCCAGCAGCGCTGCAAAAAGCAGATTGTACGTGGAGAGCGTGGGGCGGCAGGCAGCGGCAGCCGCCGAGTCCCGCATGCGCTTGAAGACGTTGACTGCCTTGGACAGCATGCGAGCCTCTGTGTAGAAGTAGATCACGGTGTTGAAGAGCTCCTCAGACGCAATACAGGTAGCCGAGAGGGCTTGGACGATGACCACGTCCATCTCCTGGTACATCCTGGCGGCGCCGAGTTTCTTGATGGTGATGAGGTAGGTGGAGGCATCGTGCCTGAAGCGGGGCTGCAGGGAGGCCCAGTTGAAGATGTTTAGGCAAAGGATGGGATCCCGCTGGAGTTCCAGCATCCCCGAGAGATCATCCGAGGTGAACCTCGGAGGGAGCTGATCAATGCAGCACTGCAGGCGGGACGGATCGGGAGTAGGAGGAAGAGATGGAGCTCGGCGCGATTCGGATTTTCGCTTGCTAGGGCTCCAAGATCGAGGACGAGGCGCTGAAGAGAAGCCGCTTGACTGGAGCTGTGAGCAGACAACCTCAGGTTTTAGGGTTTTGCTTCCCCTCTCGATCCTCCCATAGATGGAACGGAGATCCCTCGGAATTTTTCTGGCCACGGCAACCCAATTCATCATAAATCAATCGCCCTCGTGGAAAAGCGGCAACTCTTTTGTTCCTGAGCGAGCCAGAGCTATAGAACCAGCGAGAGCAGGAGGGAGAGAGAGAGAGAGAGAGAGAGAGAGAGAGAGAGAGAGGAGAGAGAGGTGCCAGTGAGCTGGCCCAAGGGGACAAGATGAAGTCCAATAATGTATTAATGGGCCACGCCCAAGAGGAGAAAGCTCAAGGGCTGGGAATTTCTCCTTTAGACCCACAGTCCGCCCAGCCTACTGCGAGGGGTTTCAAGCTCAACTGTGGGACCCACAGTGGAAATTCCCAAATTGGAATCCACTTGTCCACTTCAAGCTTGGAGGGCCCGAAACGGGCTACTTAAAAGCCCAAAATGGGCCCGCTGACAACGGCTAACCTCAGCATAATATCAGCGACGCCTCTTAAGAAAAAGGGGAAAAGGCGGCAATCATACTTACCGACGGGTCAAAGTCAACTCAGCGACAACTCTGTTGTCGACGGGGTAGGCGTCAAATTTCCGGGCCCGGTCTCTAAATAAAGCCCATAATGAAAAAAAACCCGGCCTGGGCCCGTCAGGATCGGGCTCGGGCTCAATAGAGTCCAATCGGGAAGCCCGACCTTCATTTTTCTCTTCACACGGCCGCCTAAAATAGGTCACAAAATTAGCCTGGCCTGATAATTGAAGTATTTTTTATGTTGACCAGAACATATTAAGAGTAATTTAGATATTTCCATAAAAGTGAAAATGCATGTGTGATTCTGTAGTTCCAAGATTAAATAAAAGGATGAGAAATTATTTACTTAGAATTTATTTCTTGATTAAAGGAGGAGAAATAAAGTTATTATCGGGACTAAATATATATATATATATAATTGGGGCATGAATAAAACTGAAATGAATTTGAAAATGGGCTTTTATTTAAGGTTTATTGGATAATGTTGTACTAAATTTCGGGTCTCTTAATAACTTCGGGTAAATACTGGAATTTGAATGGATTGTTTTTTTTTTTTAACAACGCATCAACTTTGCTTTGAAGCTTCCTTCAGAGACGGGTCAAAGTCAAGCTTAGGTCAACCCTGTCTATTGACACCCCAACTAAGGCTGCACCATAAATCATCAAACCAAGGCATCAACTCTGTTCTGAAGCTTCCTTCAGAGACGGGTCAAAGTCAAGCTCAGGTCAACCCTGTTCTGTTGACACCCCAACCAATGCTGCACCATAAACCATCAAACCAAGGCATCAACTCTGTTCTAAAGCTTCCTTCAGAGACGGGTCAAAGTCAAGCTCAGGTCAACCCTGTTCTATTGACACCCCAACCAAGGCTGCACCATAAATCATCAAACCAAGGCATCAACTTTGCTCTCCGTGATTTATTTCCGCATGTATTTTCTCCCTGGCTAGAACTGCAGTAGTCGGTCAGCAGTTCAAATGATTTTCAATCGATTGGAAAATAGAAAAAAAAACACTAATTAATAAGAACATCTTGACTCATCTGAAGGTTTGATGTAAATCAAGAGTTTAGTACAGATAGACAGGTAGGTGTATCAACTCCAATGCTCGGTTGGAATGGTGACTCAGTTGACCCAACTCTCCAGTTTATCAGATGGCGGCCTAATCAGTGATATTATGGCCGTTAGATGTAATTGGAAGGTCAACGATGATCAATCAGGAGAGGAATCTGCAAACTCTGAACTAGCCCAGATGGTTATTGGGTGAGCTGCGACAATCATAATGTCACTGAATATGGAAGGCGGTGGCGGCCTCATTTGGGCGAGTCTGGGGATTCGTAGCCCCACGGGTTGCTGCTTGCCCAGTTCCACTGGTCCCTGCACATTTCATCTATGCCGTATTTTGCTCTACAAAAATTGAGTAAGAAATAAAGTCAAAACCGTAGCATAGAGTCGTCGCAGAGAGGGCATACAGATGAGATATATATATATATATATATATGATTTTCGTGGGGGGATTATTTTTAAGAAACAAGGAAAAATACAAGGAAAGGGGGGGCAATTACTCTCTAAGCTGCAATTAGGGGGGTCTAAGTAGCTGAGAGGGGTCAGAAATGAGATGCAGAATATACATATATATATATATACGACGGTTCATGCATGACGCTCTCTCTCTCTCTCTCTCTCTCTCTCTCTCTCTCTCTCTCTAGAGCAAAGGATGAGACAAGTGGAAATACTTCAATGACAGAAAAAAGCATTTTGCTTGAAAATTTTCCACGTACTTCCAATTCAGCTCCTTATCTGCTTTTTCAGTAGATGCATAAACGATCCCAGCATCCCCAGGTCGCCGCCCAGCAAAGACAAGGGGAATTTTCTGCAATCAAGCTTAGTCAGTGGAAGAGCATGTTTCAATTTTATTAAAGTGAACGTTATATTGTGTATATATATACATAGTGTGTGTGTGTGCGTGTGTGTGTGTGTGTGTGTGTGTGTGAGAGAGAGAGAGAGAGAGAGAGATGGATAAAAGTATCATAGTATATCTATCAAGAACCATACTTACCTTTCCGGAGGCCTTCTCAAAAGCTTCCACCATTTCCAGCACAGATGTCCCCTTTCCAGTTCCCAAATTGTAGACATCGCAGCCTGTGTCACCCAACAGTTCTTAGCCTTCGAAATAATCTTAAGCTGGATGCTTCTCCCGATGGAGAAGAATACAAAGGAATAGTAATCATAGTAGCAGATCCTTGAGAATAAACCAAATACATTGCCCTTCATCAGAGAACTAACACAGCATCCTGATGCCTTAAGAATGCCCTGTTTTTTTCCATTCAATTTTCAAACATTATAATTTCCCCACAACAAAAGTTTCTAGACGTCCATTCAAGAGATTATTCCCAAGAAATTTCCAGATATGAACACCAAAAACTGTTACTGAATGTTCAGGAAATCCACTCGAAAGAAGAAGTTGAACAAGATTCTCAGTGGGATTGTTGCTGAAAAAGCTCCAAAAGATGATATCGAGTTTTGCAGGAAATACATGAAGGAAAGCAGTAAGATGGTTTCATTTTTTTTCCAGGTTCCATGATTAGATCTGTTAAACCCTAATCAGGGATTTTGAAGGGTATTTTCCTAAATGTTAGAATTGAAGATGTTGTATCTTAATCGATTACAATGTGACGTTATTCATATATATGATAATATTGGCATAATACAATAAAGTTTTGTTCTACATAAGCGTTCACTCATCATGGGTCTGTCTATTTTTAGATTAAGAGTGCAGAGTGTAATGTGCAATTTCATTTAGGTTTTTTTTACAGAAAAGCTAAACATTTGGTCAAATAAATAGAATAAAAAATTGAGCCGGGTGGGTTTCCCTCATAATATTTTCGTCAAAAAAATTCCAAGAAAACAAATATTGGACCGGAAGTTTTAACACAAGAACAATTTCTACAATCTGGCGGAGTCCAACGGTCACATTAATGAAAAAGGATCGTAGATTCAATACTCATGTGAGATATCGTCTTATTTTGGTGAAGCGGGCAACCATTCAGAATTGCCTGGTCTTGTAAAATAAATTCGTGACACAAAAAAAAAAAAGAACCCCACAAAATATTTGGAATTAATACGAGAAAGGCAGTGTAAATAAGAACTTAAATGCGAATATTTGTACCGATTTACAGTTCAGCTTGTAGTTTAAGAAATTATGCAAGAAAATAATTCCTCCGAGCCTTTGATGTTCATGGAAGAGCCTGTTGCTTCCATTTTTTAGTATTGCCCTAAATTAATTACAGGAGTGAATGTGCTGAGAAGCCTGCTCCTCAATCATCACATAGAACATGATACACATTAGAGCTGGGATGCTGCAGATATTTTTAAAGCTAAATCGTTGGGGCCGTACATCTATAGTCACAAACTATTGAATCTAGATATATAGCCACTGAAAACTTCTAATCCGCCGTTCCTAATACCAATTACTATATCCAATGACCAAAATATGGGAGCCAAACGAGTTCCACCTCGCGAAATATAAAAGCACAACGTGATGGTAAATAACTTGCAGCAGGCACACCTATTTTAGAGCCATCAAATAGCTTCTTCAAAGCAGCAATATGTCCATCTGCCAGGTCAACAACATGAATATAATCCCTGACCTACACCAAACCATGAAACGTGAAATTAAATGGATGAACATTTGGAAGGATGGCTCATGGTGAATCAAAAAACGACTAATTATGAAAATAGAAATCAGGCGACAAGCATAGACATTATAAGAAGGTTAATACACGAAGGACAATAATCATACCCCGGTTCCATCTTTTGTTGAGTAATCATTGCCAAATACAGTAAGTGAAGGTCTTCTTCCCACTGCGATTTGCTGAATATAAGGCATAAGATTATTTGGAATCCCACGAGGATCCTCACCAATGAAGCCACTGGGATGTGCTCCAACAGGATTGAAATATCTAAGTAATATAATGTTCCAACTAGAGTCGGAAACAGAGATGTCATGGCAAATCTCCTCGATAAATAGCTGCAACAACCATAGTACCCATCATTAACTAAAACAAAAGGAAAGCAAAACCTGAATAACTGAATGAACCTATGTGAACATGGCATAATCTTATAAAGTTGCACTAAAAAACAGATGACACTTCAGATCGGCATATGCAAAAAGAATTCCAGGAACTGTTATTATCATACCTTAGTTCTTCCATATGGATTCAACGCCCGCAGGGGGGACTCCTCCGTACAAGGAACTTCCTTGGGCCATCCATAAACAGTTGCTGAAGATGAGAAGACAAGCTGCCATAGACATGAAAGCAATTGAAATCGTTTGATTGCAGATGGGTAATGTGAATCATGACGAAATGAAAGACGACAGTAGTCACATTTGATATAATTTTTTTAATTAAGAACGGGAGATTGGACAAATGGAAATCCTCTGCATCCCCAACCCCATCTAGATAACGACCTTACAAATTCAATCACATGATGAGATTCAAACAACAGATTATTCATAATTGATTCACTATCGCATTACTACCAGAAAGATGTGAGGAAGCCAGTAGAACACTGACATCGCATACAACTTGGAGTCCAAATGCTCCAGATTAGAAAATTCCACGATGCAAATTTATTTTTTCCGATTGAAAAGAAACATTTTTTGGATTTTCCCTTTTCATTTTATTAGATCATATCAAAGAGAAACGTAATTATTTCGCATGCCCAATACGAATCACAATAATAAGGCACTATTTATGCTCATTATAGAGGTAAAAAACAGAACTGATTCGAGCAACCTTCAGACAAACCTTTTCTTTTCATTATTCATGTGAACGAATTTATAGAGAAAACTATAAACATTACTTCAAATCTGAGTGCTAATGCGAAAGTTCTGACCCAGGTAAAATAAGAAATCATGACATCGAAGCTATCAACGTCTTACATTTTTGCATCCATTGGACCCCATGACTTCCAACAAGTTTATTGTGCCAACAAGATTGTTGTCATAGTACAACAACGGTTTCATCACACTTTCACCAACAGCTTTCAGCCCAGCAAAATGAATCACAGCATCAAACCTGGATGAAAGCAAAGCCGTAAGGGAATAGTAATGCTTACATGCCACGATAACTAAGTTTAAAGATAAGAGAAGTTAATAAGAGTACTGATTATAAGTAGATTGGGTGCCGGATATTTGGAGTCAAATGGGGCATTAAAAGGTATAAGCGCCTTCTGGTTTGAAAAGCATCACCACACATTAGATTATCCAGTTAATTATATGTGTGCCGTCTTGCTACAAGGTGCATAAACTAACAAGGAACATAATAAGGCTGCTCTAAGATATAGTTAATTTTAAGCGTTTGAGGAAGAGTATTATGAGTCCAGTTCGGAGTTTGGAGATGAGTTTCAAAGTCTCCATGAGGAAGTTATATTTGCAAAAAAGTTAAAATAAATTATATTTTCTTTTTAGTTTATTCTTCTGGTAACAGCACAATCGCTTCCTCCGCAATGCAAGACTAAAAGTGATTATATCCGTCATCAGTGGTTATAACTTTTTTATATATGCTCATGAAATTTAAGTTGCAATGTCACTAGCATAAACGGTATAGGTAATATTGGAAAAATATCAGAATTTTTTTTTAAGAAGGATATTTATTATAAAAAGCAAATAAATGTGTTATAATCGAGATTTAAAGAGAACTCAACAACACCTCATAGGATATCATTCAAGAGGAAGGCATTGAACATTTTAATAAGACATTATACAAGTTAAAGAAATAGCCATAAGCTAATAGGAGATTAAAACACCTCTCTCTGGATACCCAGCATTAACAAATAGAGATAGTATTATATCATCTGAAAAAGTGACAATGCAGGGATTTAAAATATCATCTCAGGAGAGAATGTTTCAAATGTCTCATCGTCCAAACACATGAACAGGATTAACATCTAAAATCACTGTCGTCAGGAATGGTTATATAAGAGCATAAGTGATATCATACTCACAGTAATGTAATACAAGAGCTTATAATGTATGACAGTTAAGGTACTCAGAGAAAAGAAACTCCTTACTTTGTTGAAGCAAACACCCTCTCAAGTGCTTCTTTGTCTCGAAGGTCAATCTACGGAAATATGGAAATATATCAGACAGTTTTTCAGAAACAAAGGCTTTTCATTTCATTCCCAGACAAAAGAAACCTGAAACCATTTTATTTTTTTTCAAACCAAAAAAAAACCCAAAAAGGTTTTTAAGATAAAAAAATCATTTGGGAGGTTGTTTTAAAATTCAGGCGTCAGGCACATCTATGTGCCTTATAAATTGCAAGCGGCATCTATCTAGTGAGCTAAAACTGAAATATGTGTTCTCGCAGTGGATCAATGCGATCCACTGATGTTCTACAATAGATACAGGTTCAAACCCTGCTGAATCGTAGATACAGGTTCTCGTGCATTTTTTTTCTGTATCGTCGTAACGCACCGACGACTAAATGCAGAGGGACATCATGTATATGCGGCCCTGGGCAACCTCATTACGACCTGACGACTTATCGGGCAAGTAGGGATGAACCGCATCTCAGTGGAATCTCGGCGAGGCTGCATCCAACCTGGTCCGATGTGTCGCTTTCACCTCGATCGAACACGAAAAGTTCGTACGGCGAAACCAAGTAACACAAATCAAACATTCTCCCCGATCGATTCACCTTGTGGAAAGACAAGTTCCCGCCGAATTCGCCGGCGAGCTCGACCACCCTCTTCACGGCCACCTCCGAGGAGTTGTCGAGGTTGTCGATGACGACGGCCTCGAATCCGCCGAGGAGGAGCTGCAGCACCGTGTGGCTCCCGATGTACCCCGCTCCCCCTGTCACGAGCACCTTCATCGCCATCGCCGCCACCGGAGACCAAAATGCCGCTCGCTACCAACTCCCCCCCACTCCCCCCCCCCACGCCCCTTCCTCTGCAAACACCTCTTCGGCTTTCACGAAACACGAATATAAATAATCAGCCTCCCACGTTTTTTAAATAGCCCCGGAAAAAAAAAATTGTTCGTTTCCCACTGCCCTGTTGAATAATTCCCTCAATTCGTCGCATATGCCCGGCACGACTTTCCCACATTCACCAGCTAGAGGGAGCGACTAGCAGCCACGACGGCCCCCTCGCGCGCATGGTCTTATCAGAAGACACAGGCCGTCACCTGCGGCTCCGCCGCGAATCGCGCCGCCGCTGCTCGTCCACTGGAAGGAATGACGAGAATCCCGGCCATTCCCCCGCCGTGACCTCCTCCACGGGGAAGAAGAAGACGAAAGGGAGGTCGCCGTCCTCGGTGGAGTCGGCTGGCCGACTCCCTCGCTGTGGCTTCTGCGGCGGACGTGGAAATCGAGAGGATCGAGAATCATGTGGGAAGGAGGATCGCGAGAGATGAAGCATGTGGCATTGCCGCACGGAGATGGATCTCTTTCACTCTTGCTACATTATTTAACGATAAGGTACATCTAGAAGTATGCACAAGAAGACGGTGGAAATTATATAAGAATATCACAGAAGAATCATCGATCTTCTCGATTGGTTCTTACATGGATTTACAGCGGATCTCTCAGACAAAATCCAGAAGAAGCACGATAGATCCAGAGATGCCTGGCTCCATCTTTCTGCCTGGTTACGCCGCGAGCGTCTGTGGTTAATCTTCCTTCATCACGAACACATTACCTCAGGAGCGGACAATCGATCTGTCTTCAATCTCGGTGCCCAACCGAGCTCAGGTGATCCGAAGGAAAATTGAAGCCATGATTATCCCTTCAATCACAATTCTCGACTAACAAATGATGGATTCTGTTGATGTCTTTGGGCTAGGAGCCTAGGAAGAAGGCGGTGGTGCTTCACTGGCTACAGGAAGTCAATGGCTGCGAAGAAACATCACCAAATAACAAGGCGACCAAGAAACAATGTAAGTTAAACCTTCACCCTTCCAACATCAATATGCAAATCATGACGGGAAACCGGCGGGTGATCTTCATGCTTTTTCTCCTTAACTCACGAATGAGAGCATGAACATGGCATAGAAACTAGCTGCCATTTTTATCATCTTGTGGGACATATGCATGAAGATTCCCTGTTCTTAAATGCACGTGGAAGCGAACTAAAGAAATGCTAGAGATGTAGCAGAAAGTAATAACCTAAGAGACAATTACTTTTCTTGGCATAGGGGTTGACTAAAAAGCTTAAAAAAGATAGCTGAAGGAATCCTAAAATCCAAGAGGAGCACCTCCAAGAAAGTAATCACCAAAAAAGGAAATCACAGATGATATCAATGAGACTTACAATACTAGTCAAAAGGAGGCGATCCGAGCTTAATGATGGAAATTGCATCCAAGCTAGGAATGGAAATGATGGGGACCATTTCCATTAATAGATTTTGCAGTGTTTTTCCATTAGCATGATGGAAATGATGAGGACCCACCACAAAACATTTGACTTTTGTTACCATAGCTAAAGATTCTGTGAGAGGATGATTAGCTATATTATCACATGTTGATCTTGTTGAAGTGCACATACTGTTAAGAAAAAAACAAAATCAACGGGGGGATTCAAGAAAATTTTTAATGCATGAGATCATTGAAATTTATAGAAAAAAATAGTACGAATCTAAGGGGGTGGTGTCTCCAAATCCATAAAGCCTCATCCCTTTATTACGTTATTAGGAACAACCAAAAAAAAAACATCAATCTAAGAAATTGGCTCATCAGATCGGAGGGTTACGCTATGCACTCTGTGTAGTAGTAGTTAACATATTCATGACTAATAAATAGTTAATGCAATAGCGCTAGTAAACTTAGGAAAGAAAAAAGTGATACTTTTCATCATGAAAGCGATTATGTGTTCTTCAACTGGCGGCTGAATAATGTCCTTACCGAAATACGACTACACATGTTCTGTTGATATAGGCTGAGATCTAAGAAGCCTTTCGACCTCATCGTTTGCCTCAGCTTGGATCCGCCATTCCTGCATAGATTCATTCCGACATAGGAAAATAAAAACCAGCATCGTCATTTTGGCAGAAAATATAATCCTGAAGCGGAAGTATATTGTAATTAAGGAAACCCATGCCTCTTCGAGGTTCTCAATTTCCATAGCTTGATTTATCTGTTCAGTGATACTTTCCTGCACATAGTTCGCAGACAGCATATGAGGAAGGAAAAGGAAGCTGCATGGAATTGTTGCAGCATATGTGATCAGATTTAATGAATAAGCTCTGGGACTCACAGCATTACTTGTTGCTTCTGCAGCAAGAAGATCAGAATCCATTTCCACTTCTATTTCAATCATTGAAGATATCTAGGAAAGAACAGCACTAATTTCAATAAATGAGATTTATACAGATAATTTTTCAGTTCTATACGATTCCTAGAATGAGGATGCAGGCGGTTCTATCATTGTTGGCTTGTGGTCATTCAACTCTGTCATACAACATGTTGGTGTAGGACACAATGGTCGTGTATTGTTCCAAAGTTCTCACAGTTCACACACAATCATACATGTCATCTTTATTTTTATTTTGAATAATTATGTTTCCCCGTCAACTTCAAAAAAAAAAAAAAACAAGGGAAAGTGGCAACAACATCATTGATCTTCCTCATTGGCATACCTTCGCATAGCTTTCAATTAATTGGATCCTTCTCATTAGGGAATCTTCCAAGCCTTCACGAACACTCTTGACCCTGACTCTTCGGGCACTGCACCAGGAAGCAGCCTCTTACCATGCAGATTTCCAGCCATAGACCCATCATATTATGTATACCAACGACTATTTCGCATGAAATTGTGTTTGTGACAAATTCAATGGAAGCATTACTAACCGATAAGAAGGCTCCCCAACTGCTAAAATCTTGTTCTCCAATTGGCACATGCGAGCCAGCATCCAAACCTTTGAATACAGATTAAGTCGACCCAGTATCAGATCCACTAATGTAGTAGCCCTTTTAAATTACCACCGGTTAGGAGAACTAGTTTAACAGAAGGCAAGACACCTCTTCTTCTGCACCCTGAATAAGGCCCTTGATGCGGTTCTGCACCAAGTCATACTGAGATAAAAGCTGCTGCTTCAACGCAATTGTATCCACCATCCTTTTGGGTAGCTGTAATCATCAAGAACCATAGAACATGTATGATTTATGTGCCATAAGTAGAAATTAGAAGGTGATAAACTGAAAATAATCAAATGAGATCGACATTCTTCCCCAGGGTTGTAAGCAGAGGCCATGCTGCATATTTCATCTATGTGACCAATTTTCAGGTTGTGGGGATTACACACCTTCCAAAATATGACATCTATTTCATTTTACACCTTTTCTTCTTTTTTTGTTTTTCTGAGAGATTTACTTGATCAATTAGGGTTACACAGTTAATAGCCAACCAAATTCATACCACTGTGTTAACAAAGCATTCTCTGCAGCAAGCTAGTGCTTAAGGGCCAAGATCCATTCTAGGTGTTATATTTTGAGAAAACTATAGCTTGTCCGCACCAGATAATAGATATATAAACTTTAGTCTAATGGAAGACAAGGAAAAGGGTCGTTTATGCACAAAAAAAGTAAGTATAGTTATCAGCTATAACCTAATCCCTGTAAAATCAGAGAAAGCTCCTGGTTACCTGATTTAGCTGTGGAAGAATTGCTCGATTTAGGGTGGCCCCCACCGCCACAGATGCAAAAGCAGCAACGGTTATGAGCCTTGGTAGGGTGGGATCAATGAAGGCAGAGGCAGCATCGCCAGAGGCCAACAGAGCAAAAGCAGGAAAGAGAAAGGACGGACTGAGCATAAAGGAATTTCCATCTTTGGTAGGTGCCCTCAGCAGAAGTGACTCCCGGCCATTTTTGTGGTTTGTCAAGCACATGGGTTCACCAGGGCTAAACTGAGGCGGCCGGGGATTAAATCTGAGAGGGCCTCGAAAGAAGTTGGCCGCTGATGCTAGAGTAATAGTCACTCGTTCTCCTTCTTGAGCAGGGAGCTCAACTGTTTTGGTAGCAAACCTGTGTGTTCGAGCTCTCCCTCCAGGTATCCTAACCTATGGAACAGTTTCAAATGAGTTCTCTAAAGTGGTTATGATAAGATCGAAAAGGGAAAGAATAGTCTCAGAACAATGTTCTCCTCTCCCTTCTGAGAAATTCACTTCAAAACATACAAATGGAATAATAGTAATAATAATAAATCGCCATCAGGACATTAAACAAACTTTATAAAGTCGGTTCCAAGGATTATTCAGTTTAACACCAGATTAGGATATGATAAGGATAATCTTATTTTGCTATTAATGGAGGTAGTTTGATGATAAATGGTCTGGTGTGGGCGGCTTTCTCCAATTTTGGACTGAGTTCACATGATATGAACTTCACTAGGTCAATTACTACCTAAAGGTTTTTTAGATTGAGCTTAAGCTCTCTTAGAGGCATAAACAAGTGAACCTGGTTTTTTTTTAAAAAAAAAAAATCAGCTGAAAAAATTCAGCTGTGATTCAGTTCATAGGAGTTTGGCCCAGCTGTGGTCAACTGAACCAGGGCCACAATCCATAGACACAAACACAAGAGTCAGGTCATCAACATTAAAACATGGCAGCAAGAGAGCTCCACTACACATGATCCTTTAACTTTTAGGAGGAAAGACATAAGGTTCCGATGACTATTTATAGCCTCGAGGTGTCAATTTCTAATTCTGCCCATCATAAAATTAGAAATAACTTGATCTCTACACATTTTTAACCCCATACTTACAAGAGATGTTGTAATCCCTTATTAAATCTTAATGAATCACTTTAGTAGGATGATAGCCCCATGATATACAATTCATACATATGTGTGCCCACATTGAGATAAAATCTAACAATACTTCTTTCTTCAGACCATCTCTTCACAAACAAAAAACAGTTGTTATCCCACAATATGCAGAGTTTTTACTGTCCATTTTTCTCTAAGAATTTCCAGTGGCAGTCGTGTCCCCAGAGTCTCTACCCATTCAGGAGCATTAGATAACCTATGTTAAGTGGCAAATATTTTGATCTTGAGAGTGATATAAAGTAAACGGCCCAATCATTATCCTACAATTTTTCATAAGATAAGCTTCAACTTTTCTTCCTTGTTTTGGAGGGGAGGCATGGAACCTAACCCTTCACACCGTCTACCTCAATGAGGAAAGTCAGAAGATGTTGTATGAAACGGAGATATGTCAGAGAAATATTGGAAAACAGACTTCTGGCCGAGGAAATACTGGCATCAGTTTAGAATATTTTAGTTAAAATGGGTATATTCAACATTTGCACCCATCTGATATTCATGCTCAAGATAAAGCACAGAAAAACTGGAACCCGTCTCTCATATACTAGTTATGTGATCTATGATATGATAAACACAAGTAGTCGAACAAAAGGATTACCACAATGGAATGGATGGCAGCAGGAACATCTTCATTAATTAACCGCAGAACCCTCAACCCCTTTTGCCAAGGAGAAAATTTGATGCTGCGTTCGGCAGGAGCACATCCTTAGAAAAGTGAATACCAGACAATCAACACCCTATAAAATTATTAATACAGGTGACCAATCAACTGAATCCATTTCTGTCTTAAAATCGCAGAGGTGAAAAAAGCATGCATCATCACATAGCACATGTTTTAGTGAAAGATGCATACATGGCACTTCTGCCAAAGAGAACAATCCGATTTATGCCTCTACAATTCATCAAGTTTAAAAAAGGAGGCACATAAGCGAGACTGAGTGTTGAGCTAGCTCAAATTACCTCTTCTGGGAAGACGAAAAGATCAGAATAAGTAATATCCTTCCGAGTTTCAGCTTTCAGTAAGTTCCTTCACATCTTGACTAATGTTTTACAGCATTAAATTGGTATTTTCCACCTCTTGTATTGCTAACCCAAGTTTTCACCGTTTTAATAAATTCCTTCACTATTCGAGATGATAACCAAAAGAGGATAAGCCTCCCATCAAGACATACTCAAGACAAAAGATGCTTCCAGCTCCTTCTGGCCCAACCAATGCACACGGATGTTAGTAAGCATCCACGTGCGAAGGGGAAGGTTGAGGGTTATTAATAAGGGGAACTCTGTTGTATAGGCGTAGGAAGAAGCATTTGGTCCCAAAGTCTCCGGAGATCCTCCGCCTGTTGTGGTAGAACCGATTCGGTCTCTACGACTCCGTCCCCTCTTTCCCTAACCCCTGTTTCCTATTCTTCTCAAAAGAAATTATATTCTTACCTGGAACAAGGTTCTCACCTAAGATCATAATGGAATTTCCAGTACAACTTGAGTTACCTGAGAACACTGAAGAACAAATTCCTGACGAAGTATAAGCTAAAGGAATTTTATATATTTATCTGAAGCAACTCAGTTCACCACCTATGTTAAAATAAGTTAAAATACGTTAAAATTAAATGTCCGGATAAGAACACCCTGTTTTTAAACAATGGTTTCACCATGATGCTATTTAAGATAACTACCAATCATTACACTGAAAGAATGCATTTATATCGCTTCAAAATATTTAACAGGCAAACCCTTCTGAGAATAGTCTTTAAACTTATCAAGAGATCAAGTAGTAGTTCTTACAAACCTGAGCTCTTCAGACGCAATACTGACTATGTTTCCAGAAACAAGCTCATATTGGTAGCGGCATTTGGAGCAGGAAGCAACCTGAAAGACACCAAAAGCGCTCTACATTAGCCGCCAACCATAAAAACACATTGGGGACAGACCAAGCCAACACCAGTGTCATGAATTGGGAGAACCAGAAAATCTGCATAGTGTAACTCTTTCATTGTATTGGTATGTATATACATATATACTACAATGAAAGTTGTTTAACATTCTGTACTGCCAGAAGCATGTGCCAGGAGAGGGCGAGGGGGGCAGTGGGGAAGAGAGAGAGAGAGAGAGAGAGAGAGAGAGGAGGAGGGGATGTACCTACCATGTGGGTAATGAAAGAGGAGAAGCGAAAACAGCATGCTTTCGGGCTGGACCCTGGAAGCTTGGTGCCCTCCCGGATAAGAATGCACATAGAATGACAAAAACTATACTTTTTTCCCTGAAGCATGAGAATATCCTCCCTTTTCTAAAAAATATTTCATTCCCCTCCTTTTTATCGGAATTTAGAACTTTCCAACCCATTCATATCCTAAAACTTCTCTGAATAGAGGCAGATTCAATTTGTGAGAAAATCACAGAATTGTTCCAATACATGAAGCCAACATTTTCAGCAGATTAAAGATGAGAATATTCGCGCAGAGAGTTTCCTTCTACTAAGCGACCATATCCTTCTCTTCCACTCATGATACCACGTTATTTTTCTTCAATTTTCGGTTGCCAAGATTCCAGAGAGTTTCCAAAAGTTTTCTAATATTACTCTTTGCCCACTTGTTAATAATCCGCTGCAAGGCGATTTAATCACCAGAACAAGCTACCCCAAAAAGTAGAACCTCTGCTTAAATAGCCATAAAACCAGTTGGCAATTTCTCCATAGTTGCGCAGTTGTCTATATATTATTAAAAGTGAATTTTAATAATTACATCGATGAATATAAAAAGAACAGAACTATATATACATAAGAAAAATCACAACTGCGCCAAAAGCATAAGCAATAGGCATTTAGCTAGCCAACCCTTAGTGGTTGAGTGATGAGAAAGATACTTTTGTTTGAAATATCGTTCATACTTCATATTCATAGAGAGGGCAACTTACTTGAATCCCATGTTGAGCCTGCGCAACAGCAATCGCTATCATACAGGTTGGGCACTTCACAATCTTTCCAAAAGGCATCTGAAAACACCCATAGGAGATGCTAATGTTTAATTTCACATTCAAAAAAATAAAAAAAGGGATGGAAATAATGGAAAAATAAAATAAAATAATTTGCCTAACTTGGGAACGGCGCCAAGCACACATCAACACTTAATGTGATTCAGTGTATTGTACTGACGTTCAACTTAAAGAAACGCTTAATTTGTGAGAAAATAATATATATATATATATATATTCCCGACCCGGAATCAGCATGACCTACTCTGAAAGAGACATTCAACTTAAAGAAACGCTAATCAATCCCAGATGTCTGGATCTTTCTACCATTAAAATGATAGTTATAAGGTAACCTGTCACAATTTTCCATACAGCTACATGATTGTAGAAAATCTTCTTCTGGACAAGCATGTTGCATGGCACTGTGGCGTGGGCTTACCAGGCTAGGAGAAGATATATCTTTCCTAACAAAATTCTACCCCTTTAGCCGAAATTCTTTTTTACCGTTTGTCTCCTCCTCTTGATCACTTCCCTACATTATTTTTTCGATGATAAAATGACTACCACCATGGACACCGCATGATGCCACATTGAGCCAAAAAGTTGATAGATAATGATAGTTAAATCCCAAGAAGCAAGAAATACCTATCTGTAAGGTCCATTGGTAAAATTATTAAAGCAACCATGACCTTTCATACACAGCTCGTAACCAATGGTTCATTATCTGATTGAATAGCCACTTCTTGACCACGATCCCTCTTTATAGAAAAATTCAATTATTTTTTGTTGGCTGAGTATCTATCTTGAATGAATTGAGTCAAAAACTTGCCACGGAATGAAAGCACTGGTATAATAAAATGATCTTGAAGATGATGTAATTCGCATTTGCAGTCGCACAGGTAAGGGAACATGTAAAATAAAACATGACTAGAATACCTCCTCCCCCGAAAAGATTCCTGGCCCGGAGACATTCGCAATAACTCCAAGAGCATCTGAGACTTTCAGAGATCTTGCCAGACCCCGCACCAGCAGCCCGTATGTGCGTACATCAGGGCTGGGCCACTTCCAGCCCTCAACGTATTGGCCATCGCCACCAACGCTTGAACCTTCATAAAATTAAAATATTCTCATATAATCCAGAACAGCTGGCTTCATCAATCCTCAGGAGTCACCTTAGCAACAAAGCGGCACTAAAGTTCCTACAGTCCTTGTCTCTAGGCCATCTCGGTCTCTGTTTACATGCATCTTGCACGAAAACAAGACAAATTGTCCGGGCATGGAATATAGGAAAATGAAGCAAAGCACTCCATCGTACCTGGAGCAGAGCTTGAACGCATGGCAGAAAACACAGACAGAGCCAGCTCTGTGTTGTTGCGGTCGAGTGCCGCCTCGATGATCGAACAGCATTGATCAGCCCCCACGACGCCGAGCCCCTCGCCACGGTACTCGGCGATCACATCCAGCACCTGATCGGCATCCTTGGCACCCAAAACCCGCCTCAATAGCCCGTCCTCCAGCGAGCCGGGACCCAAGCTCTCGTCTCCCGCGCCATCTCCACCGGATGAAGCTCTGGAAACCAGCAAACATCTAGGCCCCGAAGACGACATCGCCGGCCATCTGCTCACGAGGAACAAGAAGGCGCCTCCACCTTTCGAGGAGAACGAAGCGACTCTGAGAATCTGCGGGGAGTGAGGAAACGGCAAGCAGAGGCGGGAGGGAACCAAGCTCAGTGCCATCTCTCTCTCTCCTCGCCTCTCTCGCTCTACGATTTATTGCTTTATCTGGAATTTATAAGACGGGATGAGGAACGAGCGGTCGATTGGGGTGGACGCCACGATCGGCAACGCGACTGTGGGCCCCAAACCTCCGTCTTACACACTCTGTCGAGGGTAAAATATTTTCCCGAATTGGAATTTAATCTAAACATTTTTTTTCTCCGGTTTCGACTAATTCTGGGTCGCTAACGTCAATTTTGAAACTAAATAAATAAATAAAAAGATGGGTGCTTGGATATTGAGAACGTGGCGGCCTTATGGCCCTTCGATGAGCGTCCTTCGGTTGGATGCCGTTGGTAAATAACGGCCGGTCAAACCTTTGACGCCTTCTCCCCGTCGTTCAAATCGGATGGTTCCTCCCCCGCCCCCCTCTTATAATGCCTCCTCCTCTCTCCTCCTCCAACAATTCGATCGCCCCTGCTTCTCCATCGCCGTTTTTCATGCCTTCTTCCGTGCGGATCGGAGCGAGGAGGGTAGAGGAAGCCGAAATGGGATGGTCGCCGAGGAATGCCGCCAACGCCTACCTCGACACGCTGAAGCTGGTAGGTCTCTATCTGTCTCTCTGATCGTGTGAGGATTCCTCGATCTAGGGTTTACGCCATCTTGATGAACCTGGGGCGGAATGTGCGCTGCGAGTTCTCCAATGAGGATGACTAGGTTGATCAGGCTAGGCCTCAGATAGAGGTTTTCCTGATCTCGGAATCCATCTTCGTGGAAGGCTGATCTTATTTTCTGCGGATCATTCTTTTTTCTCGACTTGGTCTCTCCGAAGGTGATGACTACAGAACTTTCAGTGTCAGAAACATATCGCCGCTAGTTTTTGAACAATATATTTCTCCTCGGGGCTTGGATCTTCCAATGTCTTGTGGACGTACTTCGTTGATGTATAGAAAATGTTTGTTATCCATTTATGATATTAAAATCGGTCAACAAAAAGAATATAGTGGTTCATTTTGTTTATTCTATTTCCATGATAGATTCCATGCTTCTATTTCCGCACTCTGGATGTTGATCCCGTCAATTTCATCTGCAAAACTCAGTGCAAGGACGAGAACGAGAGGAGGCGCGATCAATCCAAGTCGATCGAGCCAGAGAGCAACGAGTTCCTGTCCGCCTTGGCGGCCGGCCTGAGCGCACAGCTCATCGTGGAAGTCTCGAGGGAGGCGTCGAACTCAACCATCGCCCTCGCGGCGGCGGCCCGGCAGACGGGCGGCCGCCTGGTCTGCATCCTTCCCGAGCCTGGCAAGCTGGAAGAGTCCAAAGAGGTGATCAAGGGTTCGGGCCTCAACGACATGGTGGAATTCAAGGTCGGTGACCCCCACCAGCTCCTCCCCAGGTACGAGAACATCGACTTCTCCCTCGTCGACTGCGAGACCGAGTCGAACACAGAGCTGCTCAGACTGCTGGATGTGAACCCCCGGAGGGCGGTGGTGGTGGCCAACAACCTGATGAGCGGAAGGGAGGGCCTCTGCGGCGCCATCGGAGGCCTCAGAGGCAAGGGCTCGGTGAGGTCGATGAAGCACCCGATCGGGAACGGCATGGAGGTCACCATGATCGGAGACGCATACCAGTTCAGGAAGGTGGACATGAGGAAGGGGGGCAGAGCAGCCCCCCTGAGGAGGAGCCCCCCCAAGAGCGTGTGGGTGATGGAGGTTGACGAAGCGAGCGGGGAGGAGCACATCTTCAGGGTGTTCCAGTCCCCCTGAGGGCGGCGGCCTTCCTTTCTAGGTGAGACAGTTTTGAATCCCTAATGGCGGAGGGAACCCAAGATTGAATCTTCCCAACCAACCAACCAACCCATGGCCGATCTAGTTTCTGAATCTGGCAAGAAGAAGCTGCCCAGCATCCACAGGAGCACCTTCCGCAGTAACCGGCAGCAGCCTCGGAGCCGTTTGGGCCGGCGTAGCATGCCAGGATTTTCAATGGCTACATCCCCGGAAGCTGACTACATGTTACATATATAGTATGGTTCGGACCATCCCTTCGCTCACGTTGACTTTTACATCCTCCATGTGGGCCACTAATAGAAATCGGCCCCATAAAGCTCACTTGGGCTAATTCAAGCTGAGACGATGGTGAGTTCTTTATGCAAGTAACTGCCGTGTAGATCGGGATAGTATACGGATCATCTTCTTAATGCGCTTTTAATGACCCAATTATGATGTAATGCTCAGGCGTCACAAAATGGGTCAGCCCTGGGTTTATCTAAGCAAAACTCAGGCTCTAGGAAATGTCTAGGAAGAGAGAGAGAGAGACGTCTGTTTGATTGGATTTTGTCTAATCAACATCTGGCAGTCAGGATCATCAGAGTTGACTTGTGCAATAACTTAAACTATGATCGATTCGGGCGACTTGGTGTGTATATATATATATATTGCTCAATTTCATTTAAATCTGCAACTTGTTGCATAATCAATAAAACCTAAAGAGCCGTGGTTGGAGGAATACGTAAGCTATTTGTAATCGTCTCTCTCTCTCTCTCTCTCTCTCTAGCTAGCTAGCTCTCAAGTAGAGAGGGAACTAAGGCTGCATGAGCTCATTTCCTCGGGGTTTATAAAGGGCATCGGCTCATCTGTCAAGATACCTCGGGGCTTTAATCTCTGCTAAGCAAATACTTCTACTCCCCAAAAGTCAGCGCCCAATTGCATCCGACGACGTCATTAGTGGCTCTTCCATTCTCGGGTAGCCATGTTGGCACCCAAAAGTCGAAAAGACCTCCTTTAGAATAACACACCGACTTGTATTGCTCTCCCCTGTCTTAAATTTGTCACCATCATTCAATATCCTCCACGCCCCCTCCCTCTCTCTCTCTCTCTCTCTCTCTCTCTCTGTGTCTGTCTCTTTCTCATCACACATGACGAACCTGAGGGAGATTCAAGCCGCATCCAGGTCCTTAATTATATGCCCCAGATTCCAAATCTTCCCCCATACCTCTCTCTCTCTCTCTCTCTCCTTATATAAATTCAAGGGTCACATTTCTCTTCCCAAGATTCTCTCTCTCCCTCTCTCTGCTGCGGCTGCTGTTGAATTAGGAGGTGGCGGAGATAGTACACACCGGTGGAGGAACCGTTCCCCCGCATGGACGACTTCCTGCCGGAGCTCCTCTGCCTCCACCCCTCCGACATGGTAATCACCACCCTCCCCTCTCTCTCTGAGACCAAACCCTCCCTCCACCTGAAGATCTGCCTGTCTTCCCCAGGAACACCTGCTCTATGCCGGAGAGGATGACCTCTTCAATGCCGACACAATCGAGCCCAGAGATCACCCCGCGGGCTTCAAGATCCCCTGCATCCAAGTCAACGACGAGGCTTATTCCCCAGCCACCTGCTCCAAGACCTTCACAGTAAGCTTCTTTCCATGAAAGAAACGATTTTGACCTGCTGGGCGACGAGGATTGAACCTCGGTGATCTGATTCCGGCTTCCGTCAGAGCCCGAAAGATGGTCCAAGCGCCGCCCAGCTTGCCCACGAGAGATCGCCGCCACCTGCAACGAGAGACAGCATCGAAGAGCGCCGGAAGAAAATCTCCAGGTACATGAAGAAGAGGACCAGGAGGAACTTCGGGCGAAATATCAAGGTAAATAAATGTCCATCTTCCCCATCCCCCAAAAAAACAAGGTCGAGAGCGAGAGAGAGAGAGAGAGAGGGAGGGAGGTCAAAGGGTGTTCAAGAAACACACCAAAAGTAGAACTTCATTGACCAAAAAGGTAGACTTTCGTAGCTCAAAGAGCCCACTTGCTTACTTCATCTGGAGCTGTTGCTCTCCCTGTGCAGTATGCCTGCAGGAAGGTGTTAGCAGACAGCCAGCCGAGGGTACGTGGAAGATTTGCAAAGGCCAAAGTGCATGAGATGACAGCCACGGCGCCATAATGGGCATATGAATAAGAAGCCTTCACATCCCTCCCCAGGGATGATAGTAAGATCACGGCGAAGAATAAAATTCTTCTCTGGCAGCTGGGCCCCTATGCAGGGGCACATGGTCAATAAGTAGTTTGTTTGGGTGATCAAACAAGCGATGCAAAGAGGGGAGAACAAGGCCACCATTCTGTAAATGGAGGGGGGATACTAGTGTAAACATGAGATATACCTGTACAGAGATGTGTCGATCATGTTAAAAAATTGCCCCCAAGTGTTGGCTAATTATAGATAAACACATGGATTAATTTGATATTTACATTTCCTGACGGTTTTCACCTAAAAGAGAAAGTCAACCAGCTGACTATGAAACAGTCCCCGATAGAAACACCCACAACATTTGGATACTAAATGTTTCCCAAGAAATATTTCACGCTTGGCCATCCCTACACAATGTGTAGGGGAAGATGCAGGCAGTTGACTTCTTCACCGATTTTTACTAGTCAACAGAATGGGTAGTCCCGATGATCATTAAGACCACTCAAAATTTCCTCAGGAAGTCAACCACGAGTTATTTCAGAAGAAAGCCATGCAAATCTTCCGGCAGAGAACTGGGAAAGAATGGTACGAGCTTCCATGCTAAACCCAAAAAGAGACATAAATTTGAGGAATAAACCAGGCATATCTTCATATTGAGAAATTTTAGCATGGTAAAAGCTTCTGTGTACACCCACTTGGGCATACGAGCAGAGGAAAATCGGAAGTCAACGCCTCACCTCTTGAGGGATTCTCAAGGGACCCAGAACGAGGTTTCTCTGAAGAGAAAGGATCAGAGTGGAGGGGGGTTATCAACGTGGGAAGCTCCATGGCAGAATCAGATATCCTTGCCGTGGGGAATATCGGGAGAAGTCTAGGCACACATTCATTCTCGAAATGCAGCCCACGCCTTTTATTTCAACCCGTCATCATGCCCAAGAACATGACCGCATTGCTGTGGAAGAGCTTGCGAATGCCGCAGTGTTAAGACTGGAACATGGGCAAGGGCACTCTTCAATGAATGATCACAGCCAGGAGCTCCCCACTCAAACCTTTTACTTTCATGGCATCATCTCCTTTCTCTGTAGGAAGAAACATGGGCTACTCGAGGAAAGTGGCAACACATTAACAGAAGGAAGACAATAAAATACCCAAGAAAAATGATCAAAGAAGTATCTTTGCGCATGGATTGTGCAAAAATAGAGCCCGGATTTCCATCACCGAAAAAATGAGTTGGGTTGATTCCAGGAAGATTAAGCATTACGGTTGTGTTGGGTCTTGATAGTTTCATCTGATGAAAATTTGACAAGGTTTGATGAAATAGAAAGAAAATTTGACAAGGTTTGATAAAATGTTTCTTGGGCATGTTTGTTCATATTTAAAGAAAAAAAATATGATGCGAAAGATGCAAACAATTTCTGTGGAAACTTGTTCATATGAAAACATGGGATTTCCCTTAAACTGAGAAAGGAATGATCATAGCTTGAACGAAGAAATCGTGTTTGGTGGACCTTCTAATGAATAAAGAAAGATCTGAATTATTTTAACGCACCCAAGGAAAGATAGACAGAAGAAAAGACCCAGATGAAGTAATACTTCAGCATGATCTACTGGTGCATATGAAGTGAACTTAATATAAGTTATCGGGCTTTCTAGTTTCCTGAAATGATGAACAATCTGGGGTGGGTTATCAGATTATCAAGGTTGATTACATGGGGACTAACTCACCAATTGATGCAGAAAATGCGAGAAGAAGCGCGACCTCTTGACCTCTGTCGAAGCTTGATCGAGACGAAGAGCATTCGCCCCTCATCGCAACGGATCGAGGGACCAGAGCTCAAAGGCAGTACCTTACATGAAACCATCGAGACGATGCAAATGAAGGTTGCCGGAGAAAAGCCATCTGTTCACGATAACTCCTCATGGAATCAGATGAACCAGAGGGGAAGATGAAGAGGAAGGAAGAGCACTGCCGCCTCCGGGTCCAGTTTACGATCGTTAGGGTTCTAGCAGGAGAGTCCGTCACGCCGATTTATAGGTCGGGCAAGAATGTAGCTTCCCACCCTGCCAGGTCGAAGTGTCTCTCTGCCTACAAGAGCCCTGAAACTCCCATTTTCCACCATCTTCTATCAGCCGTCGTTGCCGGGATCTGAAGTGTGTCCCCTGCTTCAACGACGACGGCGAGAAAAATGGCGAAAAATGGAAGCTGCAGAGGGCCCCCCCTGCTCAGGCACGTCACGGGGTCAAGGAAGAACTCACCTCCTCGCCCTCTCCTCGGACCGGCCTTGCTCCAACCAGCCTCACCATGGTCGAATACAGCAGGAGGAAGAAGGAGACTTTTCCCCTACCACGATCGAATCCTCTCGATATTTATAGCAGAGAGCCGTACGAAGACTAGCCCGTTTTCTGCCCTAACAGCCCACCATCTGGGCCGGCGTCGGGAACTACTGGGCAGCCCACCATCTCACCTTGTTCCCATATATTTTCCCGCTCTGATAAGTCAAACACTTCTCGAATCCAGGGATAAGTGTTTGACCATTTTGCATGTTCTTCTCAGCTGTAAATGTGATTAATTTCTGTTCTTAAATCCGAAGAACTTTGAAAAATTCTAGCGAAAAAGGAAGACCCAGGATTCCAAAACATAATCAACTAAGGTTCCTGAGCACCTGCACAGAAATCTCCGCTGACGAAGAGCAAATCTCTGAGGATCAGTAAAGCTTTCACCCAATCAGATATTTGGTATTCTCTTCTCAACTGCGAAGAGCTAAGAACAATCACACAGAAGACGAGAATCTTTGAGCATTCAGAAAATAAAAAAAATCTCAGCTATGCAAGAACACCGGGGAAGGAGAGGCTGAGAAGATGCAACTTCTTTTCGCTCCTAGAGATCCAGAAACCTGAGATTCCGCCATGAAAGAAGACCCAAGAAGGAAATTCTACGAACAAAAAGGCCGACCAAGTAAAAATCTGATAAAAAATCTCAAGCATCTCAAGCATCTGCCATTCTCTTTTCAGCAGCAAAGATCTGATAAAAAAATCGCGCATGAATTGAAAACTATAGAGATTCAATTTTGCCAACTTAAAAAAGAAAAAGTCCAAGGAAATAAATTCTATGAATAATAGATTAACGTATAGAAATCTCCAGCATCGGGCCATTCTAACAAACAATAATTATACATGCATAGAACTGATGCAGAATTGCACGCAGAGGGCAAAGCATCAAGCCCACACAACACTGGCACAAGCCATTCCTGAGTCACAGTGGTCAACTATTTCTTCCAGTTTGTCTGATGCCTTCCATGATCCCACTGCAAGCCTACCGAAAGAGCCTCGGCACTCCTCTCTTTGGTACCTTCCCTTCGGCCTTCAGTCGCCGGTAGGCTTCTCTAATGTGGCAAGGCCTAATGGGTCCAGTCTCATTTCTCTCCACCATAATCATCTTACCTGGCACAAGAGAGAGAGAGAGAGAGAGAGAGAGAGAGATTGAAGCAATTAGTTCAACAGCACAAGACTGATACTGATGACAATGCTCAATGGCCCACTCCTTCACAATGGAAGGAAGTAGGGAACACTGGTAGATAAAGCAACAAAATAGTCAAGTATAGTAATAGACGAACTGAAGAGCCGTTCTATGAACCTCAGAAACAATGAAGATTAAATTCTTTAAAAACTAAATGTAAATATGGGTCAAACTTGCCTGTTTCAACGAGCTCCCCAACGAACATCTTTGCCATCCCAGACACCACAATTGTCATGGGCATAGAGATCTTTTGACTTCCAGTGATGCTTGTCAGTAGCTGGAGATGAACAGGAATCAAATCAGTCCCCCCCAAAAAAAAAAAAATTAGGAATCCACAGCGTCACCAAAGGCCTAAATGTTCATAAATATGAAGATAACCATGAACGGCTAATCCTGCATTACCCTCTTCATGTTAGATTTCTGGAAGTTAGATCTCCGGAAGGACTCATATCTGCTCATTTGTTCATCACTGAATCGAGACAAGATCGACCTGAGAGAGAAAATAAGATTTGATTGGATAAAAACAATTCAGCAGAAATAATTATTTCTTAACAAAGTACAGCATCAGCAATAAACTTCCGGCGTTAGGCTTTTTACTCGTGTTTTTGTTGTTAGACCAAGGAAAGGCATCTGCCAACTCTCCTCAGATAATGTTCTTGAGGAAGCTAAAATTTTAACCAATTAAAAGTCATCCATCGGTAAAGAAGAGAATAATAATTATTACGGCCGTTTAATAAAATTCAACGATTATGATTTACTGAACTCTTTTGAGCAAAATCATTTTCCGACAGCATTGTGGATTGTCGCTTTTGGAGAAGAGGAAACAAACAATTGAGCAGATCATTGCTTGACAAAACTAAAAAAGCTGAAAAAAGATGGATCTTATAAATTTCCGTAGACCCTGAAACTGAAATAGCAGAGAAGTAGGTAGAAAGACCCTGACTAATAGGCACAGAGGCATAGAATAGACTTGAATGCTCAGCAGGATTCAAGTAGACAGAGATGTGGAGCAAGGGCTGGAGCATCCGGGAACAGAAGCCCACAAACTCCTATAATCTCTGGTTCAATGTTCTAAGCAACAAGCAGTCATCTCCCAGTTTCTTAGAAGAATCCACCGCGACGCAGAGGGTCTCAAGCATGATGATGGTATTAGTGAAAATCTTCCGCTCATGTGGGTAAGGAAGAACAGTAGAGACCTAGTCAACGCCTATTCCAACTCTACGAGCTATTGATTTGCGCAAGTTCCCAACATCTAGATCTTTGGAGTATACAGATGATGCCTGAAACTCCTGGGAGACTTATATCATGATTAAAAAAGAGTGGAGTCAGATCAAAACTGGGGATTCTAAGCATACGCGGGAAAGAAAGGCTACTCAACTGCATATTAGCGAGCTTGTCAGGGTCCCCGGTGGGTAACTTGCGCAGCTCAACACCCATATGCTCTTCCTCCTCTTCTTCTTCCTCCTCGTCCTTCGCCCTCGCCGAGTTTCCCCTACCGGCTGCTACGGCAACGGGAGCGGCCGACGCCGCCACGGCGGAGGGCGCGTCAGATTGCACCTGCTCATCGAGCTCCTCCTCGCCTACATCTGCTCCGGCGTGTCCATCGGCGGCGACGATCTCCTCTTCCGGAGGCCCCGGTGACTCCGGCGGCGATTCCTGCTCTTCGTAGGCCGCCTCAAAGGGGTCCTTCATCCCTGAAGCCCCGCTTCCCGATCCAAATATCCGGCGAACGGAGACCAAATAAACAGCCGTAAGCTTGCCGATAACGATGGCGATCTTCTCCTCCCCGTTCTTCTCCCTCTACTTCTTCTTCTTCTTCCACAGTCGCCGGAGTGGAAGTCGGTGGGAGGAGCGGAAGAAGCCGACTTCCCAACTTCGCCGGCGTCAACAGCAGTCCCAAGGCATGGTATTACATTTTTCCTATTTTACCCTTATTGGGGTGGTAATAATACAAAGTCACACGTGTCACCACACAGAAAAAAAAAGCACAGAACGAAACGGATCGAATCAAGCCTCATTAAATATGAGCAATATTTTCATTGGATTCAGAGAATACGGCCCACATAACCCCAATTAAAGCCCGCAACTATATGGACCATCGGCCCAGCCCACACCGACCCACACGACCAGATGGGGACATAGATCAAAGGGAAAATACTTCATAGGGCTTTTCACTAGAATAAGAACGGGAAGGAAGGGCCCACCAGTTCCCAAATAAAGAAAATATGGACTCAATAATTATTTAAATAATATAAAATAAATATTAAAAATAATAAGACACAGAAAAATGGGCCACCGGCCCAGCCCACACCGACACGCACGGCAGTGGAGGAAAGGGAAAATGTTTCGTAGGGGCTTCTTGCTAAAATGTGAGGGGAAAGGAAGGCCATCTAATTCCAAATTAATATATATATATGTGGACTTGAGAATAATGTAAATATTATCAAATAAATAATATTCAATAAATAATGTAAAATAAGATTACCCGTGGGCCCGGCATAGCCGCACGAGCCCCAATCCCACGTAGGCCACCAGATCCAGACCGCTCCGTCATTGTCGGAAAGGCGGCTGTCCCCGACCGCCGCTCGGTCGGATTCTCCGGCGACTTACCGGGTGGGACCGCGTTGACAGCTGTTCAACATTCAGGCGTTAGACGTCCACGTGTCATGATTTCAAGCCCCACCTCCTCCCGTTTAACTCCCCGACGACGACAACCGCAGGCCCTCCCTTCTCTTCCCTCTCACAGCTAATCGTTTTAAGAGAGACTCAGAGAGAGATAGAGACAGAGAGAGAGAAAGAAGAGATAGGTAGAGACACAGAGGGAGAGAGAGAGAGAGAGAGAGAGAGAGATGGGTTATTGGAAGGCGAGGGTGGTGCCGAGGATAATGAAGCTGTTCGAGAAGGACGGAGCAAAGAAGGCAGCGGCGGGCGAGGCCTGCAAGTCCTTCGACGACGCCAAGGTCAACTCCTCCGCTCTCTCTCTCTCTCTCTCTCTCTCTCTCTCTCTCTCTCTCTCTCTCTCTCTCTCATGGCTAATTGTCTCCTTCCTCTCGCCATCTTCCTGGTTCATGGGTTTGCAGGAGGAAATGAACAAGGCTTTTGAGGAGAAGAAGAGAGAGCTCCAGCCGAAGGTCATCCAGATCTTCGAGCAGTCCTCCGCTGAGATCAAGGTTCTTCTCTAAACGGGCTTCCTGATCTCTCCTCCCCAAGCTTCTCCCTCAGAACCCTAACTTTCGTTCTTTCCTTGTTCACCACGACGCAGGCTACTGTGAGGGAACCGACGGAGGCGGCAGTGAAGAATATCCCTTCTGCCATCGCCAAGCTCTTCGAGGAGCTCTCTGAAATAGGTGAAGCTCCTTCTTGCCCCGATTCTTTGCCGTAGTCTAATATTCTTGGTAATTTAGAGAGGGGATGAGTTCTGCAGATTTTCCCGGGGCGAAGGCCGCCGGAGAGGCGGCGACGAAGTGCGGCGTCGCCCTCATCGCCGGCCCCGTCGTCTTCGTCTTAGAGAAGGTCGTTACCCTCCTCCCCGCCGAGGCGCCGAAACCGGAAGAACCAGACACCGGCGCCGCCGCGGACGGGGGCGGTGTGGAGACTGCACCGGCGGAGGAAGAGCAAAAGAAAGAGGAGGAAGCTCCCCCCGCCGGTGTGGCGGTGGTGGTTCCAAAGGAAGAGGTTCCAATGACGGAGGAAGCCCCCGACGCTGTTGTTGCGGCTGCTCCGGCGGAGGAATTGCAGAAGAAAGAAGACCCGAAGAAGGAGGAAGCTCCCTCTGCTGCTGCTGTGATACCCGTGGAGGAGGAGCAGAAGCCCGTTGCGGCGGCGCCGGCACCAGCGCCGGCGAAGGCGGCGGAGGGCAATGCCTGACCTTCCCTCCTCATCCTCCCTCGTCGCTGCCGTTCTTTTCACTATTCTTCTTCTATCCGCAGCTTCCGCTGCTCATGCGTATGTTTCTATTTTCGTCGTGGGGGACGAGATCTTCTCTTCCCCGTCGGTTTGCTATTTTGCTTGTATAAGATGAAAGCGTGCTTAGCTGGCAGAGCAAGGCCCCACATTATTAGTCTGAAACGAAGCCCGGAAAAAATACAATTGGGCCGCATCATTTCGGGCCTGACTTAAATGAGCCCGTATTTTCTGGGCCCAATATCTTACATAAATGATAAATGTAACATTCCCTATTTAATGAACCGTACGAACCGCCGGCTCGGCCACGTCACCGCTGTGAACCACAGCGGTTGCCTGGCATTTCGGGGAAAAAAGGGGGAGGCGTGGCTTTAGCGGCGTAACAGTTCCAACTCCCGGCCTGTGCCGGAGATCTCCAGATCCTCTCTCTCTCTCTCTCTCTCTCTCCATCCTTCTCTCTCCTCTCTCCTTCTCCCTCCTGCTCCCAGTGCCATGGCGGGGCCGAGCGCGGGGTTAAAGCCTTCGTCGTCGGGTTCGGGGAGCCATAGCTTCGCATCGAAGCTCCTGCTGCTGCTCACAGCGCTGCCGTTGACCTTGGCAGCGCTTGCCTTCGTGCTCCAGTGGAGGGGAGGGGTGGACGACCCGGCCGCGCGATGGCCTGCGGACGCTGAGCTTTTTCCAGGAATGGAGGTTCCTCAGTCTTCTACTCCCCCATCCATACCGTCTTCTCAGCACGTGTCCTCCTCGGACTGTGCGGATATTCTCGGCCAGGGCTCGTCGTCTTCTATCTCTTCCTACAACGGCTTGATGTCCGATGCCAATTCTGACCTGCATCCCAAGGTGAGGTTTGAGATTCTCTTTGGAGTCGATTTATACACGTGGTACGCCTGGGGATCTGATTGATCTCGTAGGGACGGAGACGAGGGATTGATATATCGGCGGGATCAGTAAATGGTCCAAAGATTGTTGGATTATTTTATTGACTTTATTTTTCACGTTCGGTATAAGGGACATCTTCTTCATCATCTTCTTCTTCTTCCCGGCTTCCTCAAGATATTTCTATCCGGCTACCCTAACCCCGATAAACGATAGTGTTATTATTGGGTTTCCTGTGCATTCACTTTCCTCCGTTCTGGGTGTCAACTAGGGTTAGGGAAGTCAATCAGTTCGGGAACGTATTGTATATTTTATTTTCCTAGCTTTCATTTACGAAACAATGAACTTAAACACCACTTGTCTCGCTGTATCAGAATATTATCCTTCATAGATCTCTTGATCAGTCAGTCTAATGTGTCTATTTCTAGTGGAGGGGCCTTTGTCGTTTCAAATCGATCCATGAGAGAGACCTATCTTGTTTCAGAATTTTAGTCCATTTGACGGTTGAGGTAATAATGTCTGTATGGCTAAAGATTTGTTATATTTTTGTGCAGATATGCATCACAACAAGCACTTCAGCTGGTTTAGAGCAGATTCTGCCGTGGATATTCTATCACAAAGTAATAGGAGTTACAACTTTCTTCCTGTTTGTGGAAGGAAAGGCGGCAAAACCCAATATAACTGCAGTTTTGGAATCCATCCCTGTAAGGCCGCTATACCCTCAAATTGAAGGAATGGCTTATTCTCGTTTATGTATTTTCCGTTTGGTCTGTTTTGTCCACTGCGTGTTTTAAGGTAGCACTGACTAAAAACATTCTTCAGGGAGTGAAAGTGATCTATAGAACTAAAGAACTTGAAGAGAAACAGGCAAAGAGGTCAGTTAGCTTCATGCTTCAATTCTCTTCGTATCTTAGTTGAAAACCTGATTGCCTTTTTTTGTCCCCTAAAGATACAAATTGTAGAAATGGCATATGCTAATAAATGGACATTCATCTTTACCAAGCTATGGTTTGTACCATGCGTTTGTGGTTCAACATATTGAAGACCATAGTTTGATATTCTGATATATTCTGCAGAATTTTCGTATGCTGGATTGGTTTAAGAGTTGTATTTTGTCCGCCTTTAATAAAGTCTTGTATTGATTGTATTTCCTATTTTAGTTGTCTCATATAAAACTTCCTAGTGACGTATCTAGTTTACGCTGGATGTCTATTTGAAGTGCTTAAAGCTGATTTTGAGATTAACTTCACCTACGAATCTATCGGACTCAAACGTTTCGTATACCGATCTGGCTTGAACGTTTATCGTATAATTTCTGCTGTATTTGAAGTACTATCGTGGTGAAAATCAAGTTGATATGATCTATAGCTAGTAGCACAGACCAAGTTAAATGGCGAGCATACCTATTCTCCTTCCCTGGCATTTTAGTGAACTACTTTGCTAGTTACGCGTATCATTTAGCACTAGATCTTTCTTAAGAGAGACTCAAATGTGGTGCATCATTACTTTTTAAAGAAACCTGCATCATCTAAGAAGGGTTAATGAAATGTTTAGACCATTTGTACAAAGGGATTTTCTAAGGGTGTACTGAGGCTACATGGTTACATCTTTTTTTCTTTAGAACTTTAATGGATTCTTACGGTCCTGATGTCACTGTTTTCTCTTTTCTGACTGCAGCCGAATCTGGAATGAGACCTGGCTTGCAAATTTTTTCTACAAGCCTTGCAATTACGAATTATTTGTGAAGCAATCACTTAATATGGAGATGGCTATTATAATGGCACGGGTATGCACGTTATTTTGTTGGTTTGTCATGATCTCCACTGTGTTTCATTAATTAGTGTTTGGGCTGTTCTTTTCCGAATAGTTAATACTTGATTCATTTTGTATTGGTTGATATTTACTGTCTGTAAAGCTTTTCCATTGCGTTCAGTCTCATTCTTTGTTTTTTCCTTGTCTGGAAATGTGTTGAGAAGACCGTAACATGCATTCTCTTTCTCCTGGCATAGGATGCTGGTGCGGAGTGGATTATTCATCTCGACACTGATGAGCTAATGTACCCAGCAGGTGCTCGGGAATACTCTTTAAGGCAGTTGTTAAAGGAAGTTCCTCGGAATGTTGATATGGTTATATTCCCAAATTATGTATGTGCTACTGTATCTAGATCTTGAAAACAGTTACTTCCTGTCACAAGTTTGATTCATCGGGGCTTATTTTTTCAGGAAAGTAGCATTGAACGAGATGATATTAAGGATCCTTTTAGTGAGGTAATAGCCCATGCTTTATTCACAAAAATTTGTCAGATAATGAGTTCATGATTAATCTCTCTTCGCATTTATATCTTGTTAACTAGTTTGTAGTGGATGACTATGAAGAAGAATGAAAAATACCCTCTGTTTGCATGCCTCGAATTCTCTCTCTCAACCCCCACAACCGAGTCATCAAATAAAAGAGAACAACCCACTGAATCTGCCGTCATATTTCCTATCCCTGATCTCTCTCCCACGAATTTTATGGGTGGAGCTTGAAAACTCGTATTGCATTGTTGGGTTAACAAGTTATGATTTCGGAATTGGCCTTGGTAACAGCAGGCTGTCCTGATTTTTAGTGTTTTCTGTAGTGAGGTGCTTACAGTTATTTAAATTCCATGTTTTGCTTTCTTTTAAGTTGGTACGAAGCTACAACTTTCTAGTTGGAATACAAAAGAAACTAGTCCCAAGATGGGTTTGCTGCTTTCAAATTGGCTGCTTTGATGATGAACATCAAATTCATGTCCATTCTATGTGGAATAGTTCTGCACAGTTATGAGAGTGATGATTAAACCTCTCCTTTAAATAGTATAATAGAAGCTTTACTCAGTTGAGGGTGGGTGGGAGCCAAACTCCATTTTTCTACCTGAGTCACTGCTTTGATGATTAACTTTTTCTTTTATTTTGAATCCCTTCAGAGATCATGGTAAAGACATCTCACAAAAAGAATGCATTGATGATGAGGAGACTTTTAGTTTTTATACTTTGATTTTCACATTTAATATTTTATCTTTATTATCATTATTATATATTTTTTCCCGAAATTGGCCGACTTTGTTTGATCCAGAATGGATGAAGGTCAGTTCCACTTCAACATTTCATGACGTCAATTACCAGAAAGTTTTTGCCTCCCTAACCCACCATTTGCGAGCTATTTATGTTATTAATGACCACCGACAACCTTGAAGGACAAAGACAGACTGATTAGCTATTTTTCTCTTACAAATTCCACTGAATATGTGTAAAATGGCTAGATGTTCCTCGGAATTGATGACTCATGTTGTTTCATGCCATTTAGATTAGGTTTTGTTCTATATCTGTTATTCTTTTGCTATTTTTTCTGGTGTACTGAAGTAGCTAAACAGATGCGTGTACATTGCTCTGATTAGTTGATCTTTGTTATCTCCTTCTTTACAGGTCTCCATGTTCAAGAGGAACTACGATCATCTTCCAAAAGAAACTTATTTCGGCATGTACAAAGAAGCAACTCGTGGTAACCCGAACTACTTCCTGACTTATGGGAATGGAAAGTCAGCTGCAAGAATCGTGGACCATTTGCGTCCTAATGGTGCGCATAGGTGGCACAATTACATGAGAACACCAAAGTAAGATGAGCTACCATTTTAGTATTTATTTTCATTGCTTTATTTTACATTTTTTACTCTTCTCGCCATTAAAAAAGAAAAAAGAAAAAAAAAAGGTGGAGATTTTATTCCCCGCAGTTAAGCTGTATTTTATTTTTCTGTCAGCGAAATAAAACTGGAGGAGGCCGCTGTTCTTCACTTCACATATTCCAAGTTTTCAGACTTGACATCAAGAAGGGACCGCTGTGGTTGCAAGCCAACAAAGGAGGATGTTAAAAGATGCTTCATGTTAGATTTCGACAGATCAGTACGTATCTTAAGCCTTATGAAATGATACTCACTTCTTCCTTGTACGTTCATTCCCTATCAAATTAGGGTTTCTCTATGCGAGTTGGTGAACATTTTTATTTTTATTTTCGTTTGCTATTTTCTCTGTTTAATTGATTTCGATTGCATTGGATCCATATATATATATATATATATGGATGCATGACTCCGTAGGTCATCTATTACATTTGGCAGACTGTCATTGTACTTCATATGTTAGCCTTTCTGGAAGTCACTGATTTCTTTTGCTTTGAAATGATTGTAAGTCAAGTCAACGAAGTTCACAAACCCTAACATGAACAACATGGGACTGGATCTGTGATCTGAGATGTTGAGTGATACCTATCATCTTCCTTTTTCCTTTTCCATTTTTAGTTAGCCGCATGAATGTGTTTCGAGTGTTCTGCATGATTTGTGGGGATTTTTCCTGTATAGGCAAATGCCCAGAAAGCAGCTTAGCATCGTAGATACGCTTCGGATTGGCCAAATCGTATCCGTCTTGTCCCGTTGACTTCTCTGTGACGAGTGGCACAAGGAAGGGATCGTTTTAGAGCTGACTTTTATAATTGCACATAGATTTATCTTTGCGTTGACTCATAATCTATTTCGTGGTCAAATGGCAGGCTTTTATCATTGCCTCGACTGCCACCGAAGAGGAAATGCTGCACTGGTAAATCTCTTTTCGACATCGTATGATATAAATAGTAATCAGATAAAGATTTACTTTCATCGTTGTCCCACATCAGCTCATGGAGTCGTAGGATATCGGATTATTTAGTTGCCCTTTTTATAAATGATCTTAGAACACTCCCTGCCCGGTTGATACCACCCACCCGTTGACCTGGAACCGCACCTCCTGCCGTTCCGTTCTTTTCATTACACCCATGGATGAAAGGAATCTGGGATTGACCCCATCCTGCTAGCCACGTTGACCGCCGTTTTTTGGGTAAGATTTCTCCGGCTTACTTATCTCTCTCGGTGTTGACCCGTGGCAGGTTCCGCGAGCGCGTGGTGTGGACCGACAAAACACTGAAGCTGAAGCTGCTGAGGAAGGGCATTTTGACCCGCATATATGCTCCCATGGCAAGAACCAGCCAATCTTCTTTTTTTTCTAAAAAAGGAAATAAAATATCGGGATCATTATGGAACTTTTTTTTCTTTTTTCTTTAAAATTTCAGTTTCATTTTGGGTTTTTTTTTGGTGCAGTCCATCATCCATAGCTTGAGGGAATCGGGCGTCTTCACCTCCGTCATCGCCGCCGCGCGGAATCATTCCGCCGCCAGGGGCGCCACCGGCGCGGCCCTCGATTCAGGTGGCGCCGCTGTCCTCAAGAGCGGCGCCGCCGTCGCGAGGGAATCCCAGGCGGCGGCGAGGAGGGTCCTCGAGGCCCTCCCCGCCACCTTTCCGGCGGCCGTTCCGCCGTTGCCGCCGCCGTCCTTTGCAGACATCCATGCTGTGGCATCATGAGGGACCCCCCCTCTCCTCCCCATCATCATTATTCTTCGAGGAACCCTTCTCCGCCTTTCGGCAATTAGGGTTCTTCCCGATCAGATCATCCAAGCGTCGGCACACTCCTCGAATTTTCCATGTATAGCAAAACCTCCGAGACAGTTGATTCAGTAAGACTACTCCCCACTACTCTCGAGGCAGCAAGCTTCTTCTTCATTGTATCAGAAACATTTGGGGTGGAGTTTCTTCGCCCGATGCTCAGCCAGAAATGGGCAAATACATGCGAGAATCCGTCCAGAGGATCTTTATCTGGCACAGAAGAACGAACGATACGAGCCCCGTAATGGATACATAAATGAGGTGAGATCCCCTACGAATGATCTCAGATCGATGAGCACATCGATGTCATGTCGGAGGAACTTGCAAGAACAATCGGCAAGAGCTCGCAGAAAAGATCAGGTTCTGATCTGCTCATCCAGGTCTGACGATCTCGTGACTCGTGGGAGAGGATGGTCGCACCGAGAAGGGGGGGTTGGAATGAGACCAATTGGTCCATGGAGCAACCGCATTCCTAGCAACGATCAGAAAGAAAGAAAGAACAAGGACGAGTCGAGGAATGCCACACACAATGTCCGTGATCTCTTCTTGAGCACAAAACCAGGCACGATAGAGACAACTACACACGCTGATTAGGGATCTCGTCCGAGGGGGGAGCAGAGAGAGAGAAGAGACGAGAAATCGAACGAACAGAGGATTTAGAACCTGAGCTTGGAGAAGAACCACCTGTTCTTCCCGGTCTTGAAGCGCTCCTCGAAGCGAGACTTGGTCTCCTTGCAGGCCGTGACCTTCTTGTCCCGCGACTGGAGAGAATCGGCGGTGACGATGTCCTTGAGGTCGACATCGAGGGTGTAGCGAGTCGGCATGATGTGGTTGTAGTTGACGAGCTTCACGAAGGCCTTCACTCTCGACTTCTTCGCCGTCTTCTTGGCCGAATCCTTGCGGATGACCTTCTTCGGGTACTTGTAGATCCCCGCAACCAGGCAGTGGCCGTAGGGCCGATCGCGAGTGCCTTCGTCGAAGTTCTTCACGATTACCGCCTTCCGGCCGGCGAAGCGGCCCTGCAACACGATCACCGCCTTGTTAGGCTTCAGAAACTTCACCATCTTCTTCTCCTTCCTCCTCCCGCCACTGAGCTCCTCTCTCCTCGCCGGCGGGGCGCCGCCGCTGCGTTGATTTGAGTGGGGGAGCTTCACGACCAGAACGGCGGCGAGGGCGGGCAGAAAGATGGGGGTTTTTATAGGTGACTCCACGAAACCCTAAACCGATATTTCGAGTGAATTACAATACTACCTCTGCCGTTATCGGATTCTACGAAGATCCGAAACCGATATTTCGAGTGAATTACAATACTACCTCTGCCGTTATCGGATTCTACGAAGATCCGAAACCGACAGCTCTCGATTGAGTCTTTGAGACCATCTAGCGAAACAGAGAGAGAGAGAGAGAGGACGATAATGGGCCCTTTTACGGGTCCAAAATCCCGGTAACCTCGGGTTATGACCCTACAAATTATAATATAGTCGTATTACAATAATACCCCTGTGTTTATCGGATTCTAACAAGATCCGAAACCGACAGTCTCCGTAACCATCTAGCAAGACAGAGAGAGAGAGAGAGAGAGAGAGACCAGATGGCGCCGTCAAGGGCCGGGCCATTTCCCTGCTCATGAACGTTGGTCAATTCCCGTGGGTCCCACGTGTTTATCCAAATATAGGAATAAAAACATGAGAACAAGCTTATGGGGGGAGGAGGATACGGGAATTCACGTTGACATACCTCTTGGGCTCTTACCAAAAATGACAACAACATTGGAGCTTTATGTCAAAAATATCAACATTTTCCAAATCTGGAAATGAACTGTCCGAATCATATACATCAATTGTTGCCCCCCCCCCAAACCCCAGAATAAAAAAAGGAAAAAAAGCTAGAATTTTCCAGCCACAGTGGAATTTATGCCCTTCTCACTCCACAACATTCCAGACAAAAAATCTAAACGAGACGACTACCCATAAATGGTATTTACATTATTCAGTGAGAAAAACAAAACTCTACCTATACCTTGTCTGAATTCCACTGTCCATCTCTTCTCTATAAGAGAAGAGTCCAAGTTCTTCAGCTCCAATTATCTCCTGTAGTTAAAAGTGAGATCAAAACCTCTCTCTCTCTCTCTCTCTCTCTCTCTCTCTCTCTCTCTCTCTCTCTCTCTCTCTCTCTCTCTCTCTCTCTCTCTCTCTCTCTCTCTCTCGCTCACTCTCAGAGATGGGGTATGAATCACAGCTTGAGGGTGGTATCCACTTCGCCAGCTGACTTTTCAAGTCCAGCTCTGAGCTTCTGGGCAAGGAATATGCTGCAGTCGGCTCCTTTCACCGTGAACTCCATCAGAAGCTCCTCGAAGAGCGTCTTCAGGAGTGACTTGAATTGCGTAGGCCAGCTCCCCCCGCCCTCGTCCAAATCCGGCGCAGTGTCGTCCCCTTCCACGCTCCCCACCTTGGCCCCATTCATGTATGCTCTGCAGGCAACTAATATACCACGGCCATGCTTGCGGAAATGCCCCGCAACAAAATCTTCAAAATTCTGCAGGGAGAAGAAGAAGAAGCAGAAGAGACACTCAGCAGGGGTCAACCAGCGCCGAAATCAGATTCATATGAATGCCACTGCCCAATAGATAGCATAAAACCCAGCCAGACTTCATTTTTTAAAAAAATGAAAAAATCACAGGACCCATCGAAAAAATCAATTAGGGTTATAGCCCCATAAATAAATAAATAAATAAATCTATATACATCATATCACCATTAATCATCATCATTTCTTTCTGAATACGCACTAGATCTGGAGCAATTTTTGCATGAGGGATTTCTTCTTCTTTTTTTTTTTGTGTGGGTAATATTGAGAAATAATGGTTGACTCAGAGACCTCACCTTTGGGGGTGTTCGCAGGGAATACAGCATTGTCTTGCAGGACAACAAGAATGTGTCCTCATTGTAAGCAGACGACTTCATGTCCCCAACTCTAGTGCTCTTCGAGAGTTCATACCCTGGCTCGTTGAAATATGGGTTCGCATTCAAGACCAGAGCTTGGATCGATACGAGGACCTGCAGCATGGTTGACGTTTTGGGGTTCCATTTCTCACATCCTTCGCCGCTCCAAGTGCCCAGAAGACTGAGACAGACCTTCCCTGAGGCGTACAGGTTGGGATTCAAGCGGAGACCACCGGAATGATAACGCACCACCTGCAGAATCACGGCGAGAAAATAACCATTTAAATGAAGTAAATATATTTTGAGTAGAGAAGGAGAAAGAACATACGGGTGGTGAGTCGGGGTACGTGGAAGGGAAAAAACAGTCGAAGAAGAAGAGGCCATCGTGGTAGGGAGTTCCAGATGGTCCAATGATGAGAGCTCTAAGAAGGTCCATCCTCGCCTCGTACACTCTGATGAATATTGTCTCTGCGAATGTGCGAGAAAATAAATAATAACTAATAAATAAAGAGACGAAAAAGAATAACATAGTAGTACTCTCTGAGAGGGTAATAAAATAAAGAGAGGAGAATAAGAGGCTCTAAAGGCAATCTAGAATCCATTGGGTGAATTTTATTTTATTATTTATTTATTTATTTTTCACCTGGCAAATCTTTCTGTAGGAGCTTCCACTCGTACTGAATCCTCTTCATCCAACACTTTGGTGGCTGTGATAAACATGCCAAGCAATCAGCAACAGGGCAATTCAACAGAACATAGAAGAAAATGGTGATGTAATCAATAATCTAGTCACCTCTTTTGCAACACAGGTTGCTGCTGCTTCAGATTCCAGTTTAAAAAAGTGATGGTCTGAGTAATCCTGGACACTGTCGAACTGTTTAAATTCTTTAAATTTAGCATCAATTTTATCCACCTCTATTGACTTGTTGCAGATACTTCCCTTGTCGGACGTCAGCTTTTGCCACCATGGGAATGTGGCCTCCACACCAGGAGGAAAATCTAAGTGGTCGAATTTCTCAGCCTGGTCGTAATTGAAATGACTATCAAATGCATCATTTTCATAAGCATAATCATCATAATTATCATCTTCGTCTTCATAGTCATCATCATCCCAAAGGTCACCATTAATAAAGGTGCCATTTTCTTCAGTGCTATTTAGATTTTCCAAAGGTTTGTCAGCTTCAGATGGATTAAATGAACTAGAGCCCACAAAATATCTCTCCCAATTTTGACCTTCAACGACAACCTGTTTGAGCTTGCCATTTACGGCACCTTGGCCAAATTCCAGAAGATTCTGAGCATCATCAGCATTAACCTCGATTCCATTTACATCATTCTGCTGACTCCAAGCATCAGCATACGCAGTGCTCGGTAGAGTTTCCAAAGGTTTGTCAGCTTCAGGTGCACGAAATGAACTAGAGCCCACAAAATACCTCTCCCAATTTCGATCTTCAACGATGACTTGTTTGAGCTTGCTATTTATGGTATTTTGGCCAAATACCAGAAGATTCTGGTCATCATTAGCTTTATCATCATTCTGTTGACTCCAAACATTAGCATACGCAGTGCTCGGTAGAGTTTCCAAAGGTTTTCCAGCTTCTGATGCATGATATTCACTACTGCCGACAAGATAATTGTCCCCCATACCCTGCAAAAGAGAGATAAGCAAGCAAAGAGATTGATTGGAAAGATGCATACAAGGAAAATCTCAAGAAATATATTTCAATGTCTTTTCCTTGCCTCTCTTGAATTCCTCCAATTTTGATCTTCAACGACAACTTGGTTGGGCTTGCCACTGATGGTACTTTGACGAAATACGAGAAAATTCTGATCATCATCAGCATTATCATCCTTGATCTCGATTACATTATTCGGTCTATTCCAAATATCTGTAGTGCTCAGTAGTGTTTCCAAATGTTTTCCTTCTTCTGATGCATGATATGCACTACAATCAACAGGATAACTACCCACTACACCCTGGAAAGGAGACAAAAAAAAAAGACATTAATTGACTGGAAAGGCGCATACAGACAAATTTTTCAAGAAAACTTTCAACGTGTTTTCTTGCCTCTATTGGATTGTTCCGATTTTGATCTTCAACGATCACTTGTTTGAGCTTGCCGTTCATGGTACTTTGGCCAAATATCAGTAGACTATGATCGTCATCTTCTTTGATTCCAATTGCATCATTATATGAAACCTGAATTTGTGCAGGTAAATAAACAAATGAAGTTAATTCACAACAGATCTTCAGTCAGCTGCCACATTGCTTCTGAACGTAACAAGCTAGACATTACGAGCTTAAATTATATAAAAAAAATCTTATTACGTGAATTCCAGGTTATGCATGTAGCACTCACTGGACACCTAACCTGAAATATGTTGGAAGAGAAGGCACGGATTCCTCATTAATATAGAGAGAAAAAAACACATCTACATTACATAGCAAGGTTCCCACGTTGCATCAACATTGGATTCAGTGAACCAGAAAATTTTGAAAAAAGTTTCTCTTTTCAAGTAGACTATTTTTTTCTTTCATGAGTTGAGTGGTGAAGATTTTTTTATTGCTGACTTTGGACGAGCTCAAGAGTAATCAGGAGTTCAGGTTAAACTGCAGAAAATCTTGAGAGGGTCAACAGTGAACTTACCCAGCCTGCCAATAATGTATCATTCATGTCAGAGTATAATTTTCCCTGGAATGGTACACATGCATATATAAGAAATAGAAAAGTACACTCGCGCCACCTTTGCAGACCGAAACTATGAGGCTTCCTCCCCCCCACTTCCCGCCTACTTTTTCTCAAGCATTAGATATACCAGGGAGGTTTAACATTTACACGAGCATATGTACATACGTACGTTTGTATGAATGATCCATGCATGAATGTATGCATAAAACGTGCATACCTCAGCGCTCACATACATATCACTCATCTAGTTTAATAGATATTATGTTTGTATTACACACGTGCGTTTGCATACAAGACTTCAGTATTCTGCACATAAGAAAACTATAGAAAATTGTCCATTTCTTTGATCCCACTCGTTTAACAATCACATGGTACAATAAAGAAAAATACTTCTCATTAAATGCTCCTACTCACTAAATTTAAATAAAAATAAAATTGATGAATTCAATAAATTATGATATTTCACGATCAAAAGTTCAAATAGTATCTGATCATAATCATCTCACATGGGGAAGAAAAATGACGATTCTAATTGTTCGATTGTTATCTCCTTTATTTTCACCATATTCTTGACTCGATCGGTGTTCAAGTTATTCAGGACTGCATGTGATCTGCGCGTGCCCGACCGTACTCTATTTGGCTAGCTATGTTTCAAACACGAACACATTGGAATAAACCACAGAGAAAGAAAAAAAATCATTAAGCCAATTCTGCTTAATTATTTTCCAAACCCAGGTCAAACGACTCCAGATAGCACACACACAAAAAAAATAAATCATTATATTCCGGTGAGAGGAATCTAAATACCCGGGTCCTCTCGCCATCACGTCGATCGAACATCCAGTGAGCCGACGACGCTTCGGCATCCAGATCAAGAAAGGAATCACTTCTCGAGCACTGGCCTCTGTCCATATGAAGACTTTCAGCTCGGAAGGGGCATATCAAGGATACAGAATAGAAAGCAGAACATCTTCCCCACCTCCTCTATCCCGAGTACTAGCATGAACTCACCCGTCTCCCCATCCCTCTGGGCGCTCCGAGGCCGGTTCCGCCTCCATGGGGCCAGAAGCACGCCCAACCTCCTGCTACCCTTCCTGCGGGCCACGGTGGCGATCCACCGCAGGAGAAGGAGGGGAGAAATTCCGGTAGGTGCGGAGATGGAAGAACTTCCCCTGCGAGGATCCGAGTTTCTCGAAAGGGCGACAGCGTTTCTTCCAGTTTATTGAATGTTTTTCCTCCACCAATATTCCCACCCCTCGATTACTCCCCTCCACCCCCGCCTCCTTCCATTTCTGGTAACCCAACTGGCCCTCCCAACTCGGGCTGGCGCGGAGAATATCCACACCGGGCGGATGCCGTGGGGAGAATAACATCAGTCTTGGTCGATACGTAGGACAGAGAACCGCGTAAACTCTCTCCCTACTCCGCTTAGTACTCGGAGAAACTGAACCGGAAAATCTCGATTTGCGCGCTATTGGTGCCGAAATTTCGAAACTACCATCGCTTACGTGGCCATTACTCTTGACTAGCCCGCGGACGACGTGGCTTTCGTCCCTGCTAAATCAGGAGCCGCCTAGTCAGATGGGCGTTCCCAAGAGCCTTTCCTGGGGCCCACCATCCCACCAACCCGGCATATGACGTGTCACAGGGGACACGGCGGGGCCCAATAATGAAATGGGCTGATGCTGATGGGACCAAGGTCCGAAACTAAAGCCCGAAACCCACCCACCACAACCCCTGTCTGGGTGATGGGCTGGTCCAGTAAGAGCCCAGGGGAGATGGGAAGGTCAACCCTGGACTAGGCCCGTTGACCCTCAGCCTAACCTCTCGAATCCCGGATGAGCAAGCATCGTAAATTCCGGTTCTTTCATGAAAGAGGATCGAGAGATGAGCTTCTCCGAGCCCACACCATTACTGCGCTGACCAAGTGGGGTGGGGTTGACTCCCCGTTGACCTTGGGTTGACGCAACCAGAGAGGACAGAACTTCTGCACAAATCGGGCAGGAGAGGGAAACAATTCCACTTATTTCTTGGATGCTATTTACATCATAACGAATAGATATCGACGCCCCATCGATAAAATCAGGCTGAAAAAATGAAAGGGAACCGAATGCATCTCTGCGCCTCTGGTGAATGATTCTTTAATTTCCGGATGGAAAATTGATCCAGGAAAAATGGGGCTCATTCGCTGTCCCTGCTGCCGGCGGCTCTCATCCGGTGGCGCCTGGAGCTCGGTCTCCGCTCCCTCCCGCGCTTAGCCGGCAGCTTCGTCGGCGTTGACTTTCCGGGTCTCTCCAGCGCGGTCCTCGGCAAAATGGGCGGCCTCGGGCGACTTGGGGAAGGAGGGGGCGGGACCACCATGCTCTCCAAGAGGTCCCGATGGTAAGACTGCCAAAAGTCAACGCTTACCATTAAAAGGTATTCTCAACAGAGAATACATATATATATATATAGTATACGGACAGTACAGAAGAAGAAGAAGAAGAGGAGGTAAGACTGCTTAAAATGTCAACGCTTATTCTTATCACCGTAGAATATAATACAGCTTATGAGCATTACAGAGAAGAAGAAGAAGAAGACTAACCTGGACGACGAAGTTGCGCCTCTCGCAGTCCAAGAACATGTCGAGCTTCCAGCCCACTTGTGCCATTAGCCTGTCCCTTACCGTGGAGAAGCTGAGCTGGTCCCTCGAAGTGAAGCGGTCAACCTCATTGAACCAGAGACAGGTGAAGAGATTCGTGATGGGGAGGTGCTCTCGGATGATCACGCAGCCCTCGGGGACATCTGGGAGCCAAAGATTGAAGCTTTTCTCAGTGCCATCCCATGAGAAGAGAGGGACCCACAAGAATAGAAAGGCAAACTGCCGCCGGCGTACCGCTGGTTATGGGAAGCTTTGCCGGAGAATAGTGGGTCAACCCCTCGTTCGCGTAGAACTGAATCTGGTAATCGATGGACGCGTTGTCGTACTTTCCGGCGGCCTTATTGGCTTCCGCTTCGTCAAAAACGTCGAAGCGCTTGTAGTGTCTCGAGATGGCGAAGGTGGTGTTCTTCCTCCACAGGAATCTGCATAGGGCGATATATATATTCCATACTCCATGAAGTAGTCTCATGCATAGGGCAGAGATGAAGAAAGATATTTGTGTCTTCAGGGTCGAATAAATAAGCATGCTTTGAATAATCGCATAGAATAAAGAAAATTTTCCAGAGTTTTTATTCGAGAAAGAATGCGAAAATAAGAAATACAAATATTATCTTTGAAATCACTCCTAAAATCATGTTGAAGTTATTTCCTCATGTGGGCTATTAATTTTTTCAGAGTTTTTATTCGATAAAGAATGAGAAAATAAGAAATATGAATATTATCCTAGAAATCACTGTTTAAACCATGTTGAAGTTATTTCCTCATGTAGATTATTAATTTTCCAGAGTTTTTATTCGAGAAATAATGAGAAAATAAGAAATACGAATATTATCTTAGAAATCACTGTTTAAACAATGTTAAAGATATTTCTTAAAGGCATGTAATTAATTTCTTTCATGAACAAATATTTACAAACTTCGAACAAAATATATGCCGTAGGACCACGCACCTCTCAAGAATCTGATAGGGGTCCACCACAAGCTGAAGTTTTCCATCAATCCACAGAGAATATCGAGCGTTTGGGAAGATCCTATGCAGTAGAAGCTTTGGGACCTGCAGATTCACTATGCACAGTGAGGAAATGACCAACGATGATGCAAAGTGCTGGAGGGGAGACTCCACAGAAAATACCTGGAAATCATTCACAACCTAAAATAAATATTTATTGACACATCTAAAAATAAAAGGTCAAAGCTCTTCAGCAAACTTCAAAGAACATCTCGTTGACTCTTAGGATGCAAGATGTGAGGAGAAGTTGAGTGAGCATGAGCGAAACTCACAGTCACAAGAGCAGGGTCGGGCCATTATCCGAATACTTGAGAAACTGCTGAGAGGTGACGTGGCCTCATTCAATAAGAGTAAGGACCTTATAAAAATAAAAACGAATGCCGTATGCGGATCATGTGGATTCACAGTGTGGCAACGGATCTGACGAGGTCTTCTTTGTGTGATGGCAGAAAAAGGATGGGCTATGTGAACCTGGTTGTGAGTTGTGTTGAAAGGGAGGAAATGATATAATCTGAAATCATTATTATTCACAGCTGTAAATGGATTCAAAATTATATATATACATATATATATAATGTGACAAGCAGGGTGACTGGGAGAAAATGCCTGAGGCAGCTTGGCTGCAGGGACCTCAGAATAATAATATGATAGGAAGGAATGGAAGCTCACAGGAAAGGATGATGTTAGCTATGCCTCATGATTCAACCAAAGTCTCGAAACTGAGATTTTTTAATCAAATATATAATCTATTTCTTTATATATTTTTAAGTGATCGGATTAACCGTCTGATTAGGAGAAGAGGAGGCCAAGTTTTATCGAAGATATACACTATGCTTGAAGAAAAGCTCTCAGAGAATGAACTCTGATTAAGAAGGAATAGAAGCAAACTCAATACTCGCAAAAGCTAAAAATGATGCTAACATAGCATAGTTCTTTGTGCTTTTATTTATGAAATCAGCTGGCGGATGAATAAATTGATATCGGCTAGAGGCAATCATCTATTGCAGAGATACAAAATGCTTGAAGAACTCTCACAAAAGATAAAAATGATACCAAAATAACATTATTCATTGCATTTTTATTTATGAAATCGGCTAGCAACGTAAGAACCGATATTGGCAAGCGGCAGTCATCCAGCTTTTAAACTTACAATATACCAGAAAAACTACAGTGACATAAGCATAACGATTTACTTTCTGCAACAATTGAAGGCTGGTATATTTCCCATCTTGGAAATTGGAGTGAAGACACTTATTCACAAGAAATTCAGAAGCAAGGGTACCTTTCCAGTGCGTCTAGCATCGACATAAGGAAGGTTCCTGACGACCACAACCTGCCATAACCCAACTTTGTTCAAGCTGTCCAAGGTACTGGAGTTCTTTATGTAAGCCTCAGTCTCTTCATCCACAAACATGTAAAAGCAAACCGTCTTCATTGATATTTCACTGATGTTTTGGGGCTGTTGCATTACATCATAATTCCCTAATGAAGAAGAACAGAATAAAATGGTCAATTTGTCCTTCTATTCGAGAAGAAATGCCGAAATGACAATGAGAGTTCATATTACCGAAAATGGCGGATGCTACAACTACACCGTGGCATTGCTCCATCTCAAGAAGATCACCAGTGTCGATGTCAAATCCACAGCCATTTCCAGGCCTATTTCCCTTAGAAAACCTGCAAAAAAACGAGTACATCTAAATTAATAAAAATGCAGTGAAAAAGTGAAAGGAAATATTCGATATTTCCCTGGATTCATATGGACTATAATAACCAAAAGGAATACAACCTAAGGGAATAGCTATTTCCCTCCGTTCTTTCTGACTTAGAGAGCGAGGCCCACTTTATGATTCATACAATAAAAGAGCTATTTTCATTCATCTAAAATCAAAAAAAGTAGAGTCATACCCACAGTGCACAGTCATTGATTCTTTAATATTAAAAGTCTCATTCCTTTGCTCTAAAGACGGGTGCCCACCAAATAAAGAACCGCCATTAGATTCATTAATGGTTGAATCTTCTTCAGAAAAGTATGTCAAATACTTCAGTACGGGAGATACTGATGGTGCAGATGGCATGAGAGCTATAGCATGCTCAACAGGGATGTAACAAACAGGACATGCTGAACAGACAAAGAAAAGAACTGTCAGAAACATCATCGACATTGGCAAAAAATAACATGTATTTAAGGTTTTGAAGAACTTACGACGAGGTCCTGTGCGTTTTCTATCAACTGGAGGTGGCGAAAATGAGAAGCCTTCACAAGGATGTTTTGAAGGTAAGGGGCTTGCAGAAGCAAATGCCAAAGATTGAGATGCATTCATCTCAACAGTTATGTAGTTATTCGGCGGACTAAGTATCTTTACACTTAGTTGATCTCTTAGTTGATCTCTCTTTGAGGTAAACAAGTTATTTGGGGGAACGAGAGCCACAGAGGGATGCCTAACTTGAGAAAATAGAGAATCGTCAGTTGTCTCAGAAATTTCTGAAACATCTCCACCTGAAACATGCATTCTCAATAGTTCAGAGGCGCGTGATTTAAAAAGCAATTAAACAGCAGAAAAGGTTACTATGACTGCGGGAATTCAGCAAAAAAACGTCCCCGAAATTATTTAAAGTATACTCGATGAGATTTTCGATCAACACAGAAAATTCAACAAGGATGAAACTGCCAGCAAGACAGAAAATTATCTTTACGGGGAATAATCAATCATTCACCGGCCCACCAAGAAAATAACTGGTGAACATGTACATTGAGAAAGTGCATCTTAACACATATCATACTAACTGAAACAAGGCAATTTAAACCATTTTCACAAAACATAGGAAGTTTAGTTCATCCATTAATGTAGAAACTTGATAATAGAAAATCCCTTTTCTCTGAGGGACGAAAATTCACTGAAACTGGGTGGTCCACCATTTACATGCCATATATTCCACACCCACCATCCCGTTAATACCATCTTCACCCACCAGATCTTAAGTTGTTGTTTCCAGGGATATAATCCCTTAAAGCCAGTCAAGTTCTATCATATAACGATTATGTTCAACATGAGTAGCTTACATCTTTCTTTCACTCTGTCCATAAATTTGAATTGTTACACTAGCGCATTTCATGGAAACCACAAAATTTAATTCATGGCTATCAAAACATCATATGGGTGACGCCGAGGAGAAAATGGGTAAGAGGGCAAGGCATGCCAAGTACTTGGGGGACCAGGGCTAAAAGGCGGGGCAAGGGAAATCCGGTGCATATTAATTTTCAAAAAATATATCATGTAAAAGTAGGCTTCAGTATGCCATCACCTTGCTCCATCGGCCAGCTTAACAAACAATAGTTTGATGGCATACTAATGAAATGCCCAAATCATATATCTGCAATGAGGTTGCTGAATCTTAAATCACTGGACAACAAAGAACACAGGCAGAGAGCAAGCATTTGGGTTGAGAAAAATTCCCATAGCGTCACATTAGAAAGTCGATGACATTGAATTCAAGATGGTTAAACCTTCCACTGCGAATAATATTTAGACAATTAAAGTAACTACAAACTTTTTAAATCAGCAACTGTGAACAAGCAATAGCAAAAATAGATGGAAGAAACAAGATAAACAAAAAACTCGCTACCTGAAACCAGTTACCTATTTTAATGGCAAGCCACCACTGATTGATAAGGTTTCCACAATACATTATTGAGCATACTATTTTCCTGATCAACCATTTACTAGCCTTTGATGCAACATACAATCCCTCTATCTGGTGAGGATAGCAACTAAACATTCATTTCTAGGCATTCTGTCTTGTTCTGTTTCTTCTCTTAGAGGATATGTCATAGTAAGAGATCCTCTTAACGCATGAACATTTATTTTTGTTTGTATCTCCTTTTCAGGGGGCTTCGATTGTTCCCAGTACGTAGCCTAAAAAGTCCTCGGTAATAGTTGCAATTGAGAGTTAACTGTCGTTCGTAATGATGAAAAATAAAAACAATCCAGACAATAAAAACGACCATGAATCGATTTGGCTTTCAACATTGATCTAGTTTCTGAAATGGGAAACAAGTAATAGGATGGTACATGATGAGAGAGTTCATTAAATTTTCTTTTTCCTTTTGAGAAGGGAAGAAAAGAAATCCCCAAAATGAGGAGGTAAAAGGAACCAAACCCGGGACCAGACCAGATGGATTTCTCGACCTTTCCTTTTTCTCTTTCTTTTACTAGATAAAGAGCCCAATGCAATTCTCACAGGGAGGTCCGAATGACCTGTATACACATCAAACGATCTCGTACGTTTGTACCCTTGGGCGAATTAGTGGCTGCCATCCACTTTCAAAAGAAACCTTCTACCCTAGCCTAAAAAGGCAATCGATCAATAACGGAAAATCATTTTACAACCTGCATTTGAAGTCATCTCCGCTCTACTACAGTCTTCCGCAGGGTGAAACCTTACAAACGGCGAAGGTACTGTAGAGAAATGTGCATGGCGATGACAGAACTTCGGGAGGAGCAAAATTACCATCCCAAATCAAAGACAAGAGGAAGGAAAAAGTTCTCTGGGGTACGCGATTGAAGGCCTTACCTCTCCTGAAAAGAAACACGCCCGCCATCACGATCATGAGAGCACCGACAGATGCCATAAACGCGAGGTACACGCCGACTCTGATTGGAAAACACAGCCTGTAGATCCGGGACTGACCCTTTTCCTTCCCGCCTGAGAGCGACATCCTCTGGTTCTTGCGACCATTACCTGTCGTCTGCTGAATCGGCAACCTGGTATCGTTGGGCAGATGCTGCTGCAGTGATCCATAGCTCCCTGAGCGTAGCCCCAATGAGCCCCCAGTCATCGTCCCTCCCAGCCAGCCAGTCCCCAACTCATCTCCCTGATCCTTCCCGGCTTCCTCCAATTCAAAGTTCTGACGCTGCCCAATACACGGCACACAGCCTCGTAGATCTGCACTCCACTTCCAATACGAAGCAGCCAACGCTGCCTTGCACAAAAACACACAGGTCTACGCAACTATTATCTTATAAGATAATTTCATTAATACCCCTACTATAATTATTTAAAACTAAAAAGTTATTAACTAGTTATAATTTCATATATACTTTAACATTATGTCCTTCACACCGACAATATCATTCGGGTCTGCTCACTTCTGCCCCAAGTCGAACTTTCCTAAAATTTAATAAAAATAGTTCATATTTTTTAGGACTTAATAGTGAAGGAGGCAGAATTACCTGGTTAACTACTTTCTCGGAGTAGTAGAAGAAGAAGGGAGAGGTGCGAGTGGTTCCCTCGCCGGCGGGGAAGGGAGTAATCGAACGGCGACAGTCTTCGTCATCCCCGCGGCCTCTCCCTGCGGTGAAGTTCCTCCCGCTCGGTCCGCTCTTTTGTAGCTCTCCGCCTGTTCGGTGAGGTGCAGGAATCGGATCGAAGAACGACAGATTCAATCGATCAACTGCGATTCGTGAAAGAATGGCGGACGCTGTTTTCAACGCACGCCAGAAAACGACGAGCCCACGGATATCCATTGGCGGAGACGGCGAATCCAGATCGAAGCGGGACCGGAATTGGTTGGAACGTTGCCGTCGTTGACGAGGAAGAACGGAAGGTGCGATGCAGATCGGCAGGTTCATCATCGGCGGCGGCACCCTCGGATTTGGAGCGTCGTCTCGCAGATCTTCCACAGGAGCACCCCGATTTCTTTACTGAAATTGAATCAGGTACGCATCGTGGTGCTTCGAGGGATTCAGTCGATCCTCTCTGAATATGACTTGCCCTAGTCAATTGTTCTCAGCACATTTTTCGATCAATACCAGCGACATCTCTGAGAGATTCTCACCCTCCATTCAACTATTTCAAAGAAGAATCATCTGGTTTCTGCTCATCCCAGACTGCTCGAATCATCAATAGGAAACAAGGAAAAAAAACGAAAAATTATCCCATGAGATCTCCATTTCTACTTGCAGTGTGAGCTGGTCGCTGGAAACTGGCTGAATGGCAAGATTACGCCATGAAGAGGGGGGGGGGGAAGGAGGGGGAGGACCCCATGAAAGCAATTCCCCATATGTCATCAACATGCACCGGAAGAGATGGGAACAGAGCCAATTTCTGTGCGGTTCAGGTGTTAAACTCTACAAAAAAATGATCACGCTAATTACACCAGGGAGGGGGGAGAGATCCAGATCACAAAAATTTGGGCTGCGGCGGCCCAGCTCCACCGTAGGTCAAGGGTTTGAGCTTCTGGATCCAGTGAAGCAGTCGCTTCTTGTGTTCTTGGCAGGTGATATCTTGAACGAGGTTCAGAGTCCCATCTTGGCCGATGGCCGATTCGAACTGCTCCAGGACCTTCACAATCTGCCAGAAATCGGGCCTCTTCTCGGGGAGCAAGGACCAGCATTGCTCTATCAGGGCTCGCAGTGGCGGCGGGCAGCTGTCGGGGATGGTGGGCCTTATGTTCTGCAGAAAGTCAACTCTTCTTTATCAGAGAATGCCCTCAGATTGTTTCGTAGAAGAAAATTTGCATTGGTTTCTATCAGTAGTAAACCCACAAGAATAATAAATACTTCAGGAAACGTTGTAAGAATCTTCCCAAGGCAAAATCCAAATGGGTTTCTATAAATAAACCTGAAGAGTTATAAAAACGATATGTTGGAGATGCTCTGAATTTTCCCAGAAGAAAATTGCAAATGGGTTTCTATTATAAACGATAAAATTCGAATTTTTCTCCGTAAAATGCTCTAAATTTTCCTCAGAGGAACTATAAATGGGTTTCCAAAAATAAACCACAAGAACGTTGCACAGAGTAAAGAACTATGATTATCACAACTAGAATCTAGAAAACTGCAGGCACCGCTTCTAGGGGACCCACCCACCCACCTTGTCGACGACCGCAAAAGCTGCCTGGACAGGTGTCATCTCCTCATACGGGATCTTCCCCGTCAGCATTTCCCAAAGGAGCAGCCCGAAGCTGTACACATCAACCTTGTGGCCGTAGGGCTTGTGCTTGATCATCTCAGGGGCCATCCACCGATAGGTCCCTGGGTCTTCAGCCAACACCTCGCAGTACGCCTCCTCACAGGCTATTCCAAAATCAGCAATCTTCACGCATGAATCTTCGTCAAAGAGGATATTCTCGGGCTTTAGGTCGCGGTGGATGACCCCCTGTGAGTGGACATACTCCATCCCTCGTGAAATATCAAGGGCAATCGCGATTGTTTTTTTCAGAGGGAGGGACTCGTTCTTGAGCTTGTGTAGGATTGCTCTTAGGGAGCCTCCGGAGAGGTATTCGGTGATGATACAGAAAACTGGCGGCGTCCTGCACGCTGCTACTAACTGCACCAGAAAGATGATAGCTATCAGTTGGCGGGGCAATAATCCATCTGGGTTCTCATCCTGATAGCCTAAGCAGAAACCGCTGCCAACATCTTCTCGGTGTTTGGCAGCGATTCCAAAAGAATCTCCAGCACAACATTTAGTAAGTAGCAATTCGAAAAATATATATATATATAATTTTTGGAAGAAATTTCAAGAAAATCCATAGTATTTGAGAACAATTCAAATGATAATTTCACCATTTGGAAGAAATTCGAAAAAAAAATCCCTATATTTGATAGACAGGTCTCGGGGAAAAAAAAAAGACATTCGGTAGTGCTAAATCTAGATGTCGGATACAAACCCGTGCCAGAGATTGCAGATGTGAGGGAAAATAGAAAATGAACGAACAAAACAGAACGGTCGGCTCCATCAATGAAAGCAGTTCTGTCTTACAGCAGATTCGAGAGAATTCAAGTAGTCTAAATTATAATTAATTGGGTACTAAATATACACATGGAGTCAAAAAATTCAATCAATAAGTAGCAACACTAAACTCACTATACTTAACAAGGAACAAGAAGAAATGGGATTTCTAAGGATTTCGGGAAAAAATGATACACAAATTATGGAATATTTAAAACTGTATTCCCAGATGTAAAAGAATAACTAAAAAAACCCATGTGGGTGACGAACATATTTCATGAAAAAGATTATTAACATATATCGACCACAACCTCAAGGTTAGGAAAAGAAGATAATCAAATAATTTTAAAATATATAGATCTAAGCAAAGCACCAACTGTTGTCAGGAAAATACCTTGATCACATTCCGATGGTTGAGATGAGATAAATGAGTCACTTCTCTAGTGAACTGCTTCTCTAATCGGGCAGCCAAATTGGCATTTTCGTCATCATCAGGTTGCGTTATAACCTTCACCGCAACAGGTAGATTCTTGTAGATACCATGGTACACCTTGCTGTGTGCTCCACAGGCAAACTTAAGGCCAAGATACAGCTGGGAAAGGTCGCCCTTCCACTCCTCCATGGTCTCCATGGCAGTCACCCGACCCCCTCCATGGTCAAAGTACCTTGCCCATGCGGTCTCCTTCTGACTCTTTTCCTTGTTAATTCTCTTCGTTGAAGATAGGCGCTGGGCGAGGCCAATATGCGGAGGTGATGGGGAGTTGGAAAACCGGTGCCCGGCAGCAGGGGTCTCTCTGGAGAACAATTTACCGATAAATCCCTTCTCGTAGTCTTTCCTCCTTGGCAGTGGGGTGGAGAACCTCTTAGTCTCAGACCTTGCTTCTTTGAATGCATCGGAGAGTACTGTAGCTGGGAGAGGGGATATAGATCGCTCCTCATTTGCTCTCCTCTCCTTTCTACCAGCGAACGAACTGGATTTCCGAGGATCAGGATGACTGGGCCTCTGTGAAGACTTGGAGACGGGTTTGGCAACATCAGAGGTTGTAGATTCCAGCTTCATTCTCTCATTGGAGTTCGGATTTACGGATGAAGCAAGGATACTCGGCCGGGTGGTACCAGAAACAGTTGACTCAGGTCTACTCGCAGTTGCCGAATGGTTTCGTGAAGCTATCTCTGGTCCCGGAAGGGGGTTCTGCCAATGAGGACGGATCAAGACTGGAATAGAAGGCAACTTGGAAGAATCTAGACGGACGCAGACTGTATGTGAGAACTTTGTCCGCCTCACCCAAGAACTGCATTCTTCTTCCATCTTCACAACCTGAATCGAATTCAATCCACCTGTGATGCGCGCGATTGAGCGCTGGCCTTTATCTGCTTTGTTCTTCTCCTCCCTCATACAATCTTACAGGATCATGGCCCAAGGTTCACATCCAACCATATCCATTATGACGAGTAGAAGGATCTCACCCTCCCTTGATTTCATCATTGCCTCAATGAAGAATTATTTTGGAGAGAAGATGATCTTCACCAAATATGATTCAACGGACCTTGCACGATTTCTGAAAAGCAATCAGGCAGGCATTCGTAAAATACATGAGAAATCATGGCAAAAACAGCGCAGGATATTATTAGAAGAGATCTGAAGGCAGAAAATCCGCCTCATGAGCAAATCACAGGTCATCGAATTCCGCAAGAAAAATTCAAAAAACCTCATAGTAATATAACGACGCAAAACCGGAGAATCAGTTTTGTATCTGCGCAATACCGACATGGCTTCATCAAGGAGGGAAATCAGTTTCGTATCGCCGTGGACGATCCTACCTTCTTTATCCACGCAACCGGAGAATTGGCGATCGTACGGACTTTGATTCCGTGATCACAGAACCACCTTCAGGGCCATAAACAATATCATCACGATCCCAACTCCGTCGTTGCCCCCACCGTCTTTGCCGCCGAGGCAGAGGGCCGAACCAGGGTAAGGATCTCTCTCACTTCGTTCGGAGTTTGAAAGGCGTAGCAACTCCTCGAGGGCCAAGACGAAACGAGAAGCCCAGACGACGCCCTCTTTCTCTTCCTCCTCCTCCTCCTCCTCCTCCTCCCTGTACGCGTCTGCCGTATCGTCGTCCTCTGTGAAGGATTGTAGGGGAAAGAACCGTGGAAACCTGCGTACGCCTCTCTCTCTCTCTCTCTCTCTGGGGTTGAGAGAGAAAGAGGAGAGAGAGGAGACGCTGATGCGACTATTGGTTAACAGAATATAAAATTTTCAAAATAGAGCCTTACGAAACTCACAATATTTTAAAAGCCTTCAATATTTTAAGTTTGTCAGTTTCATGAACTGCGGCGTAAAAAGGGCTTTTATGCGAGGTTCAGAAGAGTAATTCCACAACTGACAGAGTTTTAAGGTTTACTTTAGATAAAGAAAATTCCGATCGCGTCAGCGACGACTTTAACGTCGCCTTCTGGCCCGGCTTCTAGATCAAACAGACGGTGGGTGATGCGTGTAGACAAAAAGGGTCCCACCAACCATCGGGCGAGCATGGGATCGTGGGGATGAAAATGGCGGGCCCCACCTCAGAAAACTAGGCGTGAGAATCTCCTCCTGTACGTCCCATTAACGCTGACCAATTGTGCGCTGACACGTGCCATTCGAAACGCTCACGACCAATTCTGCGGGATATCACGTGCAAAACACACGTGTAGAATACCGTCATTCTGTGGAGCTAACGTAGACGGTTCTACCTATCCCGAGAAGCCCTCAGCAACCCTCTCTCTCTCTCTCTCTCTCTCTCTAAAAAAAGGCACCCCTTTCTATTTTTGTCGTAATTCCCTGGGGAGGAGATCATATGCATTTGATTCTATATATAGAAATGTTATTTTTATAGGGTATCATTTGATACGTGCCCATTTTCATGTGGGCGTTGTGTAATTTTTCTTCAACCTGGGGATATCCGTGTATTACCACCTAAAACAAAATAAATTTGTTTGTCTTATTCCGGAAAATAAATTATTTCCCGAGAGTTTTCATCAAGTTACAGTTTTTAGGTCGTTGGGCCAATAATATTTATTTAAAGAGTTATTATTTTAAAATTTGTATACCTTTTTTTATCATTTTAGTCAGGTTCTCTTCAACTATTTCTCCTTCGCTTCGTGGGGATCCGGATCATTTAATGCCACGTGGTTCGTGGGCCCCACATGGCAAAAATCTAAAGGAACATTCCTAAACTTCAACGCCCCCACCTTGTCGCATCTGTTGAACGGTCTTAGTGCCGAGGTCAGCGTCAGGAAAAGAATGGGCCCATTATTAATGTGGCCCAATACGTTAAGTCGTATTCAAATTCGTCGCTAAACGCCACAAAGCTCGGTCGACATCAGGAAAGATGGGCCGTCCTCATTGCTTGCTGACGTCTAATCTGTCGTTTTTTTGGGCCGTAGCTTCACATTGGGCTTCCGCCACATCCACCACAGCCCCAATGGGCAGATGGCCCACAGAAAGAAAACGACGTACACCCGGCCCGGTAAACAACAAACATTCACCAAGAATCTCTCTCTCCCCCCCCCCAAATAGGCTTGAATGGCCCATTAATCAGCACACGTTGCTTGTGTTAACAGGCCTCCCCGGGCCAGGCCCATTAACAATCAACATCAAGAGAAGAGAGGGAGCCAATCGAGGGTATGGCCAGCGGACATGGGGATGATCTCTCCGGAGGGGAAGGAGTAGGATTTCGGCACCTTCCATGGGGACCTCTTGAGGGTGATCGTCGAGGAGTTCCGAGGAAGCCCATAGAAATCCGGCCCATTAAAGCTCGCGAATGCCTCCAGCTTGTCCAGCGCTCCCGCCTGAGTTAGTTTCCACAAGAGAGATTAATTAGCAGAGGGGTGGGTCTCGATGGCCTTACTAGGCCCGAAAGCCCGGACATGGCCCAATTCAGTTATGGACTTTTTTAACTAGTAGGGCCACGAAGCACAGCCCAAAGGGGGTTTCACTAGAGTATCAGAGAGAGAGAGAGAGAGTCTTCCCCTCAACTGGAGGGATGAAGGGACTGAATAGATCACCTGCTCAAAAACCTTGGCATAAAGGGATAATGCGACTGGAGCGTTATATATTCCGGCACATCCGCATGAAGATTCCTTCCTCCCTCTCTCATGAGGGGCGCTGTCAGTCCCAAGGAAGAACTGCTTGCTGCCACTTGTCACAGCTGAGACAATGGCTGCCCCTACAAGGGAAAAAATATTCAGAGCAACCCAAGGCCAATTCTGTCTGTATCATGAGCAAAGAGCTGATCTTACAACAAAAAAAAGGTAAAATTTAATAAAATATTATATTATATAAAACTAATTGTGATTCTTCTCCAACCGGAACCATTTAATGATGGGATAATTAGAAACAATAGTAATTTCTGAAAATAATCAATTGGGCATCGCAGGAAAAAAATAAATGAGAAATATGTTTCTACTTTGACATAATACCATGGTAAGAACTAGGAACATTCTTCATTCATCAGAAACAGATTGCGGTAATTCTTTTTCAAACGCTAATCTGAAAAAAAAAAAGAGAAAAAAGAAGACAACTTGAACATACTATGCTCTTCTCGTTTCAGTACAGGAAGGCAGTAGTGATGAGGCCGCAGTCCACCCTGAAACAGCGAGTTTCTATTCAGAAGAAGATGCTGTGGCGTCACTGTGGCAGCAACATTGCCTAGTGCAAGCATCCAGAGCGTTAGGGGGTTAAGATCATCAAGAACAGGGTGGCAGTTATGGAGAAGCCGACAGAGCTGCGGGTCCAACGCGTACTTCCACTGCATGACTGGATGAACTTCACGGCGTCCATGGTGGTGATATGCTCCATCACGACCTTCAGCTCTGGAAGCTTCTCGATCAATGGCCTCAATATAGTGTCGATAAAGATCCTCTCTCGGTCAAAGATGTCAACTTCTGGGTCTGTGACCTCCCCATGCACCTGCCAAAGCAAGAAGGTTCCTAACATTTCCATGTGAGAAGAAAACAAGTGAGAGAAGCCGGAGAAGGAAGTGGGAAAATGCGCCTAAACATAATTTCCCCCCACTAATCTATAATGCCAAAAAAAATAAAAAATTGAACCAAATATAATAACTAAGATTTTCAGTCATAAAAATGGCCAACATGAGTTCAACAAGAAGCATAAAGATCAGATGGGGGCTACTTACCAGTAATGGCATATTCTGTTCTATCATTTCCTCGAGAACAGGTAGACACTTCCCAAATATGTCCGTCACACCATCTTGTGAATTTGTCGTTGCTCCTGCAGGATATAACTTCACGGCGTAGATAACTCCACTCTTTCCTGGAAAATGACGATAGCGTCCTCAGAAAATCTGAAGTGCACAGTTTTAACCAGAAAATTATCATAATGTGCACGAGGTATGATCAGTGAATTTAGGATAAAATCAAATCAGTAGAAAAAAAAATTATGATACAATGATGGACTGGAGTGACCCACAAGAACGAAGATCATTTTCGAAATTATAGTTGCAAAAGACGCATAATCTTGTGTCAATGGACAAATATTCACCTCGAACAATACTTTTGACGAGGTTTCTAAGGTGGCCAACATTAAATCGCATTTCTCGAAGAAATCACTTCTATCAAAGCATTAATAATATATATATATATATGTAGAACTTTATGAGGTTTTAATTTCGTCCTAGCTAAAGAATCAGCCATCTACAAGATCTGCGTGGTCTTCTGCAGTCTTCCCTAGGATCATCAAGGACCGAAGGCCCAAATCAGGGTCTCCATTATGTTAGCATAAAAGATTAAATTTCCTTCATACGAAGGATATCAGAAAGATCTTTGGGGTCTAGCCTGCCTTTAGCACCTACATATTGACTTAGAACTTGTCCTCTGGATCAATTGGTCAGATCCATGAGAAGCCAATCTAAACATCCCTGTTACCTGGGATCAGCCCAGTGTTGATGGAGTTACACTCTCCTTGTTCTGATTCAGTCTACCTCCCTCCCCCTGCCTTTGGAGTTTTGTAATGGTAATTACTCAGTTGATCTCACTTCTCCGAGCCTCATCCTTACATCGCTTCTTTGCTTCGTGCATAATCATGGTTCTCTTGATGAATTATGCAAAATTTGAAAGTGCAAGGTCTCTTTGCATTTTATACTCCAGTTCCATCACTATAAATGTTGGAGTCGGCTGTCCGTTTGTACTTTAGCCAAGGCTTCAAGGTTCACCATCGGAATCAGCTGGCGTTGCTGGGGTGGATCGGGCAGTCTCACTGATATGGTTCTTCTCTTGTCTGCCCAAGGGTGTTCAGGACTTTCAGGTTGAGCGGGGAACGGAGAGGGTTGGAAAGATGAGGTAGATACAGGGCAAACTTGATAAAAGTGAATAGAACAGAAATAAATAAATAAAACCTTTTTCTAACAGACTAAATAGCCAGCGAGAAATTTGTGCAAGAAAATTTTAGCGACCAGAATGGGTGAATTACAAAAACATCAGTGATTTACAAGCCAGCACAAAAGAAATCAAGAAAATAACAAACTTAAATTCAATCAAGACATGTTGAAATGGCTACTGATAAAAAAAAGTAAAATTTTGGGCACTAATCATTAGTGCAGCCAAAACATCAGAACTGAAGCAAACTAACCAACAAAATAGAACACATTCTTGCTTAAAAAACCAAATATTTTTTTTACAAGTGGCACTCACGGGCAAGTTTGATCTCCTCTGGGCTTGTATTATCTGTCAGGTACAAGGTCATTAATGGGTTAAAATTACTATCGGATGGCAGCACGTTTAGAATAGATTCTCGATAAACTACAGCTGAAGCAGTAGTTGTCACAGGAGGTTTCAGGTTTGGCATAACTATGGCCCTTCCGAAAATACCAGCACTGCAAAAAAGAAATGACCTGAGTTAGGAAAATTACCCCAGAACAAAAAGTTATGCCAGGACATTTTTTATGACAAAGTTGTACCACGACTAACTAGATCGCAAATTAATATGTTTAGGATAATCCCCCTTCCTTTAAAAGGACAGCCGCTGAGATAGCCTCTGCTCAGCCCGCTGGGACCCCACTCCCTACCTTCAAAAGGCAAGGAGATGCTTACCTATGCGGAACAACTGCTTCAAGAAGGTCACCATCCCGAAGATGGACATGCCAATCATCAGGACGAGTTATCGTCAGTTCCATAGATATCCCCTTTCTCCTAGAATAAGGATTGTCCCTTTTGCAAATGGCAGATGCTGATGCCTACAATTCAACCCATTGTGAAATTAATGGAAGTTATACAGTCATGGGATCCTTGTAATTCTGGGCGAAGAAAGTATCCATAGTCAAGAATAATAAAATATAGATTATCAACGTGAAGCCCATCTAAAGATATTTTAGAACTCGTTGGAATTATCAAAAATCAAAACTCACGGCTTTATCAGCTACAAAAAATGACCTCAGGAAGAAGCACGAGGCCCGAAATGGTGAGAGATGGATCCCTGGGGAGTTAAACAACGTCACCTAGTGTTACCCATGAATTCTCACTCAAAGTATTTCATGAGCATCAATCACATTTTAGTCCGCAATTCGAGTGCACCATTAGCCTGGTCATTGAGCGCAAGAGACCTCTACAGTGAGATGATCAATGAGGAGGGGCAGAGGAAAAAAATGTACGGTTCTTGGGGCACAGAATTGGTTGTGGAGTCAGTATCTTCTAATCATAATGGAAATCTGTTATACTAATTAAAAATATTTCTGGACAAGTAACATGATGGCTTTACCTTTGAAAAAATTACCAGGGGCAAATCTCACTGACTATGGAGAAAATCCCAATTGAAAGTAGCAGAATATAACTTTCCATTACTGTTCATTGTAAGCATGGCTGTGTATTCAATCAGATATTGGACTTGGCTCTTAGGATGAATCCAATGGAACTTGCATTCTTGTAAATTACAGAGGCGGGGAAGCTGTCAATCAGGACAACATTTGCTGCGCCAAGAGCGAACCAGTATTCTTACTAATGAATTCATTATTTTTCAAAATAACCAATCGAATCAGATATTTGCTTTATTTTTATTCGTCATTTCTGAAAGGTCCTTTTCGTGCGCTCATGATTTCTATCACTTATGTTACAAAAGGCAATCGGAACCTATATCGACTAATAGAATATAGATGAATCTGCAATCGTCTACCACATATCTCTCACCTGTAGCAGAACAAGCGAATAGTGAAAAAGTAGTAGTTTACTCAAAGTCAGACAGCTGCCCCACAATATGTTAACCAGATTGGCAGCTTCCCCACCATTGTATCGTACTAGAGGGCAAATACTGTCCTCAAACCATTACATTTGCATATCCGACGTGCACTATCCAAGAAAAAAAATTATACTGCAAAAGGACACATTCTCGTGCAATGAGTAAGCAAACAGAGTGAAGCATAGATGAGACGAGTTCTCCCTTTGATCTTATGAAAAATTGAACAAGGATATGAAGAAAACCTTGCAGGGGAGACCAAAAGTCCTTATCATTGCCAATCGTCAAGAAAATCAGGGCCTGTCATGCATTAGAATTCATCATTCATGATTCGTAGATCGCATAAAAATGTAGTTAGATATTCTAGTCTCGAAATTATGTTTTCATAAATATACCTCAAAGACTGCTGCACAAAGAAAAGCAATTGCCACTTTATCAAGGACGAAGGGGAAGACAATGGCAAAGAAGTGCACAAGTAGCCAAAGAAGATACGTGAAATCCATCTAACCTAATAAAGACTACTACACACTCCCTCATCCCCCTTTCCCCCGGGTCATCAAAAGGGGAAAAAGGACAAAAAAATCAAGAAAAAAAAACTCTGACAAGCACTTCGTTTGTAAAGTGCGAATGGAGGATACAAATATAAGGATAGTAAACGGACGAACGGAATAAATAAATTTTATCAACGTCAATGGTTTCTTAATTCCCCACAAAAAAAAAATCCTAAAAAACATGAACTAAAATATCAGAAAATCCAGCGGCATTTATCCTCTTCTCCGATTAAAACTCCTGTTCTTTCTCCCCTCCAAAATATACGATTTCTCTCCACTGGCATTGAATAATTACCGTTTTCTCAATAATCCAATCCCTCCCTATTACAATGATTCAAATGTATGGAAGAGTACAACCACGGTTGCCCCCACCAAAGCCAAAGTTTCCTCTCCACCTCCCGCCCCGTATTACGATTCCCTAGACGTAATAGAGGAGTAGGAAATGCCCACCAACACAACAAAAAGGAGCAGAAAACGCCAGGCTACGGGGCGAGTTGGAACGAAACTAATGCCGCGGGTGCACCTCGAAGAAAAGAGACGGAAGAATGGAGGAAATCAACGACGAGACAAGAAAAAAAGCGCCGCACCTCGTTCCTCCCGTGGTTCCCCTGCAGCGGCGACGCCTCCGCAGCCGCGGAGCTCAACGTCTCCCTAGACCTCGCCGTCCCCTCGCGGCCCAAAAACTGGAGATACGACGGCGCAGAGGGCTTTCGAATAAAAAACACTCGCAACGGATACTTTTATTAATTTGAATAATCCACTCCGTCGGACAGTCAAGAAAAGCAAATATGGGGGGTATAAATTAAAAATACCACCCTTTTATTTATTTTTCTAAATAATATAGTCTGGAGATGGCAAAGGTTTCAATCTTATCAGTCCTCATGCTGTGGAACCCGACAGATTATAGTTTTTAAAAATTAATTAAAAATAAATAAATAAATATGACCCATTGTAACTTTGCTAGAATCCAATAGAAAAAACATATATTATCTCCCCATATACCTATTTTATGCCTATTTCGCAACCGCCCCTCATTGGTGGAGATGGTTTTGTTTGACACGAACAGGTTATTTCACTAATTATAGAAATGATTAAGCACAATAATAATAATAATTCTAAATTCGGAAAAAAATAAATCTACCAATAATTAAGCTCGTGCGAATTCAGCCTTTTATTACTATTTTCTGAATAAAATAATACCGAGCAATAAACATGGGAATCTGGCATTAGATCCTCCGTGGCGAACTGTTCAGACAGATGAATACAAATAATCAAGCACGAGGGAAATTCTCAACCCTTTATTCATATTTTCTGGAAAAAAATATCGATCAAGATCGAGCTACACCAAGTAATTACACTGCTGGCGGATCGAGCACCAGGATCTATCCATATGGGCAAGAGTCAACTCCTCACGCAGGGGGCCTCTGAGGAAAGTACTTGGGCCGGGGGTCAACGATCACCCCCCTCCCCCCATTGATCTCAAGATCATGCCTGAACAGAGGAAGTCAACGGGAGTTCATCACCCAATCACCGTTTAAATCAGTTTGGCGGGGGGCGAGAGGACTCACTGGAACACAAAATCAGGGATGGTGAGCTGCTCTCGAGGGACATATCGGAAGAGCTGCAGCAACCGATCCACATAGACGACCTTCCGCCAAACCTGCCATAAAAGGGAAAGCTTAGCATGTTCTGGGTCTGGGTCTCAGAGGGTTAAGGTTCATGAGGGCAACCCTAAATCTTCCATGGTTATATGAGACGAGGGTACCTCTCCATCAACGAGCATCTGCAAGGCAAAGACTGCTGCTTTCAACCCAACAGTAGGATGGAGAACATATATTGCCTGCCCAGAGCAAGAGAGTCGATCAGCGGGGTACTAAAGCATCGAGACCCAGAAGCCCGGAGGATGATCGGATGTATACATGGAGATTACGCTGGTGTTTACGGCCAAGAATCTGCTGAAGGCGCTTCATCCATCCTAAATCGGGTTGCCTGCAGACCCACAGCCGCAAGAACCATTGAAAAACATACTAAGTATTGTAAAGGATCATGGGAAGTCAAATCCTTGGTCAAGTAGTGAGCAGGACCAGAGAGGAAGATCTCGAGAAGGCTGCTTACATTTGTAGCGACGCTGCAGAGTGGAAATAGACGATTGTGTATGGCTTGTGTATCAGTGGCTCAAACTCCTGGTAGGGAAGCAACGTAGAAGGCATCAACTCACTCCAACAAAGATAGATATATGCCGGGTAAAGGTGAACAGAGCCACAGATAGGATTATTCTGTTTGTTTGGTGGGATTTCCAGGAGAAAGTGGGATGAGATACGGAATAAGACTGCTAGGGCCGTCCGAGGTATACTTTGAGCTAAAACCATTATTTTTAAGTGGATTAGGGCAGTAGAAGACAGGAAATTGCAGACTCTGGGCAATTCATCATTGGGTATTTCGAAAAATTTGGGGATTCTCTTTTATCAGTTTCATTCCCCTCCCCAAGCTTATTCATCTGATTGTCGTGAAGAATGGGCTTCACGGGTAAGTAAAATAATATGATGCCCCCAAACCAACTGAAAGCGTACTATGATGGAGAAAACGGTAATATTGATGTAAATGTTTCACTATTGTTTCCAGAATTTAGAGATGTTTATGCCATGCTCAACTGGAGAAAACGTACTATGATGGTGCAAGCATTATTTTATCACAAATCTGTAAGAACCAACTGAAAGGTTTACACAAAAGGAAAATTATAGAACAAAAAGCACTCTACTCGCTCCCTAAATATCCAACTACAATCTGCCTAGTGATATCTTAATTAAAACATTGGAATTTCCACGGGAGAAGATAATTTTCTCATGCTAGTTTGCTTTTCTGGGTTCCCTAAAATAAAGCTCGCTAATATATAGGCAGATACTTCACACATTTGGAGGGCAATCTTGGACGTGGAGACAAATTATATTGAATATATCGTGCACAAAAAAATTGAATCGGAAAAGATGAAGACGAGATAAGTAATCTGCCATTTGAAGAGCAGATCAAATCTCAGACAAAAAGATTAGCCATATGATCTAGTACCTTAACAACATAAAGAACAAATCGCTCCAACTCAAGGCATCTTAGAAGAAAATGAGCCCCCACAACCACCATGACCGGATGTCCTTCGCTGTCAACTCCACCACGGTAACTGGAAAAAGATAGGAATTGCTTCAAATGGAGTGGACAATTAAATGGGGTTAATCCCACGAACAATGTAGCTCTTGATGAAGAATGGCAATTCCTTGAAGTAAATTAATCATAAAAGCTAGCACAACCAATCGAATCCACTATAATTTTGTGAAAAACCATGTGGATCCACAGAATGTTGGTCATAACTAACATGAGATCATTTTGTAAGTTAACTGATAACATAATATTGTTAAGGAAGTGTACCATGTGAAGCCTAAAGAATCCTCATAGAGTAACTATGTCCAAAATTTGAGTGATTTACTAGAGTTCAATAGCTAAAGTTTTTCTTTACTATAACATACACACGAAAAATGAGCATTTGCTGTATTATACATGTAGACAAATAAATAACTTAAACCACTTACACGATTTTCATTTCTGCAATCTCTGAAAGATTTAGAGAATTGGCTTTTGCAAGGTATCTGGCATGAAGTGAGTATTCCTGAGCAGCAGTCAATGGAGGACCACCAAGATCCCCAAATCCTAGCAATTTTGCACAATTAAAGCCACTTTCATTTTTAGCACTCCTTTCCCACTGTTCTTTTCTTCGTTGATCTGGATCTTTAATCAGTGACATGAATGCTGGATCAAGATACGAATCAACTTGAAAAGGACTCCTGCAACGACAACTAGAATCTAGTAAGAACTTGTCATAATCTAGAAAAGCGAAAAGCAGATTTGCCATGCACCACGGCTGACGTTTGCAATTTTTTCTTTAAGCCACACAGTACGTACCAGGCATAATGGAATGCAGACTATTTATTTCAATGTTTTTCTTTTCTAGTATGCATTGCTGATTGAATTATGCTGCATTATTTTCAGCGACTAACAGATAGCTCAGTCAAACTCCGACTGATGCTAACTGCATCTGTTCTTTTCAGCAACTAGCCAGCCTATGACTGCTTGATAAGAGATAAACAATCATGGAATGTACATTTACCTGAAGCTGGCAAGTGGATGAAAAATTTTATTGATACATTTTAAAAATAACAAAGAAAATTTCAGGATACAGGAGATGTCCAAAGAATGTCGAGACTGAAATATACTTCCATTATCGAGGCTAAATTGCAAATATGCATCCCCATTCCTTGACCTTTGATAAAGTAGATAAATAAAATTAATAGCTCCGCATATATCTGGGAGAGTCAACTTGCAAAGATGCAATATGTGCAGACCCAGAGAGGACAGGGAGAGAGAACCTCCCCAAAGGGATTGATTCTATCAATCACGAGGAGGGAACACTTTCTAGGTTTGTCAAAAAATAGAAAAAGGATAAACTACCCTAATAAGGGAAATAGCATACAGTATACAATATCAAGACTCCGATACGAATGATGGATTTATTTTTCCAATTTAATGTTTGGCAGATAATAGACAGCACCAAAAATCAAAACCCTCTTACACCGAGCATTATATGACTGTATTAATATAAGTCAGCCAAAAAAAAATTGGATCTTGAAAAGAAAATGCAAATTTTATGGATAATTGATTAAGTAATTACAAAGGGGAAAAAAATATTATTTTCACGTTCATACTCAAAATATAACTGCATAAAAGATTATCCAAAAATCAAGCGTCTGGGTGAACCCAGATGCTCTATGAACCCTCGGGTTTCTTCCAGATCAGAGTTGATATATTGATCCTTTTTATGAGGGAAATACATATATCGGAGCTTAAAAGCTTCCAAGTGACCAAATGAAATGTCCACTAACCGTTTCACTGTCATCCCAACATCACTGATAGGAAGATCCACCTCCGTTGTGGGAGATTTAGGGTCAACTGCTGAGATAACTGGAAGAGGTTTAATCCTGATTTTACGTTCATCTATTATTGTCTCACCATTCTCATCCCCTACGTCTGCAGGAAGCTTTGACATTGCAACCTCCTCTTCATGCTTATCTCTCGGAAAATAAAGTGGAAGCAACCTGCATGTCAAGCCGGTGACAGAAAACTTATCAGATTCTAAAGTATTAATCCGTTAAAATTCTATCAGTTCAAGGGAAAAACTAAAAAAACAGACCGATAGAGTTTAAAAAGCATAAAATCAGGAGAAAATATATATTCGTACATTTTTTATATTATGCACCCAAGAAAGTACATCCACTTAAGGTCTGACAAGATGATTGACACTTTTCTTTGGAGAATAATGCACTAATTAATAAGTAACAAGTAAAAAAGAAGATGACTTTGTTTCTGCGCACCTTTTGTAAATCTCTGTGTCAGATGCGGTACTGGTGCAGAAAACAACAGCAGTGATTTTATCTTTATGCTTCTCAAGAAATCGTCTAACAGTCCCTTTGACCAATTGAAGGAAATAAAAAAAGCTAAATTAGATCAAAAGAACAGGTTATGAACATGCATACGACTGTAAATATAGTTTAATCTGTAAATAACCATGAGCATGGCAACCGTAAAACAGAGTGATATCAAGTGAACAAAAATTCAATATCATTAACTCAGAGAGAGAACATAAGAAAAGAAAAATATATGAATGTAATTGAGTAAACAGTTGCGTTCCTCACTTATTGAAACATGTGCAGCAGGCTCACGAGGATAGTTTTTAGCCTCTGTGTATATACACCCTGTGGCAATGCTGCAAAGAAATGTTGTTAAACTGAAGTAAGGACAAGGATTCTCAGCAAAGCAATGCTGCAAAGACTTCTAAATATGTGGGATATTGAAAACAGGAAAAGGTTAAAGTGAGTTAGGGGAAACGACAATAGAGGGCAACCTCTGAAGTCCATTCTCGATCAAAAGCTCCAAGCAAGACCTGTAGCAGTGACTAAGAGCATTCTCAGCTGCGGTATGGTACTTGATGGCATACTTTGGTCCTACAGTGTGAATAACCCTCCTGAAACATCAAATCAAGCAGTTCTTCAAGATCATACTCCATCCCATTGGTTGAGCCTAGGAAGAGGCATACCCGATAAAAGTAAATCTAATTCTTTCATAACTCTAAAAAATACATGACTGCACATAAATAAAATCTTAAATATTTTAGAAAAAATGCGCTATACGGCATATATCAGAGTAGTGAGCATATCATGCCCTTTAATCAAAATAATGGGCAAGCTTTCAAGCCAAAAAAAGGATTTTTTATAATTCCCGTATTTATATGGGGAAATGATTCAATAACTGATTCCAGAACCTAAAATATCCAAAATAATAATAATTTTATTTACAAAATTAAGTTTAACTTTCTATTCTGTCAGCTATCCAAAACATTCAAAAGAAGAGAGGCAGACAGAATGCGGAATGTGGACGATCTTTCCTCATAAATAACATAAGCTAGATGCAAAAAAGTGACATCTTGCCAACAAAGACGTCTCATTCTGTAAAATCGGTCAAACTTGTAAAATAATTTCCATTCTCTAATAAAAAAAGGAACTTAAGTACGGTACATAGGCATTGAAGAGAACTAAAAGCTTTCAAAATACCCTTCCAAGCATGATTCGCCATTGTTGCTTTTTTAGCAACTTAAATGTACATCGGAAAAATGTTACCTCCAAGAACATCACAGCTCAGATATAAAAAAAAATGAAATTTCCAATAGACGAATGCATGATCCAACAGCGGGTCAAGTAACTGAAGGAATTTATTAATATATTTTCGATGTAACACAAAAAAATTCGAAGGTAATAGGAACGGGCATCTCCTACCTTGCAGGGAGATCATATGCATTTGTGACCTTCGCCATCCCAGTCCTGCAGCCACCCTGAAGGATTTCGAGACAATTTGTTAAACAAGTTGCTGACACGAGAAGCAGGACCGACCAAAACACAAAATCCATGAAAAAGCCTAGATTATACCAAGGTTGCACATTCTTCAGCAAGGCCAGGTCCAGCAGCAGCGTGCAAACCCGGGCTACTATGTGCTTCATCAAGACTCTGACAAAGAAATCACATACTTCATAAAAACCACTGAACAGTCTAATTATTCCAAAGAGATGAAACAGATTTGACCGATAAATTAAACAAGGGGAACATAGCAGAATTTCACCTCATTGGTGGAATTAACGACGGCATCCACTTCAAGATTCCAAGGGTTGCCACGCCACAGATATATCTTCGAATTTATTTCATGATCCACGGGAAATCTCGACACAACCCCACCAGTCCCCGTTTCATCACCATGCGAAGTGGCGAGAGGGTCCGAGAAGTAAGAATAGGACAAGGCAGGCCCATCTCCCTCGTAAGGAGAAGAAGAGCGTTGCTCTGTGTCGCTCCAGCACGGCACTTGATCGAGACCCACGACACCGTCGCTGCTGTTCAACGGCATCCCGCCGCGCAAGACAGCAGTCTCCGGACTTCTATACATTCCGCCGCCCCCGACTCGGATCCTCCAAAGTAACGCACAGATAAACTATCCCCAACAAGTCACGAGAAAGACCGCCTGCACAGATTCCCCACGCCCAAGCCCCTGAATCTTCCAGCAATCGACGCCTCAGCCCCCGCGAGCTACGGACAGCCCTCTGACTGTTTCACGAGAAGCATCAACATGGAACAGAAAACCAACCATTCCACCAGCTCGAAGGAGAGGAGTAGGAGGGGGATGATCGAGCCCAAGACTGCTCCGCGAGGAAAACAAGCCGAGAGGAGGACGATCACCGGGGGCCCTCCATCCGGCAGATATCGGGCGGGGAGAAGGAGCAGAAGGAATCCAACCTAATAGAATTTCCAGCTACCTTCGCCAGCGAGATTTCGAAAAAAACAACAGTAAGCAGCGGTGTTCTTACCTCCCGCTGATTTGGAGAAAACCGTTTCACAGCTCCCTCGCCACCTTATAATCACCGCTTCGAGGCGCTGCCTTCACCGGAGTTGCCAATCATCACGCAGGTAGCACGTTTCCGGTGGGGTTATTGGACCGGCCGGTCCGGTGAACCGAACCGGGCCGGGCCGGCCGGTGGCGCTAATTTTTATTACTTATTCTTTTTTTAACGACCACCTCATTAATTGCTTTAAGCTAGAGAAAATTATGCAGAGATTGTCCTAAAGGCCAGATTCGGGCCGGCCCATTACCCATCAAAAATCACGGTCCAACTGAACGTGGGCTCTGGAAAAGGCTCCAAGCTGGACCCGGTTTTCCGGGCTCTCTTCAGGCCCCAAGAAGGCCTGACTCGGGCCCGGCCCGTCCCCCAGAAGTCCACGCCCAATTCCTGGTCAAAGTCAAAGAGTACGAAGCATTCATTTCAGCGAGTTCTGCTCTCTAAAGTCTCATATAACTTCACAGGATGCGAGCAATGTTCCTGAATTCGTTCAAACAGGATTGGAGCATCTTCTGGCGCTTAAGGAGGTTCTGGTGCTCGTTCTGCAGAAAGTCAACTACACCGGGCATCATGAACATGTCCATAAACTTCTTGTCGTCCACTGCAAAGAGGTCAACCCCGAGAGCCGCAATCAATCGATCTCGACTGCAAAAAAAAAAACGACTCAACTCAGAAAATAGAAAACAGAATATCACCAGATGGGATTAATTTTAAAAAATGACAACAATGACAGCGAATTAATAATTGGGTCAGATTACATTAGCAATCTTTCTCTTCTGATTACTGTTAAAAGGAGTTGACTTTTTCCAGGGAGAATCGGAGAGAACATACCAAGGCGTCAGTAGACCAGAGTTCAAGGTTGATGGCACGTTTCTCTCGATGAGGACTTCCCGGATGCAGCTGAAATGCTGCACTGCCAAGTGGCAGATCTCCGAATAGGCAGAGCCCGTCCTGGAGCCGACCTCGGCACCGAACAGCAGGCCGCCATGGTGATTTCTTCCGCCACCGACCACCCTGGCTTGCCTCTTCCTTCCCCCATTTTCCACCAAATTTCCCGACTCCTTCTTTACTCCACATGATGGGTCACTGGCTTGCTCTGGGGAGGGCGTCTCCGGAACGGTCAACTGGCTCTCGCGAAGAGCTCCACGGGCTTCGCTCCTCTTAGCTGGCGTGCTCTGCTGGTGACTGTTGGGGTGCACGTTCTCCTGTGATGCACCGTGAGACTCCTCTTGTGGTGGTAATCCTTCTGAGAGATCAAGCATGACTGAAGATGCCGGCATATGGTGGAGTCTGGGAACGGAGCTCGCCCCAGAGCTGAAGACCCCGAGGATCTCAGACTCGTAACAGAGGCGAGAGTAGGCGCTGGTGACCGAATCGAGGTGGTGGCGGACCAGCTGCTTGCACTGCTTAGAGAGATCTCTGATGAAGGTGTTGTAGGAGCGCCGCACAGCTGCATGGAACCCAATGTGCCCGTCCATATCCCCTTTCCTTTTCCCATCTGCCCTGGAGAAAAGATATGAGATTTTTCTATTTTTGGGCAAAAAAGATATGTGAAAGTCAACGGGCTGATAGTAATATCTTCCAGACATGGATGGCATTTTGTACAAGCAATGTGCCGCGTTATGTGTGATCATTGTGCGTTATGGATAGCAGCTCCACTTACATTCTGAGGACTCATTGCTGCGAGTGCACTCGATGGCGATGTCGAAGAGGTTCCTTAGCACAAAAGCAAGGCGCTCACAGGCAGTGTCCAGAAGAGGAGCAATCCATGCTCGGGCAGCTGCACGTGCTATCTCTGCAGCAGCCTCGGAGATCCCCCCACTGCCACTTCGGCCAGCATGGGCAAGAAGTATATTTGCAACCTGGAAGGGATGAACAGTTCAAGTCAATATCAAAGCAACAAGCAGGAGGAGCACACACCATCAGAGTGGATGAAGCATTCAGCGCAGAGAAGTTTTGTTTACCTTCTCTCTTGAGATTTGTGGGCATTCGATTGAATAAGCAGCACAGCGGAATTCATGCATAACTCGCTCAAATGCTGCTCCACCGTATAGCTTTAGAGAAGAATTTGGGGTTTTTATCGCCACAGTCAACCCAGGCCAACTCCCGATGCCACTCTCAGTCTGCTCCTCGTTAGTTGTCTTACCCCATTGCTCTGGAGCCGGATCGGCAGCCCCCTCGATCAATGCTCCCTTTACAGAATGAAAGAAAATTATTGGATCCTGCAACAAAATCCATTTCTACAAAGAACCAAGAGGCAAATCATACCACGTGACTACAAATGGAAGCCACATGTAACATAGCTGATTTCCGAAGGCACGCAATGTCAGATATGTCCCGTAACTTAGATTCTATACGAGACAACTCGCTGTTGACTTCACCACACCGCTGCTCAAGCAGAGCAAGTGTGACTGGAGCTGCTTCTTTGTACCTTTTCTGAAGCTCAGCTTCCAGATACTCTTTGAGATGAGTAAAGCCTATGAAAGGCCCATACTTCTCTTCATCGAAACCCCCTTTGATGTTGTCACGCAGTTGGCGAAGAACGTCCATGTCAACCATCGAAATTTGCCTGCGGAATTCCTCGTTTGTTATAGTACCCCGATCCTTTGGTAAGGCTACGAAAAAGGGATGCGTGTTCTCTCCAAGATAACCGCTAGCACTCAAGTATCGGTCCACTTCCCATTTGTCAGTGAACTCCTGAAAAACAATCATCCAACAATGTGTTGTGGCATTCCTTAAATGGAGTCAATTTGGGGAAAAAGTAAAGAAAATAAATAACGGCCTCTTAACTAGGAGAATCAGGGGAAAACATTTAAAACAAAAACATTCAGGAGACTAGCTTGAAGCCAGACACCCCGACTCAGTTGGCCTTATTCCAATCCTCAGGCAGTGATGTTGGATATAAAATTAAGCAAAAAACTACAATGAGCATGAGTGAATTTTGGAACAAGCATGAGATGGGCCAAATTAACTTGTTTGAAATATTCACATTTTAATGGGAGTTGTAAGCATCCACATCCGCACAACGACCTTCAGACAGATGATCGGCTAACAGCCGCAACATGTACTGAGCCATGCAGTGGTTACCTTCAGCCGGTTGTCAAACTTGGAGACAACGATAATTGTGCGTCTGAACGTAGGATCAATTTCTCGAATAGCATCCAACCATAACGAAGAACACCATTCCACACTGCTTTGCTGAAGGAACAACAGAATTCGATGAGGAGGGGAAGCCAATGATTTAACCATTGACAGTATATCATCAGGGGTGTTCTCCGGTTCGCCCTTCTTAGCCTGCACAAAGCACGGTCAAATTTTAGGCAGAAAAGGAGAGGTCACTGATAATTTATTCCACATTCCCAAGAAAATGGCTGACCTTAAGAACAAATCCAGGCGTGTCAATGATAGTGAGGTTCGGGCAGTGGGCATATTCTACCCTCATTACAATTGGTTTCTTGGAAACAGAAGCTTGGATCTTTTTTAAATGTGCCTCCGTACGAGATTTTATGAGATCCGCAATAGCAGAAGCCAAAACCATGGGACCTCCATATTCTTCTGAATCCTCCTCCTGCAGTCACAGTGACGAAGTAAGATCTCCATAAGCCAAAACCACTCGCATTTATTCTGGGATACAGAAGTAAGATAGATTAAGATTAAAAAAAAGGGCCAGAGAATAGACAACTAACAAGTAAGTAAAGTGATGGAAGTGAAAGAGAACGGAGAATCTAGATCAGACGGGTCGTAACACTGGACAAGCAGCAGAGTACAAGTCCTCATCATCAAGATGGAGAATAACTGTGAGCTAAACTCTAGCCAAAAAATCCAGGAAGAGGAGCGCAGCGTCTGGAAGAGATGGAGGAAGGAGAAAGTAAGAGGGAAATAAAACGGAATTCGTGACGCTGTCAACATGGGAAGCATAAGTAAACACTAAAACGTAAAATTTATCATCATTACATAATCTATGAGCTCAATTTAGCAAAACTGGAAGCCTAATGCAATAACGAAACACAAACAAACGAGGAAGAAAAATGTGTTACTTTGGAGCCAGGAGGTGTTTGCAGGGGTGCATTACATACCTGGAATCGACATCGTGGTTCGAGAGCCGAAGCGTCGTGTACCATCTGCAGGACAAGAGGCCTACGAGTGCCCATCTCGACCTCACGGACGTTGAATCGAAAGCCGAGGAGGGCCTCCAGGAGGGAGCTCTTCCCATCGGACTGCCCTCCGAGAGCCACTATCTCCGGAATCGGCAGCTTCTCCCCGAAGGCCACCGCCGCCGCCTGCAGCCGATTGTAAGCCTCGAACCGCGATTTGACAGCCGCTGCCGATGACGAAGAGGCGATATGAGGAGCTGCGACGGCGGCGGAGGCGGAGGAGTCCACCGGCACAGTCTGCTGCGGTTTCCTGGTGGCGGAAGAAGAACTATACTTGCTAGCCATCGGCGTCTTGACGGGGGTGCTGCCGCCGTTGAATCCATCGGCTGCCATTGGAGCAGAAGGGGATGATCGAGGGATCTGCCGCCGGCGAGAAGAAGAGATTTGGAATTTGAAATGGGAGGGAGATGAGCCGACAACTGGGGACACCGGAAACCGGCAGTGGTCGGTATAAAACGGTCTCACCGGGTTTCAGCCGGTAAACCAGGGCCGGCCCATTTATTTATGGGCTCAAATGGCCAACTGGAATGAAATGTCCGGCCCAGTCCAACTCATCCCTGGAGAGGTCTCATCAGGCTGATATAGGCCACATTTTTGGTCCAATGGGCCGCATATGGCCCGTCAAAGTGTAGTACGGTAACATCGACAAATCCCGTAAAGGCGTCTTCTACGAATTTTGTTAAAATAAATAAAACAATATATCTATAAAAATAATTGCGTTAATGGGCGGTGGCCCATAATCTCGGACCGGTTGAGAAACAATGATGGGCTCGGCCCACCCGTCTCTTTTCTAGATCGGACTCAGGCTTTGAGATCTCTCTCTGCCATGTGACCATCTGTGCACCATCCAGCTCTCTCTCTCTCTCTCTCTCTCTCTCTCTCTCTCTCTCTCTCTCTCTCTCTCTCTCTCTCTCTCTCTCTCTCTCTCTCGCTCTCTCTCGCTCTCTCTCCTCCTCCTCCCTTCGTCCCTCCGTCCCTCTCTCTCTGTGCCGCCGGCTCACGTCTCCCTATCCGTCACTCTTCCGGCCAGCGCACCCCTTCGCGGGACCCTTACCCCTCTCTTTATCTAAGCGCTCTCCCTCCTTTCCTCTGCAGAGAGAGAAAGAGGAAGGTGCACTGGAGAGGGGGGAGAGAGAGCGAGAGGGAGGGAGGACACTATGTGCATGGTGAGAGGGAGGGGAGACGAGGACACGTAGCGCGCAGAGAGAGAGAGAGACTTCTTTCATTTATCGGGCCGGGCTATCGGGTCCATTGACAACCTCGCTACAGGGACATTTTGGGAACTTCCGTAAGTCCAGTGTCAATACATTAGTGACTGGAATTAAATGATCGGGAAAGGTCAATGCGGGGATTCTGTGGGAAGCCGCACTCCGCGTCACGTGATTTTGGCGCTTTGTCGGCTACAGAGCATCGATGGGTATCGCCTGTCCACGTGTATCCAGATACGTCGCCGCCAAACAAGATCAAGGGCATTAACTGCGTACCTAAATCTCGTTAATCGTGAAACGAACTACACCACATGGGGCCAAGCCTGGGAGAGCCCTGCACGAGATGGTGGGGAGAAGAGAGATGGCCTCAGTCAGGAGCGTTTGGTAGAACCATGCCGCGCTCAATGGAGATGGTGGGGAGAAGAGAGAGAGACAGGGAGATGTAGACGACGAGACAAAGAGAGCGAGGGAGAGGAGAGAGAGAGAGAGAGAGAGAGAGAGAGAGAGAGCTCACCGTGGCGAACTCCAAGGCAAAGACAATATCAGACCCTACGTGGCTACAAACCTATGAAATTTAAGAAGCGTTCTCGTACCAAGTAGAGGAGACTTTCAAAAGAGCGATTCACTGCTCACTCATTAAAGAACTCTCTCTCTCTCTCCCTCCCTCAATACCCCGTTGATACTTCCTCTTCCCCCGAAATTCCTTTGAATTTAGTCACGGCTTTTGAAGGAAATCGACGGGCATGGAGAGAGAGAGATAGGAAGTGTCCATTTGAAGTTATTGGATGCAGAGGTCTCAAGGGTTCTTACGGCAATTTGAGCCCGAATGTTTTCTACAATGGAAGAATTGAAGTCCGGGCCGATATGTCTAGCCCTAGCCTCCATATGCATTCATGAGAGGGGGGGGGGGAGAGAGAGAGAGAGAGAGAGAGAGATAGAGAGAGAGAGAGAGAGAGAGAGAGAGGGAGGGAGGGAGAGGGAGAGGGAGAGGGAGAGAGAGAGAGAGACCATGTAGTAGACTTTCTTGGATCTGTCCGAGTCTAAACCAGGCAAGATAAGTATGGGTGGTCGAGATACGTTTATTTTTATTTCGGGAATTATTTTATTGACGAAATGCAGGAAAAAGTTGACCAGGTTAGGCTCCAAACTTACCTAGCACATTGACTTCTGGAAGTACATACGAAGGGTTGTGGAAAAAAATATTATCAACAGGTTGAGGCCGAATCTTACGACGCCTGGACCATCTAGCCGGTTTTTCAGACGGGGCCCACTAGCTCCAAAATCCCAGGACGTTGACACAGTGTTAACTCACACTTAAAATGTCCACAAAGTCAACATAAACCTCCCATGCAAGAATAGGCCAGTGAGAACGGGGTTTTAACTCAAGCTCCCTCATTCTTCCACAAATACCATCCCCCCTCTTCCATCCTTTCCACCCTTCTCCTCCCTCTCTTCAGAACCCTCACTGAAGAATAACAAGGGTAGAGAGAGAGAGAGAGAGAGAGAGCGAGAGAGAATGGCGAGAACATTCCTGGCTATCGTTTCCCTTACGGTGGCCGTCGCTCTCCTCGCAGTCTCCACCACGGCGGAGGCGTCTCACCCAGACCGCTTCCTCATCCATGGCCGCAGCCTACGATTGGAAGACAACGAGGGGATCAGGAAGGGCCACAAATGCAACGCCACAGTTAACAACGTTTGCCCGGGGATCCTGGTGAAGGGAGGGACTCAGCTTCTGCAGTGCTGCAAGAGGCGCTGCCGCAACGTCCTCTCCGATCGGAACCACTGCGGAGTCTGCAGGGAGAAGTGCCGGTTTGGGCAACTCTGTTGCGGCGGCAGGTGCACCGCCGTCGCCGACGATGTGGATAACTGCGGCAAATGCGGCAAAAAGTGCGCCGCCGGGGTCCGGTGCGCGTTCGGTGTGTGTGGCTATGCTTGATCTGATGGTGATAGACAGGAAGAGGGAGGGTTTTGTTCGAGTTTGAGGGGTACAGAAGGAGGATAGAACTTCTCTATCCGCTGGGGAACGAATTATATACAGTATTTGTTCGATTGTATCTAGTTGTTTTCACAATGTGAGTTCCATGAGTACATCTGTCTCTCTGTCTGTCGCTCTCTCTCTCTCTCTCTCTTCAGTTTCTTACCTCTCTCTGAATTTCAGTTTCTCATTCTCTCTGTCCGCGTTCATATCTGCGGTAATCTCCCTCAGTTCCTCTCTCCCTCTCTCTCTCTCTCTCTCCCTCTCCCCCTCATCTTTCTACACGGGTAGGCATACCTTCCCCTTTGAAAATTTACTTGGAACATGATATTTCTCATATGCTAATTTTTAGGAAGAAGAAAGCTTCTACAGTTATTCCCTACGAGATGAACCGCTAGATTTCAAGAGGAACAAGGAAGTGGTGGTTGGCGTTCCTGCGAAAAATTTTAGATAGAGCAGAAGACGGTGATTATGACTTGGACGCGACCAGGCCCAAGGTCACATCCAAAAAAAGCCCGCCGGAAATTTGGGCCTGGCCCGGTCCGGACTTGATAGGGGATGAGCCTGGAGTGGGCCTGGGCATGGTTAGTATATGAGGTAGATCCCATATCCCCTCCAATATCTCCCCTGTCGTCTCAACCAATCCCTCAACGTATCATAACCTAAGATCCCAGTACGAGCGGGCCAGACTGGGCCGTCATAAACCTTCTCCGGGGCCCGGCCCGGTGGAAGATGGTGAGGTGGGCCCGGCTGACTTGGCCTGATACTGGTACGTTAATCTCTCAATAACCTGTTATTACCATTTAATCAAATGTATCGGTTCTTGAATTTGAGGCTAAGTTTAATGAGAATTGTATAAAATTATAAGGGAAAGCAGGATCTTAACCTAACGCACAACTATGGTCGATCCCGCGCCATTGTGCAAATGTGCACCAATGAAAAGGGGGGAGAGAGAGAGAGAGACAGAGACAGAAGGGAGAGAGAGAGACAGAGACAGAGACAGAAGGGAGAGAGAGACAGAGACAGAAGGGAGAGAGAGAGACAGAGAGAGAGAGAGAGAGAGAGAGAGAGAGAGATTCTATAAAGCAAGAATCATAGAGTGCCCAATTTATATTTGAGCAAAGGACCTCAAGCTAGAGCGAAATAAATGAGGAGAAAACAAGAAAGCAACTCTTCTCAGGAACACCTTCATCTCTTAGAGGATAAGAACTCCAACACACAGAACCAGAGATGCACCCAATCTCCTCCAAGAATCCCCCACGAAAGCAGACCCCGAAGCTGCCGGTCCCGGCGAAGACGCCATCTCCGGCGAGGCCTTTTCCGCCGCTGACGGCGCCATCTGGGGCGGCACAGCGGCCGGCGACGGTCCGCTCCGGCGGCGGAGGGCCAGCACAACGACGACCAGCCTTTGACCAGCCTGGCACCTCCCAGGGTCTCCGCTGACGAAGAAGAAGGCCCCCGATCGGCCCAACGGGAACACTGAATCTCCATCGTCCAGCTTCCTGACGATATTCGATGTGTTGCATGCCCTGTAGTCCTCCTCGTTGACCACCAGCACCGAGTCCTCCCCCTTCTTGTACTTGAACACTGTTTTTTTATCACAGATAGATGGCATATAAATGCAGAGAGAAAGAGATGAGAGAGAGAGAGAGAGAGAGAGAGAGAGATACCGAGCCTATCGTTGACTTGGAACCTATTCCTCTCGGCCCAGTGGTTGAAGCCCTCTGAGGGGTTCGTCACCCAGCCATCTCTCCCGCCCACGTAGAAATCGTACGCGTAGGACGAGCTCATCATCAGCATCATAGTGAAGAAGACAACTACTGAGCTTGACACTTTCGCCTCCATCTATCTCCTCTCTCTCTCTCTCTCTCTCTCTCTTCCCTTGTTGGACGGAATGTAGAGAGAGACTGGGAAGAAGGAAGCAACCACAGCACAAGTCTAGTGATAGAGAGAGAGAGAGGGAGAGGGAAGAGTGTTGTTATATTGTGGCTTCGGTGGGGTTACCGCGATGTGTAACGGACGGTGTTAATGGAGGTGGGCTGTCACGAGGGTGGCGGGCGGAAGCAGCGAGGATTTGCCGCTGGCCGAGAACGGAAGGGACAACGGCTATGTTTAACGGACTTGGGATGCCCTGCTGCGAAACGTCAGCCGTTGGTTCCCCTCGCTTTCCTCCCCATCTATGTTCTTGGGAAATTTTGAATTCGTTTATTTCGCCTCAATCACCGGATCCCTGAAGCTCGTTGGGTGCGATCAGAGAACGTTGATCTCGTGAGTCAATAGTGTTTCACGGGAAGCCCACGTAACTCTTTTTTTTTTTTAATGCGTGCATGAAAAGCTTGACTAATAAATCTCATATCAATATGGTTCAAACATAGGATAATTGACAAAAATTACCCCATTCGTCGATGCATGGTAAGCACAAAATTGGTAAGTAATAACTGGTGCTTTATGTTTTACTCAAATCGATGTAATATAGTTGACTTTTCTTATTATTAAGTCATCCTTTTATTATTTTGGATCGAAAATAAATGGCACCAATAATTATTTCTTCCCTTTTATGTTAATTTTTCTAACAAAAAATATATTCTTTTATTTATTTATGGAGATAAAAAAATAATTAATAGGGAGGAGGGCTAGTCAAACCAGGAAAATGTCGGGCCCACATGTTCTATGCTTGGGCCTTGAAAGCTTAGACCAGTTGGGAATATAGGCCCAGAGCCCATTCTTTAGGTTTGGCTTCGGACTGGGCCTTGATATTGGAATTACGCACGTGCATCTTCATCAAATATTTTCATAAAAACGCGAGAATCTCAGTTCATAAATAATAATTGTATAAATACTCATTAAAGTTGTCAATACTCAAGATGTGAGTCCACGCGTGAATGCGACTCCCTCCCCTTACGAGTTCCGCTTAACTTCTTCATCTCTGCTTCTACCTCTCTGTCTCTTAAATTGATTCTACATTGGTCAGAGCCACGAACAGCACGGCCATTCTCGACGAAGATGGCGAAGAAGGGCTGTAGAGGGGTGTGGAGCTTCACCAACCCCGGCATCATTACCCACGACGATATTCTGATTATGTACAGGAGCGACGTTGACCCCCAGTTTCAGATGGGTCAACTCCCACCCGGAGGAACAGGCCTGGTCCTCGTAGCAACAAACAAGCTGGACGCCTCCAACTTGGAGGAATTCCCTCGTCTCTCTCTCTCTCTCTCTCTCTCTCTCTCTCTCTCTCTCTCTCTCTCTCTCTCTCGTAATATCTCCATCTCAATCAGATATAATGTGGGCCAAGGTTTCTTCGATCTACTTAAGGGTGAGGGGGCATTACTATGAAGAGTACTTTGAATGACAAAATCTAAAATTCAGCTAGAACCCACTTGCCGCCGCCGGGCAAGCTGCTTGAGAAACTGGATCACGTCGTCGGCGGAGTCAAGCGAGTAACGGGCGCTGGAGCACTTCCTCCCCACCGCGCAGGAGAAGTAGTTCTCCCCGTTGAGATCTAACACCGAAGATCCCTCGTGGCAGGCGATGCCCTCCTGCAGCAGCTGTGCCGCCGCCGCTGCTCCCGACCTCTGCGCCTTGCCGTGCGACGCCGCCCGCAGGCCGCCGTTGCTCCTCGCGGTGGAAGACTTTGAAGACGCCCTCCGCTGCTCGCCCGAGGACTTGATCATCATCTCCGCCGCCTTCAACCGGCCGCAGAGGGGCTCCACGGGCAGCTCCGGCTCGAAGAACGTGTAGATGTCCTCGTCCTGTGCACCGCCGCCGTTGGCAAACAACGACCACCCAAAACTAGGAAGGAAAAAAGTCAACTCGACCCACCAATAAAAAACCCACCTTGCCGAGGAAGTGCCCGAGGCAGAGAACATAATCTATCGGAGTAACCATGCTCTTGCCGTGGACAATCTCCCCCAGTATGCGATCGATCGCCGCTCCCTGAGTGGACAACAGATTGGGGTAAGAACAGGTGAATGATCTGCAAGAACATGAGAAGAGAGAAAAAGAGCACAAAAAAAGGAAGGTTGACCTTGGTCACGCCGACGGAGCGGACCTCCACGGAGCGGCCGCCCTGGACGACGTCAACGGCGGCGTTGGAGATGGGCCCCGTCCACAGGTGCTGCAGCATGTCCCTTGCTTGGAGCCTCCCAAACTCCACATCTGAGGAGAGTCGTAATAACCCACAAGTCAACTCATGGCGGCGCGGCGTTGACTTTCTAACCCAGAAAAGGGTTTCTTTTTACCTGCGTACTTGTAGTTCCACAGGAGAGAAGTCTCGCGATGCTCGAAATGGGATCGGGGGGTTCTCTCAGTGAAGTACTCGAACACGTGCTAGAAGACAGAGAGAGAGAGAGAGAGAGAGAGAGAGAGAGGAAAGAGAAGGGCGGTTCAGACGACAGACGTCGCCGCAACGGCTAGAAAGAGAAGAAGAGACCGCGGAGAAGGGGGGTTTACCTTCACGCTGTCGACCCAGTCCATGTTCAGGTGCTCCGGCATCGTCGTCATCCACTCTCCCGTCGTTAGCCGAAGGAACATCCCGTTCTCCGCCGCCAGCCACATGTTGTAGTCTCCAAAGTTCTGAAGAAGAAGAAGGAGAAATATTTCTGAGAGTAAGAACAGAGGGTCTGATGGTAATGGGGAGGGAAGGAGGGAAGAAAGGGTCCGTACATCATCGAGGACGCTTCTGTCGCTTCCACTGAGAACGACGACGGTCGTCCTCGGGTCGTTGCACAGCGTGGTCAACGGCTCCTTCAGATCCGGGTGCAACTTGGGCTCCATCTCTCTGATCTGGTCGCCGCCTCTTCTCCCTGGAAACTCCACTTGCTCGGTCAACGTGGAGTTGAAACCCTGAGCAAAGTCAAAACAAAGCAAAACATGCGCAAGGTCAAAACAAGGCAAAAGAACTCTCAGATGATGTTCGGACCTTTTCCTTTTTAGAAAGAAAAAAAGTCAACATCAAAAGTAGTTCATGAAGAAGGTACCAGGATGAGCAACCGATTCTTAGACTGCAGAAAACGTTCTATAGCTCTTCCTGTGGGTAGCAAAGGAGGAACCTGTCTGGTCCTCAGCTGAGCCTCCACAACTGTGTCATTCAGTTCACTGCACAAACAAAAAAAAACAAGGTGAAAAAAAGAAAAAATATACTTCCTAACACTGATAAAAGCAATTAAAAAATAATAAATAAAACTTATAGAGATTTTACAAAAGAGAAGATTTTTACAAAAATAGCAAAAATTATAGAGAGAGAGAGAGAGAGAAAAAAACCCAGCCGAGCTTTCACACCTTACGAAGGTTTCGGCCCAGATCTGGGCAGTGTGCGTGGTGACGTGGGCGAAATTATGCCTGTGCCTCTTTTCTCTCTCATCTGGGGACATGTTCAGAGCGTAGCCTATTGAATTGGCGACTTCAGTAATGTTCCATGGATTGACGAGCAGCGCCCCAGCACCAAGAGATTGAGCAGCCCCTGCAAACTGGGTCAACGGGCGCCGCCCTCAGTAAGCTTATCCTCCCCAGAAAAGCTCATTCATGCTAATAAAGGAAAATAAATGAAGATATGCAATATACAAAAATGGGAGGAAAAAAAAAGAGAGAAGTGAGCAGAATCAGATGACAAGATCCGTTGGTACTCACTTCACTGAGGATGAGAACTCCCTTCTTTTGCTCCTGACACGCCACGAATTCATAGCTGACTAGATTCATTCCATCTCTCAACGACGTTATCAGAGCCACATCTAACGAGGAGGAAACCAAAGAAAGTTATTGGCAAAAAAATAAAAATAAAAATATCTGGGTAGTAGAAAAAAATCTTATAATTTTGTGCATTGGAGTATAATTTTCTGCTCAAATTTAGCATGATTGACGAAATAAACTGAAAATTATGAGAGATTAATTAATGAGAATAGGTCTCCATGGTGCAGACCAAAAGTAGTACTGTGAATTTCTTTCTATAAATAGTACTGTTTTCGGAAACATCTCACAGATTGAGTCATATATGATGAACTAGTCTAGTCCCACCCTGAATTCAATAAATACCTTTCATCACAAATTGACAGATATGTTTCGCCTATCATGTGCAGAGCCAATCTTACGGAGTATATTAAATGGTATCTAGCAACCAGTTATGCAAGCATCCCATTGGAAATCAATGGAAGAAATATATCAAATAAATTCAACAGGAGAAATGCATGGGAAATACCAGTGACAGCGTAGAGCGCACATAATGCATGAAAGTCAAGAGACCGATCCTGCAAGATTCGGAGGCAAACAGAAGAAAGAAATCAACGACAGCAGACAATCTACATCTAGGATGATATGATTGTAAAACGGCACCAAGGCTAGGTGAAAATTTTGTAGAAAATTCAGTGGGCGTGCACTGCCTTCTCTGAACATAGATAAACGATCTAGGAGAAGAAAGGGAAAGGGAAAGGGAAAGAGATGGAGACACAGATAACTCATTTTTCCCTTACAGGGATGTTCAGAAATCGTAACATTACAGCGTAATGTAATGCCTTTATTTTTATTCCATAAAAATAAAAATAAAAACAGAAATCAGAAAGAAAGAAGTTCAACTTTCCCCTGCGCGGCATAATAATCGCTGTGCTAAATAAAGATATATATAGTTCACTTATGTACCACTATTTTAGGATAATATTCGTATTATGAGGAATAGCCTCCTGACAACAAGAGGCACTGCTTTTCAAAACAGACCACGTCAAGCATTTCTCTACAAAGTCGTGATGGAAGAGCCAAGAAATAGCACAGATTAAAAGAATTAGAAAGCATTATTTGCAAATCTAGCCTGAATAAATTAATTAGATAGCATGGGATATCTTCTGCACAGTCCAGACGGAAATCAAAACAGAGCGTGACAATGAATACAGACCAAGTGATGTATAGGAACTGCAGTCAGCGTCCCAAAGCGACCATTAATACGCCCAACGATTTCATGAACTTGGCTGGTAAGCTTTTGATCTGTCAAACAAAATAGAGATGATTTAATAGATAAAAAAACACAGGAATATGATGCCTCCCATATGATGTAGAATTTCATTAATAAAGCAATAATAATAACCGGAACCATCAGCTTTCGCATCCTATGTTCACTGTCATATGAAAAGGTTGGAAGTAAAGAGAGACGAGAGACCTAATTTCATAATATCGTTCTTTGGCACTGAATTTCGAAAATAAGAAATTATTTTCTGAAAAATTGGAGCTTCATAGAGTAAGAAGAAAAATTGGTCTCTAGGTAACTCATTGATGGATACAACAGTTTATGTGGACTCAAAATAAATGGCGTGAGTGATAAAGAAGTTAGGGAGAGACTTATATGTTAAAAGTGACAGAAAATATGGAGATGAAAGAGAATAAATGGATACTAGGACTTGAACAGAACAGAAGAAATTGACCACGAAAATAATGACTTCACAGCACGTTTTGGCTAGAATACAGAAAAATAAAGGCTGAAACAATGAGAACAGAACTTCTGCGCCACACACGTCACTCTGATCAGCTCACTTTCTTCCTCAATCAGTTGATTGTGTAATTATTGCCTCCAGGGGGAAAATATCCTTTGAATTGTCACGCACTTACAGAAAAAATAGTAATAATCTATTGAATAAGTTGTTGTCCTACTAAATAATTACGTGAAGGGGGGAGAAGAAGAAATTTGAAAGATAAGGAAGAACACACATTCAGGGACGTCTGTTCTCGTTGGCACAGCTATTTGCAAAAGAACTACTTTATCACGCCAAGAAGGATTTTCCTCGAGAAACTTCTCAAATGCCAGAATCTTCTGAGGTATGCCTTTAATCATGTCCAGTCGGTCCACACCCAGCATTACCTAAAGGTGAAAGTCAAAAAGCATAAGAAAATATATTCTTAAGAATAGGAATAAAGCGAGTCTGACTTTCTGTATTATCACAGTTAAGAAGAAAAATAAATCAAAATAAGAATATTCCCTTGGTCATCGTACCTTTCTCCCCGCAAATCTTTCTCTCAAATCTCTAACATGATTTTGAACTTGTGGAAGCTCTAGTGCTCTTGTAAATCGGTCGGAGTCAATACCAATGGGAAACTGGAATCATGAAAAATAGTAAACAGTCAAGCTACAAACCGCATCCACTGGTTGCATTACACGCGTCAAACTAAGAAACTGAGTAGCGTAAATATGTCATGCAGAAGGATACTTATTGAAGCGTGAAGGAAAAAATGACACTAATAGAAGTGACACCAATTTTAGTCATTTTTTTATTGGGTAACAAAAGCGGTATTTTGTACACTCATCACTTAAAAGGTTACCACAATTTAATATGCAAAATAAAAATAAAAATTATATCGAGATAAATATTCAAGACAAGGAAGTCGAATCTTACAGCAGCGACCCGAGTCAGCTTTCCTTGATCCTCCACCCCTTCAGGCGTGCCTTCAAACCCAAGGATTCGAGTGCAGGCGCTGACAAAATGTCTTGCATAATCATAAGTGTGAAATCTGGAGGAGGATTTTTCAAATCAGCCAAATATTCGTTTCAAGTAACACAAGGAATGGATGCTGAAGAAACAAAAACCATCAAGCATGGGGTCGCCATTAAGCACGATAATTGCTGGATATTTTTTAAGTTCCAGCAGGAGGTATCTTAGGCACATATTCCGGAAGGTCATTAGGTTTCATGATTTTTTATTTGCAATAAATTCAGCGTGAAGAGGTCAAAGAAAGACCCGATCACATAGAAGAAAATACTAAAGTTTCAATGATCAGTATAGCAGCAATTAGGGTGATGACCATGGCACATAGCATTAAATCCATGGTCTTAAGAAAGAAATTTTAAGCACTGATTGAGCCATCTCAAAATTAGAAAAGAATATTCAAGGCATATTACAGAAAAGGCAACAAGTCTCAATAGCTCAAACGTTTTAATGCCAATACTCCTCAGCAGCAGCTTCAATTGAGCAAGCGTTGATTAGGAGTCACTAGAGACAAAAAAGACAATGCTCACTGGAAATGGGAAGGGAAAGGGCATATCCAACTGCGCAAATACTCATCTTCTACAGACTTATAGGGCCTTCTGGTTTTAGCAACTCAAGGAAGATTAACAAGAGAAGAGCCCACGATTCAACAATTGCAATAATTAGATACGATAAATAAATCAGAAAAAAAAAATTGGCATGAAATCTCCTGCCTCACCCGACCACATCGGCAGCTAGGACAGATCTCAGCAACTCCGACCGTGATGGGAGCGTCCTGTAAATCTCAGAGGAAGGAAAGGGCGTGTGAAGAAACCACCCCACTTTCATCTTGTGGTTATAATCTTTGAGGCACTTTGGGAGGAACATAAGATGGTAATCGTGGCACCAAACCACATCTCCCTCTTCATAGTGCTGGCTCACCACATCGGCAAACATCTGGTTCGCCCGCTTGTAGGCGTCGAACTGGGATTGAAAGCTCCGGGTGGTCGCCAGCCGGTCCTCTTGTGGGAGACCGAGGTAGTGAAACAGCGGCCACAGGACGTTGTTACAGTAGCCGTTGTAATACTGATGAACAATCTCTTCGTCCAGAAACACCGGAATGCACCTCTGCGAGGGATAAAAATTGCTCATTCCCGTCAGCAACTGGTTGAAAAAGGCGACTTTCGTCTGCCAGAGTCATGGCTGAAGCTCGTAAATTGAAACAGGGAATAAAGAGGGAACCTTCTCAGCCAGCGCCTTGGCGAGTGCCCTCTGCCCGGTCTCATCTGGGACGTTCACACCGGCCCATCCTATCCACCTGGTTTCAAACTCCTTGACACCTGAAGGAAGAAGAATCGTCTGTTCAGCTTAGAAAACTTCCTGCGGACCCCTGAGGAAGATCAGAAATCCGCTTCGAATTGTGCCGGCAAGCGAGATTAGATATACCCAGAAGATGGATGTGAGGCAAGGGTATCTACAGTCAGGCACGAGGATGAGACATGGAAGAAGCAGATAAGAGCTCGATATCGAGGAGTCCCTCCGAGTGAAGAAAGGCGAGAGAGGAATTCATGGAGCATAAAGGAAGCGGCGGGTGTTTCGCTTACCGAGAAGGGCACTGACAAGCCCGCCGGCGCTGATATCCAGGGACCAAGAATCCTCGGCTCTCCTCACTGCAGAGACAGGCAGGCGGTTCGCCACCACCAGCAGACGCTGCTTATGTTGACCTGTTGCATCCTGTTCCGCAGGGCCATCACCAGCAGCGGCAAGAGCGGCAGCCGCCGCCACCGCCTCCAGGAACTCTCCTTCGCCAGCTCTGACCCACTCGCCGCTGGCACTCCCAAAGTCTGAGAAACCCCCGTCGCCGAGTTCGTCGTTGAGTTGAAAGGTCCGGTTGAATTTCCGCAGCTCCCTCTCTCTGAGCAGTCGCTCCACCCTCGACGTGCCTCCGCCGCGGCCGCTGTGCCTGTTCCCGGGCATGTGTTCCGTCTGGGAAGCCATGGCCTACTGTTCCCGGCCGCTGTGACTCATCTAGTCCTCACCGTCACACAGTTTCTCTGCAACCCCATTCAGCAAAACAGAGCCATCAACCAGAAGCAGTGAGAAGAAGAAGAAGAAGAAGAAGACAGCTCCACGGCATGACAATGGTTTTAAGCAGGGAGCTCCAACGACTCCGTAGAGCATGGCTTTATTCAGGAGTCGGCAAAAAGGAAGAAGGGAGGACATGAGGGGCCCTGCTATACCTCCCCTTATTCCTCTTTGGGCGAAGAAGGTGAGCCCTATCCTGTGAGCCTTGGCGCCGACAGGAATCTTACGATTGTTCTTTAATAATCCGTGCATGCAATGCCACGAAGGGCATCGGGGAAGCGTGAAGAGGAAGAAGAGAGACGACAAGACCGTCCCCTCCACACCGCCTCCTCCCTCCAATCTCGCCTCGCCGCCGGCGAACAGTCACTGAGAAGTAAAGAAGAAGATGAATTCCGCCTCCTTTTCTTGCCTTCTCCTGTGCCCCAGCGGGAACAATAGAAAGAGAGAGAGGGAGGAATCTGGGGAGGAGGGAGGCTTACCGACGGTCAAATTGCAGTCGTCGGAGGGGGGAGAATGTGAGGAGAGGAATGGCGATGGCGGCCTGGCTATATCCTGTGTGCCTTTGAGCGTTTACATGCAGGAAAGGGGAGATCACGGGAAGACGTAGATCCAACCGATCCGATGGGTCCACGGAAGGCTCGTCGTTTCCTCTTCCTCTCCCCTTCCCTTCCCGTCTGATTTTTTTTGGTTCCCCGACTCCATCCCTTCTGCCAGTCGCTCTCTCTCTCTCTCCAACTCTTCCCTCTTTTTGCTTCTCTCTCTTTCTTCGGTCATTTCGTTCGCTCTCTCCCCTTCCCTTTTTGCTCTCCGGGCTCTTCCTCACCTTGTCTGCTCTCCCGCTCCTTCCATATCTGCTCCGAGGAATCCTCTCTCTCTCTATCTTCCCTTCCATATGTCTCTCTCTCTCTCTCATTCTGTCTGCTGTCTAGCCTCTTCCCCGTTTACTCTCTCTCTCCTTCCTTGTTTGTTACTAGAATTTCCCTCTCACACATTCTGTCCGCTCTCCCCCCCTTCATTTACTCTTCGGATCCTCTCTCTCTCTCTCTCCCTCCCTCTCTCTCTCTCGCTCTCTCTCTCTCTCTCTCTCTCGCTCTCTCTCTCTCTCTCCCTCCCTCTCTCTCTCTCTCTCTCTTTCGCTCGCTCTCTCTCGCTCTCTCTCTCCCTCCCTCCCTCTCTCTCTCTCTCTCTCTCTTTCGCTCGCTCTCTCTCGCTCTCTCTCTCCCTCCCTCCCTCTCTCTCTCTCTCTCTCTCTCTCTCTCTCTCTCTACAAAATTACAAAAACTAATTTTGTAGCCCAAATTACTTTTTGGGCTACAAAAATTTAATCACAAAAAGCCAATTCAGACACAAAACTTGCATTATTGTACTTTAGGATATATAGAACAGTTAGGTCGAACGATTGAGGACGAGGAGGGCCATTTTTGACAAAAGTTAGGAACAAGGGGTTTCATGCAAATCACAAGACCCCAAGGTGCTTTCGTAAGATAAGCTCTGTTTCAGGCCAGTCAAAGCCCGTCGACGCTTCTTAGCAAGGACTTATTGCAAAAGAAAAACATTATTCACACCTTAAAGTTATATATTTTTACTTAATAATCCAACATTATTCTCAAATTGTGCAAGAGGACACGATGCCCATTTATGATATATCATGATCATAACATGGAGGCAGATTTATGACGAAAATAAAGAAAAAGGAGTTTCATACAAATTGAGAGGGATTTTCAGGCAAAGTGTGAATTCAACCTCTCAAGTCCTAAAGTTTGGTGAGAACTCCAGGTTGAGACTGTCAATATTCCACGGCTTCTACCTTCTTTGCCTCTGCCTCTACCTGCACCATCATGATTTTAATGATTTATAAATATTTATAAATTAGGAATATAACCACTTTTAATGATTTATAATTACATTTATATCAGAATAACCAATATTATGGTCATTAGGCTCTCAATATTTCTTGGCTTCTATCTTCTTTGCCTTTGCCTTTGCCTCTGCCTATGTTGTAAATATTTTAATGATTTATAAATTAGTAAGATGACGATTTTTAATGATTTATAATTACATTTAAATATGAAAAACCAATATTATGGTCATTAGGCTCAGCTTTATTATCATTAGGAACTTAATATTTCTTAGTTTCTACCATCTTTACCTTTGTCTCTACTTATATTGTCAATATTTTAATGATTTCTAATGATTTGTAAAACATGAAGATATCCACTTTTAATGATTTATAATTAAATTTTAATAAAAAATTATATTACGGTCATTAGGCTCACCTTTATTATCATCAGGCTCTCAATATTTCTTGATTTCTACCTTCTTTGCCTCCGTCTCTGCCTGCATTGTCAACGTTTACCAGGCGTCAAACTAAAAAAGGAAATTTTCTAAAAACAACAATAAATTATTTAATGGTTGTCTCGTAAAGCCCTCTATGAGCCAACTCAATGGGCTCTAAAAAATATATTATGGTCATTAGGAAGATAATCAAATTTAATGTTTTAATTTAAATAAGAAAAACCAATATTATGGCCATTATGCTCACCTTTATATTATCATCTTGAAAAAAAAAAATATTGGGATATTTTTATTAAGCTGATGGAGTTGGGGTCTTGGGCTTCAGATGTTGGGATTTAGAGATGCTTACTTGGGCCTGATTGAGGAAGCAACAATCCACAATACCCACTTGTCGGCCCATTAATGCCCATTACCAGCCTCAATTCTAACAATTTCACTAAAATGAGCATGTTAATAATTATATATATATTTATTTATTTTTAAGACGAGGGCAATGTGAACACCTTGTAGACAAAATGGGGGGGTATCTTAATTATCAAGCTATTAATTTTAAAGTAATTTATAAATGTATATAAATACATAAAACAAAAAATATATATTTCATTATCATAACCCTAATTTTCATAAAATATATTTTTAAATTTTATGTAGATGGGATGTGGATTTAGAGATTCCTAGTATGGCCCCATGGGAAGAACTTTTACAAGTTATGTACCACAACAGTCTAGGACAAAATGGGCCAAACCCACTTAGTGATGACGGGAGCTAGCCTGGCCCATTAAAGGCCTCGACTTTTGCCCTTTTAGCTAAAATGAAAGGATTATTATATCCGCATAAATTTTATATTTTAAAAATCTTGGTCGTATCGTAGGCGAGACCAATTCCGGAAAAGAAAGACAAAAAGAGAAGAAGGAACAGGGATGTGGACACTTGAATGTGAGAATAAGCGAGCACGTACCGCCTTGACGACCCTCTCGAAAGCGTCGGAGCCGTAGTTTTGGATGTACCTCTCGACGGCCTTGCGGGCGTCGGGGGTCATCATCTGCATGGCCTTCTTCTGCCCCTCTGGGTACCCCGACCACCCCAGGTGACCGGCGCCGGTCTTCATGTACCTCCTCACGTGACTCTCATAGATGTACGCCGCACCGTTGAAGCACGGCAGCACCAACCACACGCACCCCAGCAGCTTCATATACGGCCATAGCGGAAACCTGCACCACCACCACTCCCCACCCATCACTCTAGAAAGAGAGAGAGATAGATACCTACCGAGATAGATACATAGATAGCTAGCTATCTAGATAGACAGGTCGATATATAATATATAGATAACAGATAGATATAATATTTTATATATATATATATATATATAGGGAGGGGGAGAGAGAGAGAGAAATGAATTTATTTACCAAGCGAGGGCCTTGTAGCAGGAGAGCTCGAAGAGGGTGATGAGGGAGTAGAGGACCCAGTAGGTGAGCCACTGCTGGTCGTCCACCGCGGTGGGGGTCTCAATCGCCCGTATCGACGCGTATCTAACAAGACCGTCGCACGAGCAAATTCTTATCCCGTTTATGCTGTTCAACGATATGCCCCACAGGAAATGAAAGCGCGAGGAATGGGGATGCATGGCTGATGGGGTTTTACTTACAGCGGATACAGCAGCATCACCCCCGGCCTGAAACCCCACCAACCAAGTCCCCATCAGAGATGCACCAAACCCACACACAGAGAAGATAGATAAGATAAATAAGGTAGATGGAGACAGATAGAGACAGAGATAGAGAGAGAGCGAGAGAGAGAGAGAGAGAGAGAGTACCCGACGAGGGCATCGAGATGGCGAGCAAGAGCGGCGAGGAAGCCCATGGTGTCGTTGAGCTTGATGGGGGTATTTGAGGTTGGTGATGGAGGAGGGGAGGAATGAGGAGGAGGATGTTTATTTAAAGGGAGGGTAGAGAGAGAAAGCGTGGGAGGAAGGCAAATTTTGCCTTCCCAGTCGCTCTCCTGGGAGGCCTTACCTCGACGCCGTCGCCATGGGGGTCTCCTCGGTGATGGCATCCTACTCCGGCTGGAACGGCGTCAAGATGCACGCTAACACCTACCTTCTGACCAGGGTCCTAAAGCAGGAGATTGGCTTCCAGGTTAGACAAGCACCCGCTCCTCCTCTAATCTCGGCCCGGCCTACTCACGTCTTCCTTCCCCCGTCTTCAAGGAAAGGAGGCGGGAGATGGTGGGGCCCACGTTGGACGGAGGGGAATTAAATGGCTAGCTCTCCACGGGCCCGGCCCGCAATCCTTAGTGAGCACGCCTGACCCTATAGTCTTTCCCCTTAAAAATAATAATAATAATAGATGTATATATATATATATATATATATTCACATAAATATGTGGCCCCTCTCTCTTATATTTCAAGGGGGACTTGTGAGGAACAGAAACCCATAAAAAGAAAGAAAGAAAATAAATCGAGGGCCACAAAGCAAGGGAACATACGATTAATTTCCACATCATTAAGAGCACGAGAAATTGGGGGGGATCGAGAATGAGGATATGAACAGAGAGACCAGGTGGGCCCCACACTAGGAGGAGCGGGAGGAGCGGGAGGAGCGGCTGCTGGAGTCGGAGGGATCCTTCTTCCAGATGGCCTCGAAGTTCTGCAAGCAATTGAGGGGTCTCACCTGGAGAGAAGAACAAAAGGAAAGGCACTGGGTTCAATTATTCACAACGCCCCACTAGATGCCACAACACCACGAGACCATCGATGGCTTATTCTTCTGCAGGGGAAAACCACCGCCCTATTTCAGGAAAAAAAAAAGAGAAAAAAAAAGAAAGAAGTTTTGCTTATAGCACAAGGTCGGAGGAATGCTCGTAATAAATTAGAAAGAAGAAGATTTTAAAAAAAAATAAAAAAAGAAAAAAAGAAAAAAAAGAGTTGTGCTTCTAGTCCCCGGGTCTGAGCTTTGATCGACTCTCTCTCTCTCTCTCTCTCTCTCTCTCCGTCTCTCATATGGAGGGCTAGGCTGAACTAACTTACATGGGCAGGGTAGAGCTTTCTGGGCCTTATTCGTGGGGGCAGAACTATGGGCCTGATAAAAAGATACCCAGCTTGGGTAGTGCTTAGCAAGGCCCAGGCAAGATCCGGCACAGTTTAGAGACCTAATAGTACTGGGAAATAATCCGATACTATCCTGATGTATGAAGGAATTCGTTCTCTCATGTTCCTAATAGCAAAAAAAAAGAAATAAAAAAAAGAGAGGCGACAGCAAGAAGCGTAGGTTACCTTCCAGCGCTTCTTGCGGGCCAAATGATTCTGGATGGAGGACAGACGTAAGATGATCGATCTGAAAGTGGGCCTCTTGGCGGGATCCTCCTGCCAGCAATCCTCAATCAACCTGGTCCAGAACGATCACGGTGAAAACTAATTGAAAAGAAAGAACAATTAGGGTTCTACAGTCTCCGTTTATCTGCTGCTAAGCGGAGATGATACGTACTCTTTCAGTCCGTGTGAGTAGAGTCTGGCTGAAGCTCTGAAGGGAGGGCGTTCCTTTGAGGCATATGATCCAGGAACGTCAGTTTCACGCCTTGCCGAGAATGGAGAACATCCTTCGATCATCTGAGATCATCGATCCATACACAAGTTAGTCAAAGAAGAGAAAAATCTCGTGAAATCTGATTCAGGCCATTCTCTAAATTGATTGGCTGGAGGGTTAATTCAGTCGCTAATTTGTCTTCGTGTTTCATTCCGAGAGGGGGGGGGAGGAATGGGGAGGTCTGCATCACCTAAGCTTTTAAATGCCATATAAAGAAAGAAAGGAATGCTCAAGAGCCGCTCAAGATCCTAAAGGACCAGACGTGTTTTCATGACGTGGGAGCATAGAAACAATCGGACTTTCTCGCAATAATCAAAAAGAATCAGGGTACTTTTTAAGACAGTGGGTTGAAAATAAATTAATAAAGGGTGATTTATTCAAAAATAAGGGAATTAAGCATTTATTATCTGAATAAATGCATCAGAAAAGTGGATATGCAGACAACATCCCAGGAGATTCCGCAGATGAAGGTGGAAAATGGAAGGAAGAGTAGACGTAAAAGATGAAGCGATCGACCACTATTACCTCCTGTAGAATTAAGGAAAATGAGAACACGTCGGCCTTTGTATCATATTCCTTATTGAGAAAGACTTCGGGAGCAACATAACGGCCTGGCAAATAGAGGACAAGAGAATAATATTAGTGCCTGGGAAAGAAGCACAGGGAGAGAGAGAGAGAGAGAGAGAGAGAGAGAGAGAGAGAGAGAGAGAGAGAGAGAGACTTAGCAGACATTAGAAAGCCGCTAATCAGCCAATAATGGCATCGACATCCCAGAAAGGATGATGCAAATGCATAAATCCAGTGCAAAGTAAATATCGAACATTGCTATTAACCGCAAAGCAATAAATATTTCCTTTGAAAGTACCAAGTAAACATTGTTAAGATCCATGCTCAGGAAACGAGAGAGAAAAAAATGATTTTTAAACCATGTTTGGTCAACTCAGGTGAAGAACCCAAATCATGGTTTTAAAACTCTAACGGAAGGAATCAAGCCAAGAACGAGCCAGTTTGATTTTGGCGTTTTAACTTCTTAATAAAAACTCCCTCTATCCGAACAAAATGCAAAAAATCTAGCATGATAGTATCGAATTCTTCCTTTTAGTGAATAAGGAAAAAAATTCGATCATTTAAAATAAATAAAAAATGAATGCATGATTTAGTCAGAATCAAAAACAATTTAGCCAGCTGAGACTTGAACACCGGTATTAGACAATATATCGCAAAGCAAATTCAATATGAGATATGACAAATAAAAAAAGAGAGAAAATTTTCTGGATCAACTGAGATTTTTTTCCCCGCAGAATCGCAGAAGCATTTGCCAGTATAAATGAATCACAGAAGAAAAATAAGCGAAAAATACTGGGTGGAAGGCCGTATGTAAAACTTACAAGAGGTGTCGTGACATGACAGTGGTCTAGCCTCCCTAATCGACATTGACTTTCTCAGTAATCTGCTCACTCCGAAGTCTGCGACTTTCAGATGTGCCGAATCATCCCGCAAGATATTTCTGTTATCTTGCTCGCACAGATCATGCAAGAATAAGCAAAAACGATCAGCCTTTTCAGATACACAGTAGTTTCGTTGTTTGTTTTTTTAAAAAAATCGTGAAACTCTAATGGAAATAAAAAAAAAACGAGAAAGGGTATCAGGCAGGAATATTTAAAAGCTATTCAAGATCACTTACGAAGGCTCAAGATCACGATGAATGATAGCTTCAGGCTTATGCTCATGCAGGTAATTCATCCCTCTGAAAAAATTAATAATTGAATGTCTATTATATCCATCTTGGGCACTTAGACATTACTATATGAGCATAATTAAAGAAGAGACCATAAAGTAAGTTTCAAAAAAAGAATCTGGGAAAATAAGCAATTAAAATTAGCATGATTATATTAGACACGATCGTATACTGACCTCGCAATATCAAGAGCAAATCTTACTGCGATTTCTGGCCTCAAAGCGCCCTTTCTTTTTAGATATTCACGAAGATCGCCCTGAATATTTTCGCAAAAAGAGAAGACCATATCAATTTAAACCATCCAATAACAATAATTTCCCTTCTACTGTTTCCACGTTTTGGATATGCAATGAATTTGATGGCCAAGATTTTAGAGCTATTTGTCAGCATGTCTGAATTAATTTCGCGCTAGATCAACCAATTTATAACAGAAAGTCTTTTAACTTAGATAATGAGTAAAACTGGTCGTTTGTGTAGCCAGTATTTTATTCTTGCTATGATTCTCAGGAATCATTTCAATGAGCAAAAATCAGAAGCATTTGATAAACAGAAAACACTGGAGAAACCTAGTTACAGTGGGAGAAAAAAAAATAAAATCTCTCTCAAACATTTTGTCGGAGACATTTAAGAAAGGCTTCAGCTGGAAATATGTGTTAAGCAGAATAAAACGTTTCACACCAACATGAAACCTCTGAAGACCAGCAGCAAACTGAAGGTCAACGCAAGTGTTAAAGAGGAAACTAATGGTTTCCATGTTACTGGCTTAGACCTCAAAATATCATTTTTCAAGAAAAACAAATCTGATGGAAGTTCTATGTCGTAAGGAAACACTGTAAAAGACAGAGGGTATTTTGGGACAGTTGCCTAGGATTCCTCCTTATATAAGGGGTTTTAGAGGTCAATGAAGGCTGAGGCAATTGTCCGCCGTTCTCCCCCTTTGTCCTCCGTGACAGACAGAGGTTATTCTCCATGTGCCTATGATTTATACAAAATCATCAAATTAACAGTGTTATCACTGTTAACTTGGATTAGGCACTTCTGATATGCTGCAATTTCCCCAAAGATGTTATAAAAATTTGGAGAGAATAGAAAACACAACAGACACAAAAAAATTAACAATCTACATTTTCTTGAAAAAAAAATCATTAGATGACCACAGAGTAGAAAACATAATATTTCATAAGAAAAAGGTATAATTTGAAAAGCACGTAAAACGGAAGGAATGAAACAACTAGAAGGTAAAAGGGAATAAGGCATACTATTTGAGTAAATAAATCACTTCCCACACTTGAGAGAACGAAACTATTAAAACAAGAAAATAACCTCATGTTTTAACAAGCAATATTATGTAAAGCATATCCTTTGACACGTGACGCGAATTAAGATAGAGGGAAACGGAATTCAATGGGATATCATATTAAACATTCAGTTCGGCATATTATTGTCAAATATTGAGAATCGGAAAAGAGTTGCAACATTAGGAACCTTAGGAAGATATTCTGTCACGATCATCATTGGACTGCTTTGGGTAACAGCACCCAGGAATTGGACAACATTTGGATGACGTATTTGCTGAAGCAGAGCAAGTTCATCTCTAAATGCCCTTCTGCGAAATCGGGAATACAATGCCCACGCCAAAAGGATAAAATGTCAAATATAAAACAAAAAAAATCAAATAGCACTAAAATAGGGAATGAATTGCGAAGAGCAACCCACACTTTATCTTCATCAGTTATTACTTCATCACGAAGCCTCTTGACGGCAACTTGAATTCCACGCCACAATGCAACTTGAAAAGTGCCCTGGAATTAATCATTTTTTTTTTAAAGTTAGAAGGATGGAAAGAAAGGACGAAAATCGTCATTTAAGGGGATTTTTCTTTGAAAATGTAGTTTTCATCCGAAAATATTTCAGAGATAACATCCATTTGAGTGGATGCTATTCTCAAATACATCCACTTATGACTAGAAATATGGAATCTTGATCTTTAAATCAATATATGTCTTCCAAAGGATGGATTATTGTCACAATCCTAAGGTAAATGCTTCTTCAAACTAAGCAAAAGCATATATGGAGCCCCTAGAACAAAGGTCTGTCCATGGTTTCCTTTGATTTAGTCAACATGAAAAATACAGACTTCACACGAGACGTAGTTTCCCAAACTGATGGTGTCCAAGATTGGATTGGATCATCAAAATTCTGGTACGGCCACTTTTAGGATACTTGTTTTTCGGACGAAAAATTTGAAAGTATCATAGCCACCCAATGGACGATAATTAGTCAATCTCAAAAGCATAGCCAGGAAAAAGGTTACATGAACATGGAAGCAAATAAGAACAGAGAAAATATGCATGCGCACTTGATAAACTGGAACAAAAGGGCTCACGGAAGGATACAGCTTCTATGAAATGCATTCATAGTTACAATTGCCTTTTGCATTTGAAAATGAAAAAAAGTCTGAGAATATTAAACTCATCAAACAATGATATAACATTGGCATTTGTTCATAAATTAGTTTTCAAGCAGACCGTAGAACAGTAGTTTAAAATAACACCGCACTACTTTAATAACATCTGAATCATTCAACATCAGTTGGAAAAGAGACATGGCAGAACATAACCGACTTCAATTAACTACCAGAGGCACCCACTAGATTATGAGAGACCAACAATTATTAAAAGATACTTCAGTTGCATTTCACTTCAACCAGCGGAAAGCGATACTCAATCATCAAGTGTCATCATTTTTTTGTCTAATGATTCATCAGGTAAACAAGTGAAGTATAATTTATGTTTCTCAGACACTAGTACACATTGACTAGCGCATAAATACCTTAGTTATGGCAATGCTGTTAGAAAAATCAAGTTCGCTGGGGTTGATTTCATACTCTGGGACTTCATAAGCACTTTTAACAAGCATAGGAGCCACCTACAAAAGGAATGACGAGAAAGAGATTTGTAATATTGTCTCCATCACCATTCTAAAATAGCTATAACGAAATCAGGAAAAAATAGAGTGAAAATCTGGACACTAAACAAGCAAGCGGTACAGGATAACCATGTAACAGATTTAAAGTGGAACACTCCCCACACACACCCGATAAAAAAATTGGTGTACAAGAAATACTACATAACAAGACCACCATGCTACTACATAACAAGACCACCATGCTCAATACAAACACAGATGGAAAACTGTACACAATAATAAGAAAAGTATTCCCGGACTGCCTTCTGTTTTACTTAAGTACCTCTTTTTAAACTAAATGTTACCTAACAAGGACACGCATATACTGAAAGGGATATTCCGGCATAATGCAACTGTGAGAGTTAAGCACACAATCAGATGACTGTGGTTGTGGAATCAAACATTGTATGATCTGATTTACCAAACAAGGACAACATAACTCAACATAAAACAGCAGCCGCATGGACAAAATGGTAATGGGTCACAACCATCAACAATTGTTTATTGATAGGTCAAGTAATCAATGAGAGAATATTTAAAATATTAAACGACTGATTGAACACTCACTGGTGATTATTGGGTATGATGATTGTTGAAACAGGAAGCATCATTTTATTAAACTATGGGTTAGAAGCATTTCCTGTAGTAGCGTTCATCTGATTTATCAACTTGATGAAATTCACCAGAATTACATCTTCTGGGAGTTTGCTTCTGTTTTCACGGTGTAACCAATTACTGAACTTTGTTTTTTTTTCCAGACGAAAACTTTAAAGTTAAGAGCATCAACGTAAGTTACAGTGAATTTTCCCGTAATGGTCAATAAGTAACCAAAAGTTGTTCCATTACAGAGAATTTTTTTTGAAGACCCATTCCCTTCATAGATAACAGCAAGAGGAAATTAAGCAATGGGTTGGCTCACTTAAACTAGAAGCAGCCCTACAGTTTCCAAAAACGATAATATTTTACAATACATCTCACAAGATTCGTAGGATTATTGGACAGCACTGACAAGGAACTATACAATGACAATAATCACAAGAAGAACCAAAACAATAAAACAACAGTTTTTCTCTGTTTATTGTTTTTCCATTTTCATCTGGAGACATTCCCCAGACAATTCTATCAATCGAGTCCACAGCAACACGTTGAAACTTCAACAATACATGACATGAGAATGATCTGTAATATACCTGAACCTTAGCTCCATGACTCTCCAATAGCACGATGACACCATTATGTTTATAGTGTATGGCATCAGCAAGAGGCTGTCAATAAAGAGATAAAATGAGAATTTCTGGAGTAAATTATTTATTTATTTATTGCTAAAGACTGACACTAAAACGCAACATGATCGTACAAATAACTCCGTCATGATACTCCGAAATGCTTAAAAAAAAACTTGGAAATGCAAGAAGGTAATAGACCCAGAAGTTCATCAGAAACCACACATCTCTAGATACAAAAAGTTGTTTACGTTAGGGTTTTCTTCTTCAATTTTTGAATTACGGGGTTGAGATCCGGTATATCCATACCTTTTCTCACTCAAGAAAACGAGATTTTAATTCTATATTTCGTAATTTTATATTTTTTATAAAATATACTACTGCAAGTCCATTTTAGGCTGTTAGTAAATAGAGTTTGGTATGGTTTTCTCACGATATTTGAAAATTTTATTCCGTAATTTTCATGCTATTTTACATATTGTCATTTTCGTAGACAAGAAAGTTACTTCACATGCAGCCCAGACAACTTTCATGAAATTGCAGGTGATAATGAGATGAAAACTATCACAGATATCAAAAAAATTGACAAAAAGTTACTGAGGAAATTTCTTCTTCCAAGCTGGTGTCTGAAGGGAATCAAAATCCTGTCAAGGAGATCAAATATCTACTAAAATCTGAACAACCATATCCCATCCATTAACATCTGTGATTTCTTTGTCCACCTCCATGACCAATTTATAGAGGTCAATGAAACCCATATATGATTTTGGCGTTGCTCTGATGACTTTTTGGCATTGCCACGAGGCACAATTCTATTTACTTTGAAACAAAGAACCAATGAACCACTGAAGAATTGGAAATTTGAGCAAATTGTCATTAAAAGCTGGAAAAACACTTAAAGATGGATAGAGGTTTGCCCCAAATTTTCAGCTATGGCCCATTCCGCTAGCAATCCACTTCCTTCTAAACGCTGTCTTAAATGTGAGTGAAGTAGATCTGAAATTCCCCTGGCTTTTCTGCAACCGACCATTGAATGATCACTATAGGATGGTTGACAAAGGAGTTTCCCACCAACAGTTACATATGTCTATCCAGCTGATATAAAATAGTCAACTTCATCATGTCGCTTCACTGAATTCCTAACGTTCAGAATAGTATCCGCCAAAAATGGCCACGAAGATAAACATAACCTCGTGTGTCCATAAGCATTTTGCAAGACTACGACTTTTATGTCTTCTTGATATTCGAGTCCAAGCTTTGGGCAGTCTAGCGACAAGAATTTTCAACTAAAAGAGATCCAGATTTCATTCGGTTGATTGCTATTCCCATTGCTGGATATTATTGGTCGGCCGTTTTTGTAAGACTACAAATTTCTCTGTTTCTCAGCTAGCGAGACAAGCAAAAATCTTAAAGTAGAGTTCTTGAACTTCCCAAATTGTCTGCAATCATTTCCCCTATTCTTGGAAATAATAAATATATCACTAAGAAAATAAACCCTTCCCCACAACTGATGTCTTGAAAACCTGAGGCGTTCTACCCAGATACTTCTCCATGCTGATGAGATCTAGGAACACAGACATTAGAGGATTCCATCCACTACAATGTCTGTTGTACTTGTCATATTTGCCCACAGTAAATGCCACTGGTTGTCTCATAATCCAATTACGCATATTCTATGTTTTTTTTAATAAGTGCTAGTATATAGCTATTAAATATTAAAAAGAGAAAAAAAAAGGCCATGTTGCATTACCCAAACTAACCAGGTGTTGTCTTTGCCTCATTTCTATCTACACTAACCTGTTGCTGCAGATACACTACTTTTTCCCCTTTTGGACCACCTTCCCGAAAAATGGAAAAGGTACTTAAAATACCATAAGGACTGACAGATAACAAATGGCCAGGTTTGACTTTTTTTTTTTATAAGATCCTCCTCCCACAGATTTTGGTGTTCTTGATTTCCATCCCCTTAGTTCATGATAGGATTTTATGTTGATGTTGTTCAATTTTGATTTGTCTATATTTCCATAACGTGGATCTAGTCATTAGATCATAAATATGCCCAAAAGAACATATGCATAATTCTGCAAACATTGTTGATGTAGATCAATGAATGCCTATATCGAATTCATTGAAGCTGATTTTGAATCATGTTGCCATTCTTGGGAGGAGAATCCCCTTCGAATTATACACCTTTATCTCATAAATAATTTCAAAGGGAATGTGCCATCACTGTACTGTTTATTGATGTGTAAGCTCGAAATTCTCACAGCCTATGTGTGTTCCTTCAGTAGAGCCTTCAATTCTAGCCTTATTACAAACGGAACCAAAGACTGAGCCACTGGGATAAAAAAGGGAAAGAGAAGGGGAACCTCTTTGCCCATGCCCTAGTGAATTTCAAAGGCAGCTACAGCTTTCCAAATTAACTGCTTAGTTGATCACTTAAATCTCGGCTTTCCCATGGAATCCCCTGGAATATAGAATCCCAAGTCAACACATCCAGTAGACTATGGCATATAGCATCTTTTCGAAATCAATCTTAAATACCACGCGATGCCTTTCCCATGACTTTTATGACAGTGGATTATCACGTAGGAAGGCAGAAGATCACCGAATAAGTAGTTTCAGAAAATAAATGACAGTGATCACCAATTTATATAAAGTTTCTAGTCGATTATCCGCTTAGGAATAGCTGCTATCATATCAGTTTGCAACATAGTTCACATTCTAGTTGAGGAATTATCCTAGGAATAAGAAGGCAAACTAATAATTCATCAATTCACACTGTTGTGCCATCAAACTCTGTCCAACTAGGCTCTGGACTGAAGAAATCCAGCGCCAATTAAGGAAATGTTCTGAGGAACAGTCAAGTGTGAGACATACTGCTAAACTGCCACATGCCTGATTTAGGGTTTGCCTCAAGTAAATGCTGACAAGGTTCCCAGGTTCGAAACAATCAACTCAGTACAGGCTTGGAGTAGTTGCACCATGTTCACAGGAGGAAATCTCGGTAAAATTTAGACAACCACGTCACAGCCACATGTGTAGCATTCCCAAGACTGTCAGCACTGCCACAATCTGCTCGGCGTCATTTTGCTACGATCTTGATGTTGTTGTGTTCCAAACCAAGTAGCATCTAATTTGCATCTAATAGTGATAAACGGGCCATTTTCTTCATCATCTAGCAAACTAGTCGTTTTCACCTCCCCGATATGTTGAGTTTCAGACTAAGCCAAAGGCCCACCACGATGACTAAGGATCACAAAGAAAACGATGTCGGTAAAATTCTTTTCGAAAATTAGGTGAAAATCTGAACATATTCATGAAATTTAAGACAAGAACCGTACATAAACTTGTGATCACATAGAATAAGAACGTGCATCGTCCTGAATTAATCAAAATAGTTGCAAGCACATACAAACAACATCCTGCCACAATTGACACCGAACCACCGAGAGAATCCTCGAAAACACGTAAGAAGACGAAAATTCACCCAGATTTCAAAATAGCGATGCTCAATAGATGCTCTCATTAATAAACGGCATAGCCTACCGTGCTGCCCCAGCGGTCCTTCGGGTCCACCTTCGCTCCACTTCGGAGCAACAGCTCCACGACTTCGGTGAAACCCTGACAGGCAGCGACGTGCAGCGCTGTCCGGCCATCTATGTCCTTGAAGTTGGCGTTCGCCCCGTCCTCCAACAGCTCCCTGATCCCCTCCACGTCGCCCTCGTTCGCCGCGTACATCAGCCGGATATCTTTCATGATCTCCGGTTCCTCATCACCGGAGTCACCACCGGCGGCCATCTCCACCGCCTGGAGGTCCTCCGCACTCTCCTCGCGACGCGGCATGAGCGATGACTGCTTCCCCAGTGGGAAACGGCCCCCCGACTTGGGCTCCATCTCTGCTAGATTCAGCAACCAGGCCTTCTCCTCCCCGGATCCCCTTTTGCTCTCCGACGGCCGCAGATCGGAGGAACCGGCCTTGCAGGGACGGAGGAAGGAAGGAGGGAAGGAGAACAGGCTACGGAGTCAACAAGTGTTTGATGGAGGGAGTACAGAACGGAAGGAAGAAACTAGACAGGAATATATATCCACGCCAAGATTGTGGAATTAATAGTTACTACTAGATAAAAAATAGATGATTCATGTTACCACATATTTTATCAAATTATATTATAATTACTTTTTTGATAAGAAGTCAATCTGATTCGTGTCCAATTACAAATAGTCGGGAGATACGAACTTTGAACAATTTTGAAGAAAAAGTGGGTCTAATTGACAAATACAACGATAAAGTGGATTACAGCTGGAACTCCTCGGCTGGGAATCCCTCTGACCAACAGGAGAATCAAATAAGATGCGAATAATTCCGTGGCCGAACGATAACGACTCGTAATTTTGGACATTTTTGCAAAGTCCGCAAAAAAAACACGATCCTATCTCGTCCTCCGGCGGCGTCATCTACCTACCGACAGTGCGCCGCCGTGGGCGTTGACTCCCCGCCGCCGCCAGAGGCCGGAACCCAAGACCCGTTCCTATGATTCAGGAGCGAAATCCTCTGGGTATCCTAATGGAGATAAGCTCATCGCAAAGTTAAGCGTCAGACGAACAGGATGGCGACGGGTGGCGATGACCAGTGGCTTCATTAATATCGCCCGCCGTCCAACGTCCCAGATATCCGCTGATCGACCCTCGGAGAAACTTCGTCATTGGTCGGATTAGTCAACAGAAGATTCCAGGGAGAAGGGATTTCAAAATAAATTAAAATTTTAAAAGTAGAACATTTATATCCCCGGACATATGAGAACATATAAAAAAAAGAGGGCCAATCAGAGATTTTAGTGGTTCTGCGGCCTCCCTCAGCTATTTTTCTCAGAGAAAAAAAGAGCTCGGGCTTCCCGGGTAATTAGTAAAAATATGGGAGATATTTACTAGTTTATTCCCATTTTTTCTCTCTCATCTTATTAATTCATCACCAATTAAAAAAGTAACAATAGAGAGAGAGGGGAGGAGGCGGCGGCGGCGGCTCAAGGGGAAACCTGGGATTGAGCACTGTCATCGCCGGCGAGCTCGAATACGGCGACTTTCTCCCAGGAATCGAGGGTCTTGTCGCCAGTGTCCGTCTTGTAGAGGGCGAGGGCGGCGACGGGGAAGCTCAGCCCGATGAGGTCATCGCTGGCGAGGGCCTCCCCCATCGCCGCCGCCCGCCGCCTCTCTTCCTCGCTCAGATCCCCGTAGAGGAGGCTCAGATGCGGCATGTACTCCGATGAAGCGCTCCCCCCGTCGAACCGCTCGCTACAGTGAGCTCTCGCCGCCATCACCTGCGAGAAAGAAGCAGAAGAAGAAGCAGAAGGAGGAGGAGGAGGGGCACTTTCTTTACTACCTCGGGGGAGGGATCGACGAGGAAGTAGACGCACTGGAAGAAGGAGGTGCCGCAGGAGACGGCGCTGAGGCGGGCGGCGTAGGGTTTGAGGGTGGCAGTGGCGGCGCCGCCGTAGACGACGGCGCGGAAGTTGCGGAGGGCGTCGTGGTGGGTGAGTTTGGTGGCGCCGACGACCGTGATGTGGGGGTCGAACTCGGGGCCGCCGAACTCGGACCGGAGGGCGCTCATTAGCTTCTTCAGCCGCTGGGTCACCCCCTCCGGCGGGATCGCCCACACCGAGTACACTGCCTCCGCCATGGAGAGAGAAAGTTAGAGAGAGAAAGAAAGAAGACGAGGGAGGGGCCAATAAAGAGGCGTCTCCCGCAGCCTCTATTGGATCACGTCCATCCGATAACTGTTGGATGGTGGGGCCGCCGCCGCCGCTGCTGCCGGAGATGGAGTCCGGCGCCGCCGCCGAGGCCTTCTTCGACGCCTCCGATTCGTTGCTGCTTCCAGAATCGGAAGAAGACGCCGGCTCCGCCACCGGGCTTCGTCTCCGGCGGGGATCTTCCATGTCCTCCACCCGACGTAGCAGGAGCCGGAGCCTCCTACTCGATCCCCCCGCCGGAGCCGTCGACCGCGAGGGGAGACTCGAAACGCCGGCGGTCGGAGAAGGGGGGAGCAGCGGGGAAGCCGAATCGTCTTCCGGCGGATCTCCCCCTTCATCGCCGGATGTCCTGGTCGCATTAACTGGTCTCGTCATCAAGGCGCTAGGGTTTCAGATCAGTCTGCTGGTCACCTCGGTCGCCTTCCCCTTGCGGCTGCTGTGCTTCTCCATCTTCCTCGTCGCGGATCCCTGCGGAACCCTAAATCGCGGAGCAGACGCGCTGCGGCGGTTCTACGCCGCCCTCCAGGAACGGATCGGCTCCCTGTTCTTCGAGAATCTGAGCGGCAATCGAGGCATGGGAAAGATCGCGCTGAGAGTATCTGTGGGATGCTTCTGGTCCCTCTACGTCTTCTTCACCCTGGTGGCATGCCTGATTACGGCTTTACTCATCGGGAGGCTGATCACGGCGGCGATGGTGGAGGAGCCTCTCCGCTTCACAGAGGATCTGAGCTTCGACTACACCAGGAACAGCCCCGCGGTGGAAGTGCTTCTCGGCCGTCGTCTTGTTCCTCCCGGCCGGAGACTGAAATCCACCGTCTCCCTCACCCTGCCGGAGTCCGACTACAACCGAAATCTCGGGATCTTCCAGGTAGAATCTGCTGGTCGTCTTGTTCCTCCGACTTCCCCCTCGTCGCTGACAATCCTGATGAATTCCTGCGGCAAAGGTGAAGGTGGAGTTCCTCACGGCGGAGGGGAAGCGGGTCGCCGGCTCCGGGCGGCACTGCATGCTGCGCTTCAAGAGCCCTCCGATCAGGTTCTTGGAGAGCTTCTTCAGGTCGGGGCTGCTCCTCGCCGGGTACTCGTCGGAGTCGCAGACGCTCAGTCTGAAGATGAGGAGCTTCACGGAAGGAGCGCCGCCGACCGCCGCCGCGAGGATCGTCCTCGAGCCGAGGGCGGAGCACCGGCAAGCCGGCCCCGGCGCCGGCTTGCCGGAGATCTACGCCGCGAGTCTGACGCTGGAATCGGAGCTACCTCTGGTGAGGAAGCTGCTGTGGGACTGGAGGAGGACCCTGCTCATGTGCATGACCATCGCCGCCTTCAACTCCGAGCTGATGCTGCTTCTGGTCTGCTGCGCTCCGCTCATTCTCCCGGGCTCTACACGGCGGAGGGTCCCCTCCTCCGCTCGGACATAGCCGGGGCGATTGATCGTATCCAAGAAGAGGTACGTGATTGTGTAGAAACACAGAGAAATTCAATATTTTTATTGTATAATCTGATGATCATGAACAGTAATTAACTAGGGAAATAAAAGTTTCCCACAAGAGCAGCAAGAATTATTTATACATCTGTAGATAATATTTCTTTGCCGTTTGTTATTCGGCCATCTGAAGAATTTCATGGGGTTTCAAGAGCTTTCTGAGCTCACTTGTCGGCATGGGCTTCAGACCCTCTTGCAGACCTTGGGGAGAATTATCCGAAGGAACCCGTTCCTGCATATTACCAAGATTTAATGGAGTTTTTTAATAACTAAAAAAAATTTGATGGTGGATTCGATCATATGAACCTTCATAGCCGTAATTTAATTTCATACAAAGTAAATGAGGTAAACCATCAAGGTTTCGACCAAAGATGGATGCATATAATTTGACTCCCTAGAAGGGCATGACGAGGAGAAATGCATACATTTATGTATGATAATAAAACGTTCCGATCATAGGGCATGAATACTTTTATTATTGACTGACCGACTCTATATATATGCAGGAAGGAAGAAATTATTATAAACAGTCAACATGAACGAGCTGCAGCTAGTAAAGGAAGATCATTTCCACCGCCCTACTGCCTAAACAGATGAAGTGATTCAACTACCCAGAGGGGGCTGAGATCATCAGAATGACTGAGCTTTGATTAAAGATCCACGGTAGAGAGAAAAAGAGAATAGGAGAGCATTCAATCCTGAGGGTGTCGCCACTTTTCTTTCAGATTGGCCGATTCTATGCATTTAATCATGAAGATTTAATTCTATACGATTATAGTTTCTAAACGTGAACTGCCCTCGAATGAGAAAAGAAGATCAATGAGTAAATCTTCATGATTAGAATTAAATGATGTAATCCTCAAGGCTTTTAATAATAATAATAATAATAAAAAAGATTTAACATGCGAAAGGGATTTAGGGTTCATCAGGAGAGCAGAACCTCGGTTAAGAAGAAATGATAAAGAAAAAAAACATAGGATGAGACGAATTGGGAGTAGAGATATGCTTACAGAAGTTCAGCAGAGACAGAATCCCTGTTAACATCACTTGGGAGCGGCCAGACTACTGAGTATGGGCCCTGTAATATCTGCTTCTGGTGGTACGTAATGCTGGCATCTTCTGAAGGAGCTTCCATCCTCCACCTTGGAGAAGAGCGCTTACCCGTCACAGTCAAGCTGGCACAAAGAGAAATTGGGCTCGTCCAGTGAGCAATTTGTTTCCTGGGGAGGAATCATTCTTCAATGCAAGGAATTTATGAAGGAATGTGACCATACTTTTTATCATCAACCTCCACTTTTATATCAACTATATTCGCACCAGGGAGTTCTAATGTGAGAACATGATATACTCCGGTTTCTGCAACATCCATTCTCGGTGGCAATTCTATACCTGCATTTGATTCCTAATCAAGCAATCATGGAAGGAAAAAAAAAACTGACTGGAGATATTAATTAAAGTTCTTAACCCATCAAAATTAAGAAATATATCATTAAAAATGTTTGTAATATGCATGTTAACCTAATATTTACTGAATCTGAGACTAGATGCATGGGAAACCATTTGTTATTTTACTCTCATTTTGCTTTGTACTCAAATTTATTATGCGGTTCATCAGTTTATACTCATGAATTTCGATAGCGAAATAAAAAATCTACTTAAACAGAAAATTAGCTGAATTTTATAAATAAGTAATACGGACGAAGGGATCTGAGAATGGCATACTGCCAGGGCTAGATCTCTCCACTGCTCTGTTGCACAGGAGCTGCTCTTTCTCACTCTCTCCACTGCCTGGCCGGGCAAACCTGGGTTGCTCTGTTGAAGCCTCCGTGTTTTCTTGTGCCGTTGGTTGATGAATTTTTAATAGTGGTGGAGTGGAGACTCGCTGAGAAGGTCTAGCAAACAAGGGTCCTCCAGAATGCTGAGAAGAGTAATCTCCATTTCCCGGGGGCAAACAATTGATGGGCGAACTCTGCTGAGCACACCCACCAGCTCTCAAACCCTAGACAATGTAATCAGAGCGAGAGGACCGTAAGCCGATTGCAATTACAACGAGCTTTGGCACGGAAATCAGGGGAAATTAGACTGCCTTTCACCTGCGCGACGGAAACTTGGCGCATGAAACACGCTTGCGATGCGGAGCCTTGGCGTGCAAAGAGCGTCCTGCTGTCGCGCCTCGGCGTCACGGCGTTCAGAGTGCTAGAACAGTTCTGACACATTACACAACCCCATCAAGCATTTAGAAGAGCAGAGAAGAGGAAATCGAAAACAAGAAGGTAGTAAAATATGAATGCGAGCGAGCTTGATTAGATGGAAGGACTGGAATCCCATGCGAGCACGCAAACAGTCTTTTCCATCTCACTCTCACGCTGAGGAAGGCTGTGTTTCTACGGATTACCTTGAAGTGGAACAAAAAATCTAAAACCTACGCTGTGTCCTTCTGATCTCCCGACGACCAAGAGGTGATGGCACACCAGAGAAGTCGGATACAATTATGGAACGGAGGAGACATCTCGCAGAAAATCCTCGAAAGAGAGACCATCCAGTTGAACTAGACTGCCGACGTGGAGGACGATCCGCAGAAGAAGAGATTAAACCAGGAAAAGAAGGCTGGGGAACTCACCACAGGGAGGAGCTGGCGGTGAGGCTGCGCGACGTCCTCCCGGCATCCGGCAACGTGATCGGCGATCCGGCTCATCCTCCTCCGCACGACTTCGCTATCGCACCCCCGGGACTCCATCTCCCCTCTTCCTTCCGGCAGTTATCTCGATCTCTCTCGCCTTGCTTCCGCGAGAAGCACAGAGAAGACCGGAAGGCCTAAATAGGGCGAGGGGGGAGGGGGATCGTCGGGAATATCTTCCCTCCCGGGAGGGGAGGGCCTCCTCCAGACGTTTTTCCTGGGGAGGAGGAAATATCTCGATCAGGAGATATTTTCTTGGAGGTCGGCCGCGGAATGGCCGGCCGTCGGAGAACCATGCCGGCGCCGGCGGGTAGAGCCAGTGGCTCTGCTCTCTCAAATGTAAGTGTGGGGGGAGGGGGGACGGAAAAAAAAATCTCGCTCGCGTGGTTCGTCTTCAGAAGTCACGATTCCGTGTTAGCTTATTGGGCCGGAATCAAAACAATCTGGTCCAGCCCAATATGGACCTTCTCTCTCTCTCTCTCTCTCTCTCTCTCTCTCTCTCTCTCTCTCTCTCTCGCCCGCGCGCGCAGGCACATCCAGTAAACAAGAGCTAGGAAGTACATCTGTTATATATCATGAAAGATGATGCACTGTAGATGCGAGGCGGAGCCCTCTCTCATCCATTCAGTGAACAGCAGCAAGCAAGTAAATCCATTTTATATTATGAAAGAGGACGCATTGCATATCATCTCTCTTCTCTCTCTCTCTCTCTCTCTCTCTCTATAATGCCGAGGCGATAAGCAGAAGAAGAAACAAAGAGAATGAAAGCAGCAGGAGGCAACGAGGGTGAGGCAAAGAAGATCAAGAATCACGCCTCGTCCTCGAATTGCCGAGAGTCAGCTCCAGATCCTCTGCAAGGCACTCCGCGTGGATCCTCTCCCCCTCCCACGCCTTCACCACCCCCTCCCCTTCTCCTCCAAATGCGAACTCGCCCACAGCCTCCGCCATGGCGATGTCGGCTCCTCCTCCAGGGGTGGCATCGCCGCCGCCGAAGAACCTGAAAGGGTTATGAGAGGAGACGAGGCTGAAGGTCGAGGACGACGGGGCACCACCGCCGCCTGGCGGCGCTGCCCATGGCGGCGGCGCGGAGGGGCAGTCCCACTCCATCTTCATCCTCGGCGAGCGGGCGGTCGGGGAGCTGATCGGAGGGGTCACCGGCGCACTGATGGATCCACCGTGGATGAAGAGATGGTGGCGGAGCGCCGCCCTGGAGGTGGCGGCGGCGGCGGCGGAGGAGGAGGAGGAGGAGGCGGAGGAGAGGTTCCTCAGCCACGGTATCAGGGAGTTGGCGTCTGCGTCGTAGGAGGAGGCCGGGCTCGGCTGGTAGGAGGACGAGCAGGGACTAGGCGAGGTGGAGCAAGCCACTGTGTTCCCCGTTGGCTTGCGTCCCTGGAACATAAATCATAGTGATGATGATGATGAGGCTTTAAATGTCAAGTAATCTTATCGAATTAACTCAATCAAGATGGAAATAAAAATGAAAATTTACAGAGCAGAAACCAGAATAGATATTGCGAATTCGGTTCTTCAGGTAGGGAAGGGAAGAACAGTGTTTCTTAGAAAAACCCACTCCAATTCACGGCTGTATACTATGCTCAAACTGGAGAAACCAATTGAAGAAATTGCCTGAAATTTCATCAAATTAATCTGATCAAAATGGAGGTAGAAAGGAGGAATATGAATTCGGACAATATGAATTCGGCTCTTCAAGCAGTGAGCTTATCCGAAGTAAGCTTATCACACAGGAATTAACAATAATCAACCTCATCGAACAGGAAATAAAGCGAAGAAATCACATGGAAACCGAGATGAGTGACGCAGAAACCAGATGGATTTTCTCAGAGGAATGTAATCGAACAATATTTAAGGAATAAAGGGTTCTTAGATTCACGGGAGACATCGGAGGGAGGAGCCCCGGGGGTGAGAGAGAAAGAGAGAGAGACTAAAAGGGAAAACAGAAAAAGAAGAGATGCCTCATCCGGTGCCTCTGCACGGACATCAATTACCGTTCACGTGGCCGTCGCTTTACCTGTTCCCTAGTAATGGCCGGGAGGAAGAAAAAGGAGGAAGAAGAAGAAAAGGAAGCACAGAAACCCCGGCGGCCTCTTGCCGCACTGGAAAAAGCACTGACAAAAGGGCTTCTCCTCTGGCCTGCTTTCGCCGGTCCCCGCTCTCTTTTCAAATAGCGGCGGGAAGACCATCTAGAAATCCAAACCCCCGGGGAATCTGATGAACTAAAAGCGGGGAAGAAATTTCACAGGAAAGATGAGGGCGATAAACGGGGAAAACGCGAGTAGAAAAAGGCCGACGGGAAATCGCGAAATCGCCCGCTCAAGACGTTGTTGCAGATAGACTTATGAGGAAGAAAATTGGCACAGCTCATGGCCCTGTGCGAAGCCATATGCGATGAAGATCCCGGCAAGATTATAGCCATTTCCTTTCTCATTCATCTCACGTAAACGATGCAACTAGGAAAAACATGGAAGCGATCTGGCAGAGTGCTGCTCAGGGAAGAAGAGGGATGAAGTAGGGATAGGGTTTACCTCGCGATATGTTGTGCCGTCGGCCTCGACCGTCCAGCCGGCCTCGGCGCACAGGGCCTTGAGCACTTCGTTGTTGTCGCAGTGCTTGGGGAGATTGTAGTTCCCATACATCCGCAGCCCGCCGTAGATCTTTGCGGCGATGGCCCTCCGCCGCCTCTCCCTCCTCTTGTTGTTCTCCCTCTCCTTCCATGTCGGCAGCCGAGATCCCGACGTCATCTCCTCTCCTTCCTACCCCCTCCTCGACTCCACTCCGCTCCGCTCCTGTCGCCGGCAATGCCGCAACCCGATCATATCAGAACCTCGGGGAGACCACATCCAATACCAGCAGCTCGCTAAGACCGTCGGAGAAAGAAGAAGAAGACGACGCCCTAGGGAGGTCTCCGAGAGGAGTTCGAGGAGGAGATCACCTGCGGGCGGTCGGTCGGTCAGTTGCTGCAGAAGAGGGGCAGGCGGACCCAGCAGTAACCGTCTGAAGGAAGACGAAGACCAATAATAAAACCACACAGACAGTTAGCGCCACTCTGCCCTCAATGTTCGATAAAATGACAAAAATGCCATTTGACGGTCCGCGAGCTCCCCAGTTGAATAATATATTTTAAAAATATTTTCGGACGAATTATAATTTAAAATATATATCTATTTCGTAATATGAAATTTGGTCCGGCTGAACAGGCCCGTTTAGGCTTAGAATGAATCAGTCCGTTGGATCGCCGGAGGCAGGACCGATTCGCCAAGAATCGCCCCTGACTCTGACGATTCTACCCCGACTCAGGACCATCCTCGGTAGAACCAGGCCGATTCCGAGTGAAATCGGCACAGAATCGGACGATTTAAACTGCGACACTAAACCATACACTCCTGGCCGTGCCAGCCCAAAAAGTCGGCATCTCCCTGATCCCCGTTCAAACAAGCCAGTTAATTACGACCGAATAAATATCTGATCAATACACGATAATTATACGAAGATAGCCAATCCAATTGATTAAATAAAATACACAGATACAAGAAATCTGTAGAAAAACATAAGGAGCAAGTGGAGAAAAACTCAGCTACAATACGATAGATTAACCACTTTGGCTTGGGAAATTACTAAAACAAGAAAGCGGGTATCAATAGAAAATTTTAAAAGGCAAATTTGGAGTAAAAATAATACAAAGCTAGACTGATGATGGATATTAGGCACTAATCTTTGGTATTTACAAATTATTAAACAATTCTGCCTGCTTACTCATACTGAAATATGAGAGAGAGAGAGAGAGAGAGAGAGAGAGAGAGAGAGAGAGAGCAACCTCTGTGCTCCGATTCTTCATTCTTCATTGGTGGGTCAGAAGAATGGAGCTCAAGCGGCAAGGCTGATCACCTCCTTCAGAGATCTGCCCACAGCAAGACACAGCTCCTGCGATTTCAGTGCCTGGGGAGCACCATAGCCACAGGCATACGCAGTAAGAACCCTCATCGCGTCGGCTAATGTCAATTTATGTTCTCTGCTGACGCTGTGGTTCGCGAATTTGCACGAGTTCTTCATCGGGCACCCTCTGCATATCTAAAGAGGAAGGCCTCAAAAAATGGCAAATAATCATACAAAAGTATAGATATATACGAAGAATAGTGACTTCACTTGGTAAAGCAGGGTTTACCACATCTTCTTGAATGCAGAAAAAGGATCTTAGCCGTTTGGCTGCGAAGACGGTCTTCCTCTCTGTGCAGGGACAGCCCGACAGGGCGACCTTCTTCAAGCTACTTCCCGACAGCCATCTGTTCATGCAGTGAGGTTGCTCGCGTCAGAGACGCAGAAAGGACTGAAATCTTCTGAAAGTAAGGGGGGAGGGATCAGAGGGAGAGAGAATTGATTCAAGAAACTGGCCAGGCAGACAGAATCACAGAAAATCCCACTTTTAAAATAAAAAATCATAATAATCCGGGACCTCAGACATCGTCAAGATCTATGATCCAAAATGGACTACTGCTGCAGTCTTTACTTTCGTTCAAAGGGTCTTGAATTCAAGAAGAATCATAGCCCCACCGCATCCATTGAATGATGCCAGCCATTCAACGAGCTCCATTTCACCCCAAGGACAAGAGGCGCATTAATGGGGAGCAGTCTTTTGAGATCTAAGCACTAGGGTTAGAAGTTCATGGGGGCCTGAGCAGATACTTATCTACTGTGTTGTCTCCATTTGTAGGAAAACAAAATATATGATGCTCGTTTTACCAAAATTATCCCAAACCTTCAGACTCTCATGACATGTCTATCATTACTTGTTGGAAGATGTGGAAGGAAGAACAGCGTGGCACACTATTGAAGAACATGATTGCACCTAACGAGAGATTTAGGGGAGATTATAGATTTAATGAGCCAAAAAATTAGGCCCAAAAAAATGATAAGTCTAACGGAATTCAATCTGTAATCCATTCATTTGAGATAAGATCTCATGGAGGATATCCTTAGCATTGCCAGTGGGTGATGAAGATCTCACACTGCATCAACATAGGATGATGAATCTGTTTGCGACATCAACATAGGGTTGTAGAATTTTCTCAGTAGAACGAACAATCGAGTTTCAAACCGATATACGATGAAGTTAGCACGGTTTCATAAGCACTCTGAAAAAGATATGTTCCTTCTTGGAAAGAATGCACGGCAGAAGGCGTAGTAGATTATGTTGTGCTTTGACAATTTAGGTCGCAAGTGCTAGAGTACTCAGAGGAGCGAGTTGTACTTACTTGGCGATCTCCTGGTGGTCTTCCCCGAATCTTTGCGCCGCAGTCATCAATACTCCTCGTACGAAGCCATTAACGGGAACTCGCTGGGGATCCAGCCCCTGCGAGAAGCTCACGCTCTTCAGATATCCCTCCTCGTTCAGACGCCTGACGAGCAAAAACATCTCTACCAATACTTCTCCCGTGCATTGGACTTCCACGGAGGATTCACGATCTTCCGATCTCGTCCTCCGTTGTCGCTCGGCAAAGCACCGGCGGATCCCCATACCCTGGGGTTTAACTCCGGCAGTCTTTCCATCAAACTCCGGGGCTCTCGATGAAGACGGCCTGGCAAACAAGGACGACAAAGAACCGATTCCGTTCGAACTCTTCGATTTACAAACCTCCTCCCCCTCCTCCGGCGCAGAGCTGAAGGAATTATATCCCCGTGGAACTGCGCGCCTTTGCTCACCCCGGTGGAGACCATGGCAGGGCCGACAGAGATCGGACGACCTCCCCTGATCGAACCACACGACGGCCGGAGAGTTTCGCGGCGGCGGCGACGGAATCTTTTGAAAGGCGCAACGGGAGAGAAGCCCTCTTCCAACAGACGCCATAGCTCAGCGCCCATAAGGTTAGCTGCCCAGTTAAAAGCGACGGTCCGGGGCCGGGCCGGACCGGACCATTTCGACCGGTTCGAGCCGGACTTCTATCCCAAGTCAACTGCCTAAGGGAGACTTTCAAATCCCAGAGAATGTTAATGGCCCCGTTAACTGCCTAGTGTTTGACTTCAACGTTACGACCTCTCTGCGTCTGACTCCCGAGAGGAATGCATGACCGCCCATCCCAGCGTCGCTGGCGGCTGTCGGAGGGCATTATCTGGTATATTTGGCTAATAAATGATCGCCAATAAAATTTATCCTCAACAAATCGTGTTCCCTTTAAATTATGTTTTTTTTTTGTATAGATATTTATATATATATATATATTTATTTAAGAAGTCAGAAGCCAGACTTAATTCCTTGGCATATCTAATTTAATGTGTCAATTGTATTTTAATCTTATTTTTAAACGGAATCATAATATTGTGGATTATCTTTTAATGAATTGGTTGGATTTTTTACTTTTAATAGTAAGAAGGAAGTTGACCGAGGAAAAGTTCCCTATTTTTTCCTCTGAGGTATAAGCCTCCCGGTAACTTGGAAAGCAAGTTGGCAACTTAAAAATACTATATTTGGATATATATATATATATAAATAAATATTTAATACATCTCTTAAAATTTTGGGTGAGGGTAGGTTTAAGTGGACCCATCATGTCCGCCCTGCGAGGTGCGTGGGTCAAGGTCCGCTAATCTCCAGGGGTAAATCTGCAACAAAATTATCTTATATTTAATTGAAAGGAGAAAAATACCAATTCAATTTAATTAGTTTGTCCGAGATTTTTTTTTCGGAGCTTAACTAAAAATAAAAGGGTTTATAGTTGTTGCACAGATTAACGAGGTTTATAACATAATTATCTAATATAAGCATAAAATAAAGACATTAATTAATCATAAAATACACTTTTTAAAAAATATTTAAAACACATTAATAATTATAAAATAAATACAAAAGCCTATCACCCCTCTCTCTCTCTCTCTCTCTCTCTCTCTCTCTCTCTCTCTCTCTCTCTATTTATATATACATATTATTATTATCCCTCGTGGAGGTCAAAGGAGTGGCGGCCATTGATGGCAGATGGGATTCCCCACAGAGAACGATCGGAAGTATTAAAACCCTAGAAGACCAAACTCTTCCGCCAACCGGCAAGTCGCCATGATCTCCGTCAGCTACCTGCCACCGGTCCCTGAGGGGCCAAATGAAAGAAGCGAGCCACCGAGGGGATGGGATTTCCCGGAATTCGACTCCTCGCCGATGCCTCATCCGCTCCTCGCAGTTCCTCGTGGAGATCGCCCCTCCGAGAACGACAGAGCGGGGCTTCATCCCATCGCCGCGGCGGAGATTTAGGGTAAAATAAGTCCGCCTCTTTGTCCCATCTTCTTCCCGGTTGAGATTTTCCTCCTCCTCCATTTCTGAATCCCTCTTGCCATCCCCCTGGGTTTCTGATATCTGTGATTCCTTCTCCGCGGGCTGTTGTGGGGTTTGTTTCCGGCTCGATCTCGAGTAAAGAATTATACCGGCGGAGGATGTAGGAGCGGGGGGAACCGATTATCTGGTTCAGTCTTCCGTCGATTGGAAACAATTTCCCAGGTTTTTGGAGGCCGAGGTTTCGCCACTCTCTGCGCATCGTTGTCCTGTTTAGGAGAGGGGTGGGTTCTCGAGATGGAATCATCCTATGGTAGCTCGAATTCCCCGCCGCCCTTCCTCACTAAGACGTTCGACATGGTGGATGATTCTTCAACCAACTCCATCGTCTCATGGAGCCCGACCAGTGACAGCTTCATTGTGTGGAACCCCCCGGAGCTCTGCAGGGTCTTGCTTCCCAAGTACTTCAAGCACAACAATTTCTCGAGCTTCATTCGACAACTCAACACCTACGTAAGTAGATGAAAATTCCGTCGATATCCCACTACGATTTCTTCTCTATCACGCGCAAACTACATATCGATTGCTATTCATTCTTACACAAACTACATATTCATCGTTGATTTTGGAGAAGAACCATAATTTCCAGGGAGAATTGTTGTCAGATCTTAGTTACATCGTTCTTGATTCAGATACTGGTCGTTGTAATCTCTGTTAGTCTTTTTATTTTTTCTGAATTTTTTCACCGAATCGAGAAACTCCGATTGTTGCTGCGCATCTGAATGGTCCAATGAAGCACATCCTAGAAACTATGACTTAGAAATTACAATCCTCATGTCCATAGAAATTCATCAGAAACACTGCTGGTTTGGATCATTCTCAATGCTCTGTGATCAATCTTGGATTGGTCTTCACCCCTCTCTCTCTCTCTCTCTCTCTCTCTCCCTCCCTCTCTTCCCCCCCCCTCTCTCTCTCTCCCCTCCCTCCCTCTCTCTCTCTCTCTCTCTCTCTCTGTCTCTCTGTTCTAAGAATGAAGATGTGGGTATTCTAATTTGTTTGGTAAGCAGGGTTGTTTTCTGCATCTTTTTTTTTGGATCAATCTGACCGAACTCTTTCCGTCATCTCCTGACATAGGACGAAGCTCACTCCCTCTCTGTAGCCCTTTTAAAAATGACGTCTTTCCCTCTCAACCAGCTGGGGGTCTGGAGACCCAGAAGATCGATCATATTTAGCCTGGTTAATCTGGGGGTCAGCCCCTCTTGGCCGATCGGTGCGGCCAGAATAATAACATTAATAGTTGACTACACTGATCAAGACCCAGAAGTCAACGACCTCCCTTCTTGCTCTTCGGCAGGGCTTCAAGAAAGTTGACCACGAACAGTGGGAATTTGCAAACGAGGACTTCCTGAAGGGCCAGAGGCACCTCCTGAATAACATCCACCGGCGGAAACCCGTCCACAGCCACTCCCCCCAGAACCAGGCCGCCGTCGCCGGGGCCCTCACCGATGGCGAGAGGCGGGAGCTTGAGGACGAGATCCAGAGCTTGAAGCGGGAGAAGAGTGCTCTGGTCCTCGAGGCCCAGCGCTGCGCCCAGCAGCTGCACGGCGTGGAGTTCCAGACGCAGGGCCTTGCTGCGCGGCTGCAACAGGTGGAGTTCCGCCACCGGCGCATCATCGCCTTCCTGAACCTGGTCATCCAGAGGGGCCCCGCTGGCGGCGGCGCCGCCCTCCTGCTGCCGTCGTCGTCGCCGGAGGAGGACCAGGGGAAGAAGAAGAGAAGGCTCGTGTGGCTCGACAACGAGGAGGATGATGGCGGCACCGCTGGCTCTTCCCGGCGGGTCTTCGATGCTGGGCCCGTTGACAGGATGGAGTCGCTACTGTATTCCTTGGAGGGCTTCATCTTGACCGTCGGCAGGGCCTCCGGCATGGACATGGACGGCGGCGGCGCCGCCCTCGCCGGCACCCCATCGACAGTGATCCTCATGGAGATGAATGCATCCTCCGGTGACACCGATGGAGAGCGGCGGTTGCGATCCCCCAAGCCGCATTCTTTTCCTCGTCCTCCGGGTCAACTCTCCGGGAACCGGAGGTCATTGACCCCGGAGCTGACGGAGTCAACTCTCCGCGGACGAGGCCGGTCAACAGTGTCCGAGATAGACATCAACTCGGATCCCACTCCGGCCGAGGGCCCGCTGACCGGGGCGAATGACGTGTTCTGGGAGCAGTTCCTCACGGAGACCCCCGGTCAGAGGGACGGCTCCGGGAGGAAGAGCGTTGACTGTGACAGGGGCCAACCGGTCGAGCTTAACAGTTGACTTCTTCGCCAACGAGGTACGGTTCTATCTCGATTCCCGGCCTTGGATCATGTGGTTGCAGATTTTGGCAATGTTCTTTACTTCGATGTGGGCTCTCATCTTAGATCGGCCCGCTCTTAAAGCCCGGGGCCCATCCACCCCGTGGACTATGATATTTCACAGCCCTGCGGACTGGGGCCGAGAAAAAAAGGAAAAGGGAATAGAATAAAGGGGCTTTATTCGCCCTCCCCACTTGCCCCAGCAGGGTAAGAGATAAGGGTAGGATGGGATAGCCTAACTTGAGCCACCGAATAATCTTACCAAGTGAATGAGGAGGAATAAAAACCCGGGAATTTCCACATACACACTCTATTATTTATATACTTGCTTCCGTACCCTTTTTAGAGACATTCTGACTCATATGCACCATAATTACATAGCAAATAAATTCCCCTCATATCATATCCTATCAGTTGATATACCTCCCCCACGCAGCATTTCTACTCGAAAAGCGCTACCTGAATGCCGCAGATTTGCCCGAATTGATAGACCATATATGGTGGGCCTCTTTGATCGGTCAACCGCCAAAAATGGAAAGATGGAATATTTGACATGTGGGCACGACATCGCTTCCAATTTATGGGTTTTTATGACGTCATAATTCATAATATAATGTTGAATGCGTTTAGATTGCGATGAGGATATAATGTCGTTCCACGTGGGATGACAAGATTGGTTGATGTCTAAGGATGACGTGTGAATTTGGAGTGGTAAGATTTTTTAATTCCACGTGGCATAATTTTACGGGTTGATTTTTTTTTGCATTGCATGTTATTACCCTCCCTTGATTCATCATCACCACTCCATCAGGGGTATAAAACCAACGATCATATGTGACACTTTACCATGTTAAAATAATTTTAGGGTTGTATTCTTATTGTAAAAAGTATATGGGGTTCCATTTTGAAAATGATGTGACTCCACCGTAGGGAGTCGTCGTCTCCTTCTGGAACCGCGGGGCGCCACACGCGGGAGGTTGCGATTCCGCCGCCAGGTGGCGCGACGGCGGCGGCCGCCCCCACCTTATCCTCTCTCTCTCTCTGTCTCTCTCTCCCCTCCCGGGCCCCCTTCCTCCCTCCGCCACCCACCGGTGGTTCCAGATTTTATCGCCGATCTTTCCCCAAAAGCGGGAAATTATTCTTCATCTTCTCCGGTGGGAGAAGATTCTTCTTCTCGTCGGGCTGCCCGCGATTGGATTGTCTTCTTCCTGTTCTCATCGGCGGATTAGGATTTTTTGTTTTTTTTTGGATCCGTTTTTCTGTTCTCAGATCGAATGCCCTCTTTTGGCTCCTCGTGTTGATCGATCGTCTGCAGAGATCGGATCGGATCGGCGGTGGGAGCAAAGATGATGTCCAGATCGTATACGAACCTTCTCGACCTGGCGTCGGGGAACTTCCCGGCGGTGGGAGGCGGCGGCGGCGGAGGGAGGGCCGGGAAGCGGCTGCCGCGGGTGATGACGGTGCCGGGAGTGGTGTCGGAGCTCGACGATGACCAGGCCAACAGCCTCGCCTCCGATGTCCCATCCTCTCTCTCCCAAGATCGGATCATCATCGTCGCCAATCTTCTGCCTGTCAAGGCCAGGCGGCGGGGGGACGGCAGGGGATGGAGCTTCTCCTGGGACGAGGAATCCGTCCTCTTCCAGCTCAAGGACGGCTTCCCTGACGACATGGAGGTCCTCTATGTCGGCTCCCTCTCCATCGATGTCGATCCCGGCGAGCAGGACGACGTCTCCCAGATCCTGCTGGAGCGATTCAAGAGCGTACCCGCTTTCCTCCCCGACGATATCTGCGGCAAGTTCTACAGCGGCTTCTGCAAGCAGCACCTCTGGTCGCTCTTCCACTACATGCTCCCCTTCTCCGGCCACCACACAGGGCGCTTCGATCGATCCCTCTGGGAGGCCTACGTCGCCGCCAACAAGATATTCTCCCAGAAGGTGATCGAGGTGATCAACCCCGAGGACGACTACGTCTGGGTTCACGACTATCATCTGATGGTGGTTCCATCCTTCCTGCGGCGGCGATTCAACAGGCTCAGGATGGGATTCTTCCTCCACAGCCCCTTCCCGTCGTCGGAGATCTACAGGACGCTCCCCGTCCGGGAGGAGATCCTCAAGGCCCTGCTCAACGCCGATCTCATCGGCTTCCACACCTTCGACTATGCTCGGCATTTCCTCTCCTGCTGCAGCCGGATGCTGGGGCTGGAGTACGAATCGAAGAGGGGGTACATCGGCCTGGAATACTTTGGGAGGACGGTGGGGATCAAGATTATGCCGGTGGGGATCCACATGGGGCTGCTGGAGTCCGCTCTAAGGCTGGCGGAGAAGGAGACCAGGGTGGGAGCGCTCAGGCGGACCTTCGAGGGGAAGACGGTGATCCTCGGGGTGGACGATCTGGACATCTTCAAGGGGATCAACCTGAAACTGCTGGCCTTCGAGCTGATGCTGAAGCTTCACCCGAGCTGGCAGGGGAATGCCGTCCTGATTCAGATCGCCAACCCTGGTAGAGGCAGAGGGAGGGACCTGGACGAGATCCAGGGGGAGATTCAGGAGAGCTGCAAGAGGATCAACGACGCCTTCTCCAGTGAGAACTACCAGCCGGTGGTGTACATCGACTGCCCTCTCTCCTACAGCGAGCGGATCGCCTACTACACCATTGCAGAGTGCGTCATCGTGACGGCAGTGAGGGACGGGATGAACCTCACCCCCTACGAGTACATCGTCTGCAGGCAGGGGGTTGATGGCTCGGAGACGAAGAAGAGTATGCTGGCAGTTTCCGAGTTCATCGGGTGCTCCCCCTCCCTCAGCGGGGCAATCCGGATCAACCCCTGGAACATCGAATCCACCGCGGAGGCCATGAACGAGGCCATCTCCATGGACGAGTCCGAGAAGCAGCTCCGCCACGAGAAGCATTACAGGTACGTCAGCACCCACGACGTCGCCTACTGGTCGAGGAGCTTCTTGCAGGACCTGGAGAGGAGCTGCAAGGACCACTTCCGGCGGAGGTGCTGGGGCATCGGGCTGGGCTTCGGCTTCAGGGTCGTCGCACTCGATCCGAGCTTTAGGAAGCTCCATGTGGACGCCATAGTCTCGGCCTACGAGAGGGCCAGGAGCAGGGCCATCCTCTTGGACTACGACGGGACAGTGATGCCTCAGACCTCCATCAACAAGGCTCCCGCGGAAGAGGTCATTGCCACCATCAACACCCTCGCCATGGACAGGAGGAACGTCCTCTTCATCGTGAGCGGGAGAAGGAGGGACAACCTGGGCAAATGGTTCTCCCCATGCGAGAAGCTTGGGATCGCCGCAGAGCACGGGTACTTCATGAGGTAACTCTCCTCCTTACCACCAGCCTCGGGAATTCCAGAAGGGGAGGAGAAGACCTGACTTTGTGCTCCCATGTCTTTGCGCCGCCATGTCAACAGGTGGAGCAGGAACGAAGAGTGGGAGAACTGCGGGCAGAGCACAGACTTTGGGTGGATACAGATCGCCGAACCCGTGATGAAATTGTACACGGAGGCTACTGATGGGTCGTCGATCGAAGTGAAGGAGAGCGCCTTGGTTTGGCACTACCAGGATGCAGAGCCTGGGTTTGGTTCTGCTCAGGCCAAGGAGATGCTCGACCACCTGGAGAGCGTCCTGGCTAATGAGCCCGTCGCCGTGAAGAGCGGTCAGTTCATCGTTGAAGTCAAGCCCCAGGTACTCATACCATCCTCTCTCTCTCTCTCTCTCTCTGTGTCTAATCATGAAAGTTGGTAGCTTTAGCTTTTGATCAAGCCCAAAGACCTTAGTTTTGTCATGGTGAGGCCTAGAAACCCGTGAACAGGTTGATGTACAGACCTCCGTAGTTAATCAGACCACCCCATTCCTCAAGGCCATATTGGATGTGATTACGGCCACACATAGAGAGAGAGAAAGAGAAGAGTTCCTGACACGGCCATCGTCCTCTTGTTGTGAAATTCGCAGGGGGTAAGCAAGGGCCTGGTCGCCCACAAGATCCTGTCGTCGATGAGGGAGAAGGGCCGGCGGGCGGACTTCGTGATGTGCATTGGCGACGACCGCTCTGACGAGGATATGTTCGAAGGCATCAGCTCAGTGACGAGGGACTTGGTCTCCCCAGGAGCCCCCATCTTCGCCTGCACCGTAGGCCAGAAGCCCAGCAAAGCGAGATACTACTTGGACGACACAGCCGAGGTCGTCACCACCCTCAAAGCCCTCGCAGATGCCTCCGAATACCAGTCGTCATCGTCTTCCTCAGAGGACGAGGGGGAAGGATCGAGCTGACCCACTCCGATCAACTCTCCGCCATTACTTCTTGATGCCCGGAGGAGATCTACCTGCGGCTCAGTGCAAGAGCCGCCCACCGAGATCTGGCGCCATGTCCAGAATAGCAAAAGATCAGACTGGTTAGGTGGGTTGCCCTGTGGATCAAAAAGCTGCATTCTTTTTCCCCTGATGGATGGATCGATGGAGAGGTTCGTCCAGATTCAGATTGGAATTCGATTCTCGGGTGAATAATGTGGATTCTTGGAGGCGCCAGGCCTTCTCTCTCTCCTCCCCGTCAGCGGCGGCGGCAGCAGCAGCAGCCGAATCCTCGGAAGATCGAGGTCGTTGGAATCCGGGTGTTTCCAACCCAACACCAGAGTTCCTTCTGGAAAAGATTGATTCAGCTGGCGATGCTGTTGAGGATCTGTGGAGGGCCACCGGGAGATTGGTGGGTTGTATTTAATAAGAACACAAATAGAAGTAGAACCCCATTATTCCTGCTCAGATGCACCCAGAACCGGAGCTACTTCTGTCAGAGATGTTGGTCTCCTTTCAGATCTTCGAACTCGTTCCTCTGGGAGATACTCTCAGGTGTGTCCTTCCCTCCCTCTTCCTCCACCTTTCCCTCTCCCCCCCCCCCTCTCTCTCTCTCTCTCTCTCTCTCTCTCTCTCTGTATATACCTGGTACCTGCATATCGTAGTCTAGCGGTGCGCATGTTTTAGAGAGAGAAGGTATGAACAAGGGCGGTAAGAGAGCAGAAATCCTGAGTCAACGGCAAGTCATCACCAAGATTGTGGTATCGAGTGGTTGACCGTCAAACAGGGCTCTTGTCGTCCGCATGAAGAGACCGGGGAAGGGGGGAGGGTGGAATTTTTTTGCTTTTGGTCCTCTCTCTCTATCTCCTTTGCGCAAGGTCGAGGTGCGTGGCGATGCGAAGGAGCTGTGCAGTTGAGGTAGGCCGGAGAGACAGAATCTGGTGGGGCCCACAATGCGTTGGTGGGCCCTTCGCTCATAAAAACAGTTGGGCCTGTTTTGGGCTTCCACATAGGACCCAGCCCGGCCCAAAACTTACGCCTAGGTATCTACGCAATTTATCCCAGGAATCTCGGTATTACTGCAAAGTTAAACCCGGGGGCTTCTGAAAACTAGACATTTTCTTCAGTTGTGGAGAAGGGACACATGCAACATAATAGAGGACGGCAAACTGGCTGATGAGGGTGTATACATAATTTATTTTTGAATATGGGTAACATTTCTGAAACGCCGCCACGTCAGCCGGCCCACGCCCCCAGGCTTGTCTACTTGCAGGAGGTTCCCGACAGAGAGAGATAGAGAGAGAGCCGAATGAGGGAATCTGGTGAGGAATAAAGGAGGAGAGCGGGGGGGGGGGGAACTGACAGTTGGTCCATCGCTGCTGCTGCTCCTCTCTCCCTGCTGGGGCTCCGGGGGAGCCGACCTTCTGAACACTCGGTGGCGGACGACACAGAACGGCGATGAAGGCCTTCTTTCTCCGGCCGCTCCTCCTCGCCGCTGTCCTCTTCTGTCTCCCTGTGGATGCCTCTCCCTCCGGTGAGATGGATTCCAATCTCTCCCTCCCACCTCTTCTTCCTCCTCCTCTTGTTCTTGTTCTTATTCTTATTCTTCTTCGACTTGTGTGTGTGGATGGGTGCAGGTGGCTTGTTCAGGCATTTCTCCTCCATTGTGAAGTGGACTGCGAGGGCGTACCCGAAGTCCTCTCCCGCCGGTGAGTTCCGCCTCTCCCCCCCCCCGCCCCCCCCTCTTCATCTTCTCGCTTCTTCTGGCGATCGTCACCTGTGTTTCGATCTGATTCTATCAGCGGAGGAGAGTGTGCTCCAGTTCGAGAATGGCTACGTCGTGGAGACCGTGGTGGAAGGGAGCAGCAAGCTGGGGGTGAGGCCCCACTCCATCCGCGTCTCCCCGGACGGGGAGCTCCTGGCCGTGGATTCGATTAACAACAACATCGTCCGCATCACGCCACCTTTATCTCCGTGTAGGTCATGAAGAACCGCGAGGATTCGCTCCATTTAATTTGATGCTGATGCTGTTGATGATGAAGGGGTTCTATCGTCTTGTCCAAGCTAAACCCTATTTGTGTTGCAGACAGCAGGGCAAGGCTTGTGGCAGGGTCCTTTCAGGGCTACTCCGGCCATATCGATGGTAAGCCAAGTGACGCTCGATTCAGCCGCCCAAAGGGGGTCGCCGTGGATGACAAGGGGAATCTGTACGTGGCTGACACCGCAAATCTGGCGATTCGGAAGATTGGAGAATCAGGTTGGTTTCTTGTTGGGGGGGGGGGGGGGGAAGAGAATCTAAATTGCTGATTACTTGGGAATCTGTCTGGAAAATTGAAGGTGTCACGACAATCGCTGGGGGAAAATCAAGCTCGACGGGATACAGAGACGGGCCCAGTGAGGATGCTATGTTTTCCAGTGATTTTGATGTTGTGTACTTGGGAAGCAGATGCTCCCTGCTGGTGGTGGACAGAGGCAACGCCGCCCTTCGGCAGATTGCCCTTCAGCAGGAGGACTGTGACCATAAATCTACCTCAATCTCTGCCTCAGGTTTGCCCCCAAACTATTCTTGTTAAAGAAAGCTGAAATTCGCATGGTCCAATATTTTTAATGATGGTTCTTGAGACGTTGGGGGTTCCTTTCTCAGTATCGTCGAGAGTTCATGTGGGTTTGCGAACTCTCGAATTTGAGTTGATGGTTCTGGATTAGTATGTCCTAATTTTGGCTAGTCGAGGGTGAATTCACTGTTCTCGGTGGTTTTCTGGTGTGGAATGCTGTTTGTGGGATAATCTCACGTCAGTTAGGAGAAAGATGAACACGTGGTGGAAACTAGGACTTGATTCTTTCACACGAGCACGCAGATTCTGTCCTGGCACAGCTCACATGGCAGTCTTAACATAATCAACTTGGATCTAATAGAAGAAGCATGTTCAAATGGTTGTACATGATTGAGGATGAAAAGAAATCTGAGATTAGAGATGTTGCCAATTGGTTTTGAGTTGGATGGCCTGATACTTTCTTAAAAATATATTCTATGCATTAGAGAAATAAAACTAGAAACTTTCTTAATAGTTTATAGTTTTGTAACGATGATGACTTGTTCTGACTTGAAGATTGATACTTGTGATCTTACACTCTCAGCCGACTCCTTCATCCAACAGTCCGAAAAGAACTGTCTTGGGAACATGGGAAAAAGCTACTGTGATAGTAATTTGCGGAACATTTTCTTTTTCTCAATACTGTGGATGACAAAAGATTAGTTGAGGACTTGGTTGAGGATGAATTCGGAGAATTCCCATAGGCTACTGGACATTCCATCAAAGTGGAGCGAATAAAGAAGATATTGATGAGGCGCATGGCTATGGAAACCTAGAGACATACATTTCAGTAAAATCGTCAACCAAGTTTCTTGTTGAGTGGTTCTATGCACGCTGTAGTCCCAATCATGTAACAGCTGTTAGTTGACTATCTTGGTTCGCACGTCCCCTTTTTTTTTAGTCAACCTAACAAAACCTAAAAGTCAGAGTTAGCTTACATGGGAGAGGTGGATTAGAGTTGACGTAGAAAAACCTGAAAAATGCAGCCCAAAAGGCCCAAAGTGGTGGAACGTCGATGATCCGAAAATTGCTGCTGAGAGGGCCCAATGGGGGTGAAATAGAGAAAGTCAAGATGTTACAAGGACGTGGACATCCATTATTTTAGCGACGCTAATTGCTATCATTTTAGGGTTTTTTTATTTAAGCAGTAATGCCCTTAAAACTTCCTCTTAAAGCAGATCTGAGACTTACCGATGCCTATTTAAGGAGGCACGGATCATACAAGGGATTTTTTTTTGCCCAAGTACTATGTTATCTCATTCTCCCTTATGGATCAAGGGTCGATTCCTTTCTCGACTCTTGAGTATTCAAGGATTTTCAAGCTTGTTCCTTGTGAATTCGAGACTTGATCTTTTTCTTGGCTTTGGCAATGTCAAAGAATATTGGATTCTTGGCTTTTCCATAGGAGGACAATTCACTTTTATAAATCTTTCTGTAGTATATCACCTTGCGCCTTTGTCTGGATCTACTGCTATAAAAAATTGAAATTTATGATCTGCCCCTGCAGTCTTCTCCAGGGCTTTACTAATTGTTTTTAGGGTTTCTGTTCTTGAGAGGCTCTGACTCATATAATATCATTGAATAGAACAACGCTGGATTTCTTTTGCAGACATTGTAATGGTGATTGGCGCCATGTTGGTGGGGTATGCTTCCTGCCTCCTTCAGAATGGATTCGGGCCTGCTTTCTACAGCAAACAGGTGCGGGGTTCTGTCAGGGTCATGGGCTTTGACTTCCTCTTCTCCCAGGGAACAGCTGACGGCATTCCTTGTGGTTTTCACCTCAGAAGCAGCCGTCAGGAGATGAATTCCAGAAGAAGATGGGCATGGCGGGCGAGACCCCTCTCGTTGTGGAGAGGCTCGAGGAGGACTCCATCGCCTCGTGGCCATCTTTCGGGAGGCTGCTTTTCGATTTGGTCAGATTCTCCGTGGAAGCACTGGGCAGTGGGCTCCTCTACTTAGTTCCACTCAGCCCCACGGTTTGGAGATCCCCGCAGGGCCTCCACCCTCTCAAGGACAGGCTCATAATCCCCGAGGACTACCCCGTAGAGCAGCCACAGCCACAGCCAATTCAGAAGCAGACAACCCCTGAGACGAGGCAAAGTCTCCAGAAGATGATCGGTAAGCCATCGGCCACGCTCAAGGACTCTCTGCTCCCTAATAAGTACAGGAAGAGGCCAGAGTATGGAGAATTCTATGGGTCTTCTGTCTCCGGCGAGGTCCCCTCCGCTGGATCTAAGCTCCAGAAGGAACGGGCCCGCCACCGGCACCGCGGCGGTGTCACCACCACTGACACAACCAAGCCTGCGGACATCAAGCCGGCTGACTACGCAGATCCAAAGTATGACCAGCCCAATTACAGGAGCAAGTTTCGTACCAGTGATGGGTTTCCCTTCTGATAGAAAGCCTCCTGTGTAGTAGGTAGGCATTGGCAGTATGCGCTCTCATAAGCTCGATTCCATGAAATATGCCTAAGAGAAGGTTGGACTGGATGGAATCGACTGGTACTCTCTACTTCTCAGATGTTCTGTTCATGAAGCCTTTTTCCGTAAATTGATCAAGATATGAGCTGCTGTGATGCTTCTGGGCACGTCCTCGCCAGCCATTAGAAGCAACCGAAACTCAATAAAGAAACCTCCTTGCTGTGCCCAGCCTCTGTACATGCATCCACTCTGGCGTGTACTTGTGTGCTGCTACGCTGGCAAGCGAAGCTTCTCACTGCTCTTCCAGCTGAAATGGGAAACAATCCGGATGCAAGTCAAGAGGCACACTTTATATCTCGCAGGCTAAAAAGACGATGAAAACTTGCAGAGACTCGATGAACTGCACTCCACCTGATAAAATAATAGTAGAAGAAGTCCAGGTAGAGAACTGTCTGCACGAGGCCAGAGATCCACGCTGAAGAAGACCATGCACCTCGTGTTAGAAGGAGAGGGAATGAGGGTGGGTGGGTGGGTGGGTCGGATTTTCATCTGCCAATCAACTCACATATCCATCGGCCGGCATGCTTCTCTGTGAAGTAGCGGTAGATCCAATTGAGGACGTACAATGCGCGATATGATCTGCAAGGCCGCAGAAGAAAACTGAGAAACGAAAAGGAGACATGTCCGAAGGTGGTGTGGGTACCTCTTCATCTTCACCCACCAGCAGACCGAATGTCCCTTTTGGGTAAGGAATGTATGGTAATAATGGCGTCAAATTGACAAGAGTGAGTGAGTGAGTGAGAGAGAGAAATGGAAGGGACGAGGAGATGGAATTAGAAGGACAGATCATCCTATTTGAATCCTCTATAATTGTTTGTACGCATGTAAAGAGTGAAAGAAAATCGTGCAGGATTGCTGATTTCTAGAACTTCTCAAAATTATAAGAAATTTTGGTGTCGTCGGGTTCTCAAATCAAAGAATGATTGAGAGATAAGGAGAGGGATGGAAGGGAGATGCCCTTTGATTAGGAACAGAGACAAGATGAACAAGGATGGAATCAGAAAAAAAAAAAAAAGAAAGAAAAAAAAAGAAAGAAAAAAAAAGAAGATTTAGATAACTACGTTTCAGAAAAACATACCCAAGGAAAAAAATGTAGTGTGTGGTTAAATTGTCGACGTTCCTGCATCTCTGAAGCAAAACTAGTTGAGGAAGGATAGCCACTGCTTCTAAGTAAATGGAAAATGCCCAAAGTACCTGCAGCAAGGGAAAATGGAAACGATTTCTTCCTTCATTAGATCTGAGGGGATCAGAGACGGAAATTCCCTCAGATTTTACTTCTTCTGGAGAGAAGCACATGAACATCATAAACTGTGATTCAACTCTATTTCTTCATTTCAGCAGTAATTCTGTGTAACGTCGTTGGGAAGGTGATTCCTACGATGACACTAACCATAACAGCTCTAGAAAGCGAGGAAAGCGAAATATTAGAGGTTCTTACAGAGAAGTCGAATTGCAATCAGACAAATGCCAGTTACCTCTCGAGTGGTAAAAAGGTCGGGGAAGAAGAGCGCCATTATGAAGCTCAATAATACGAGAAAGTGATGGCGGAAGGTGTCCTGGTCCCTGTCATAGGACCGCCGGACGGTAGGATGCGCGCGCATGCACCAGACAATCGCGAGGGAGCTCGTGATAAATATCACCTTCATCACAGTGTTGTAGATCGATATGAAATCAGTGAACAAGTCCAGGTAACGCGTCAGAAAAACCAGCGCGTACAGTTCCTGCGTCTTCAGTGAGATCCCTAACCACAAGCGCGCACAACGATATTCATATTCTACGATAACAATTTCCCGAAGAGAGGGATCCATCCAACGCTCCCTGGCTTGCGGGGGGAGGAACAGGCAGGAAGAGTTCACCTGAGCAGGATTTGGTGGCGTAGATCTTGAGGAGGAGAAGGAGGACGCTGACGAGGTGAGTCATATCTCCGGCAAACCGGAAGATGTTCATCGCTGCCCCAGCTCTGCGTCGACGATGGAGCAGGCGAAGCCCTAGAATTTCCCTCCCCTGATTCTTACACAGTCCTCGAGAGGAAGAAGATGGTGAGAGAGCGGGAAGGGAAAGCTGATGACGTGTCCGCCGGTAGGACCCCGTTTCCTATCCTCGCGGCACGTGGCTCGCTTAAGACAGGTCATAAACAGTCCGATTAAGGTTATTAACGATGCAAACACCAATTTAATAAATAAATACCCTTAATATGTCTACATAATTATGAACGGGCCTGACGGGCCTGGCCAAGCCTTGTTGAGCCCGCTACGTAGGCCCGACTACTAAAGCGCAGCACCCTTTCCGGCAGATAAAAAAAATATACGTAAAGTTGCCACATAGGCCCGGCCCGCTACGTCTCAAGCCTAATGGAACCTTTGGGGGTGGTGGGTACAATATAAAGGCTATGAGGGTAGAATATATATTAGTCAACTTATGAGGAAACTTTCTATAAAATGTGGGAGGTGCTATGAACTGAGGTGATATTAAAAGGTGGGGAAATGGAGTCGACACCGCGTGGCCGTTCCCCACAGATCGAGCAACGAACACTCTTTCTTTCTCTGACATCACAACGACCTCATAACACCACCCTCTTCCTTCCCTCCCCGGCTCCACCGCGTCCGGGGGAGCTCCGGCGACCGCCGTCCGATTGCTTGCCGGAAATCGAGGGATCTCAAAGGCTCAGAATAGGCGGCGGCGGCGGTTGTCGTCGATGATCTGACGTGCCTTTCCATAGACCGCGGAAGGAGAGGGGGAGAGATGGGCTGTGCTGGATCCACGCAGAACACAGCAGGTCATCTCTCTGTCTGTCTGTCTGTCTGTCTGTCTCTCTTCGTTCTTCCCTCTCTCGCTCACATCACCCGCAATGCCCTGAATTTGAGTGTATATATCCAATTTGGTGGATTCGCTTTAGGTCTAATGTTTTCCCCGTGCATGTCTGGGAGTCGCACAGGAACCATGGATTGTTGGAGGAAAACCCCTGCCCGATCACCTTGCCTGTTTAGATGGCCCACGGTTGTCAACTCGATCAAATTCTCATCAGATGATTGATTTTCCCATGTATATTATATATATATATATATATATATATATATTTTATACCCTGCGTTAGAGGGAGCCCTTCCAGAAATTCTCGACGACCCGGTTAGTGTCCGGGGAGGGGGTTTGGAAATAGTTTTCGACCAGCAATTGACGCGTCTCGGTTATAACCTTACTGCCTGCGCCAGATTTATTCATTCCCTTTACACACATTCCTCTTGAATCTGGTTTTAGTGCTTTCGAATGTATCTTTGGTATTTTGTGCCGCTTGGAATCTAGGAGTTATGAACTGGAGAAGAATTTGTGGATAAATTTGCATACAATCCGCCATTGTACTCCCGCAATCTACGTCTGCGTCACAGGATTTCTTATTTCTCTCTCTCTCTCTCTCTCGGTTACGCGCACCCCCCATCTCCCCCCAAGAGTCATGCATAAACATGGCTCACATGGCAGTCGTTCATATTGACGCCTCTGTCGTGCAATCTTTATCGGCTAATGGTTGTTGGGCTGTAGGACGGACTGATGCATTCGGTCATCTCATTTTAAAGGTAAAAAGTACTCGTTGTCCTCCTGGAACATTGAAAATTGTGTTGTAGAGTCCTCTCTTAAATGGCGATTTGTCTAGTTATGACGATATAAAGGTGTGTGACTATCAACCCTTAAGACCGTTACTGAGTTTCCGTCCTTTAACTGATGAATCTATTAGAATAGTTTTTCCAGACCTACCTATTTAAGCTTAACTCACCAGGTAGACATGAAAATCTTGCCCCATCTTAACTTTTTCAATGCACAGACCAATTGTCAGGTCTCGATCCTGACTGATGTCCTTTTTCGCATATAAACTGAAAACTTGATTCAATAAATAATACCAAAGTGACTTTTGAGAGACTTTTCATATCCCGATGTAAACACATTATTACTCTGGGGAGACAACGTCAGGTAAATTTAAAGCCACATTTTCGTTTCATTATCATGAGAACTTTTTCGAACATGGGATAAACTCTCCACGCCCACATTTACTCCTTAATGCTCTTGTGTTTGACATGGTTGTGGAATGGGGAAAGGGCGTTTATGTTTCTTAAGGAACTCTCCATATCCTTCTCCATTTTAATTTCATCTTTTAGTTTTCACTTATCATATTTCTTCATTTAATATCTCATCAGGTGCCTTCCTCAACTTATGACTGCTTCTGAACATCCTTGGCACCTAATTCTTAAATTTTATATGGTAGTTATTGTCTGGAATGGAAAGAATCTTGAAACATTGTATTGTTTCATCCTGTCATCCACGTTAACTTCTTTAAAAAGGTCTATACCATAAAAATTATTACCCGTTACCCATCCTTCATTTAGCAGTCATATCTCTGAAACTTTTTCTGCAAATTTGAAGTTTGGACATGGCCAGATAACAGGATGCTCTCGTGGCTTTATGCCATCTTATCAATAAAGGGTATGGTCTGAGGTAGGTCATGTCAAGCGTTTGACTTCTCTATGGTGAAAAAAAATGTACCTTTGAATAAATTCTGTAGTACTTTTTTAGCTCGCTTGGAACACTACTCTCCTGGCCATTTGACCTCAGATAAGTATTACTGAGAACCTTCTAAAGAACCAGTCTGGAATCATAAATAATATCCTTCCTTGAACAGATACTGCATGAATGACTAATCCTAATCCAATCTTATATGATTTTTTTTGAGAAACACGCTTGTTATATGTATCTCATCGATAACTAGAGCACAAATTTTCATAGACACAGTCTATGATCTTTTTTTAACCTACCGATTTCACCCCAACTTATTATTTCAAAGTGCCGAAAAATTTGTTCTCATATTTGGGGCGGGTTTTTGTGATGATGGGGGAGGTTTAATTAAGTTAATCTGAATTACAAAGATTGGGATTAACGTAGCATGTCTGAGATGGTCAATGATGGAGAGCAATTGGGGAGGTAGGGTTCTAGACATGTTTACAGTGGGTGCAGATGCCCCTTTTAATGGAGTAGCTGGCCAGGTTGAGGTACTCAATTTGCCCGGTTATGGTATTATCTATCATTTAAAATAAAAGATCTCACGTTTTTAATATGGCAGAGCTGTGTTTCCAGAGTCATCTGTATATTCCGCCTCTTCTATGAATGCTGGGAGATACTGTGGATTGGTTTAGGAAACACAGTATTGAACAAGTGATTGTTCTTGGAATTGACACATCAAACTCCCCAATGCTTGTTTTTCTTAATTTCTCATTTGGAAGCTTTCATTAGTCTAATGAAGGAGCGTTGAGAGAGGTCGCCTGATTCCTGGTTTTGTACGCTGGTACTATGTATTCTGAACTTCTGTCGGATGAAAATGTAGGAAAACGGAAGATCTTTCTTCCATTTGACCCTATATTTCATCTCGACTTGAATTTCTCTAAAGGCTGAATCTTCGAGTACTTGAATCCTGACATTCTATTAAGGTAATTTATTTTCCCCCTTTAATTCCTTTGAGCAGGATGTATGTATCAGTTTGGTAGGATGATGGAACCCCACTTATTTGTTACAATCCATGATAGTTTACCTCAGATCTATTTTTAAAATTCAAAGGACATTGTTTCTGGTGTTGACCATACTCATCTTGCTTCGTTATATCTGGAAGAACATGGGGTTACATATTTGCCTACCATACAGAGCAAAAATTCATTTATGTCTCATTCTCTTGTTCAGTTGTATACTTTCATCTAAAAAGTTTCTGAAAGATCCTGATCTTGATTCGATGGTAAGAACCCAATTTTCATGTTCTTCTCCTCTGATTTTTTAATTAAAATTAGTGTTAACGTTCTCTTTATGCATCTTTTGTAACTGCAAAATTTAATTTTCAAAACTTTCTTAAAGGTTCCATGAGGTGAGATATTTCATCCTTCCACTTTACATTCTATGTACCATGAGTCGTCCAATGTATTGCCCTCACACGTTCCCTTTGAGGCCCTTGATATGTATCAAGTTCGTAGATTCTGGTGGCTTTAAAATCTCAGATTTAGAAGCCCTCAACTGTGGATATTTACAATATGAGGGTCTTAAATGTGACGGTTCCTTCTTTCGTAGATCATTTTTCAACGACTTCGTGGTTTCTCATATGCCTTTGGTCTAAAATATAATTGCAAATGACTACGGATTGATTCACTTTTTGAATAACTTGTGAAACTTGATATACCCAGACAATCCAAAGAAGCTGCGAAAGCCAAAGCCTTGGAAGCATAGTCAGGCCCTTACTAGGGCACAGCTGAAGTGCATGCGTGATGAGTTCTGGGACACAGAACCTCACTATGGTGGCCAGAAAGGTTTTCTTTCTTTCCTATTCACCGAATCTATTTCTTTTAATAAGAAAAACAAAGTGCTTATCATAGTTTGATCTGAACTGCTACCCTAGCGTTTGCTTTCTCTGGCAAATGTACGTTTTTAATTTGATGCGTTTCATCAGGCTTCTGAGTCTGTTTCATCTTCCCTTTATTTACCTTTCCGTTTATTCATGTGAAGCAATTTTACTTAATTGACGTATCATCCCTTATTGGGCGTCTCTCATACCAACCCTTTCATTCTTCAAAAGGGGTAAAACCTCGTATCATTATCCATGGGGGAGTATTGGTCTAACAGACAACTATTTGGATGTCTTAACCTCTGGGTCAACCTTTTGCCAAAATTCTGGTCTTTGATGTTTGCTAGATTGCATTAGTTCATATCTATTGTCAACGGGTTGTTTTTTTTAATAAAGGAATACGTTCTGTCAAATTTTGGAGATCATTTGCGAAGAGCAGGAAGGATTTTTGGGTTTTAGGGAATTTGTACTATTGGAAGACTAGGGCAAGCAATAAAATCTAACGTTATTGACACTCGCTCGATAATACTTCAAATGGAGATTCTCGATTTCAAAGTATGACGCAAATGAGGATATCAAATGAAATAAATGAAGACATTGCTTACAAAAATCTGAACTCAGACAAGGATCAGTGAACTCAGATCTGGCGATGGTATCTTTATCCGACTGTTGAAAGATGGATCCAAATGTCTCTGACTCTCCGAATGTTCTTCTAATTTCCTACAATCCTCTCTTCCCATTCTTTTTTTTCTCTGTTGTTATTTTAAGTGCTTAGGGTTTAGGATTCCTGATGTTAACGTTGTTCTGGTACTCTATGGTTGCTGAATCTACTCTAGGCTTCGACTTAGCTCAGGGCATTTTTCTGTATACTCTCCACTTCTGATTTCATATTCTTATTTTTTTTTAAAAGTGTGTTCCGAGGCTACTGTTGCAACATGTATATCCAAGTCTTTGTGTTGTTGCGAGGATGTCTCTTTGTTTCAGTGGTGACTTTTTTTCCTAGGAAATGAGTTATAATGAACTTTATCCAGTGCACAATCCGTGCTTTGTGCACACTCCTGGAAATACTGCTTGTGAAGATGATCACGTATGTGGCCAAGGCTGCTTAGAAAATGAGAGGGTCTGTCAGGCTGGTAACCTAAGATGATCACGTAAGTTGAACAGCTTAAGCTTATGCGGTTTGGAAGAAACCCTATTTGTTTACCTAGAAAAGCAACGGGGAAAGATGGTTTTTTTTTCGTTTTATGACTAGCTGTTTTCAAGGTAAGAATCATCTAAGGAGTAAGAAAACCATGTTCTCCGAATAATTGATAACATTATTCCCATTAATTAAGATAAAAGTCAACGAGTATCCTGTTTCAAAGGGTCAGATGACATCGTATTAATGATTTGGATATGGATGTATTCGTCTTTGTCACCATCCGTCTGTCTAATGGCCAAGTCTATCCATTATGATATAACTAGTAAATTATGACCTTTTACCTTAAAACTCCCCATACAAGACAGAAAAGAAGAAGAAGAAGAAAGAGCTTTGACTTTTAGCGTTTCTTTTTTTTTTTCTTAATAGAACATTAAGAAGGTTTACAATGTTCTCCTCAGCTCTCACTTTTTTGCCCACCAGCTTTTAATTGATTATTAAGACATTAAACATTTTTCCAGTCAAATTTGTAGACAAGAAATCCGTTAGCCCGTTAATTTTGATGAAAGTAATGATTTAATGGCGTCACAATAGAACGTTGACGACGGTTTCCCTGAAGGAATGTTCCCCGTATCATTGATATTTCTTGTTTTTAATCTTCGGTTTATATACTTATTCTGGTATTGTCATTTTTTTTAATCCTAAACTTTCAAGAGCGTTCAGCAACCATTTGAATACCCACCTCGAGATGAAGATCATTCTCTCTATAAAATCTCCACTCGCTTGAGCCTGAATTCAGAATGATTTAGGATTCCTTGGTTGATTTTAATGTTTTGAGAAGAACAATGATGATATTTTATGAATCCACATAAGCTTGCCAACCCAAGGACGAACCATGTGCGCAAGCCTTTCCTTCTCTCATCATTTTGGCTCCTGGATCCTCTCTCCCTTTCTTCTACGCGAGGATTACCTCGATCCTCGGGATTTCTTCTGAGGCAGAGTCCAAGTCTGAAGAAGCTTTTGGGGCACACCGGCCCTCATGTTGATCTTTATAACCATATGAAATCGGAAGAATGGTAGTGCTCATGTGGTTTAATTCATCGAAGCAGAGATCTGGGATGCCCTTCGAGCTGCAGCAGAAGCCACCGATCTGGCCCTTGCTCAGGCGATTGTGGACAGCGCCGGCATCATCATCTCCAGCGCTGACATGACGACCTGCTATGACGAAAGAGGTAGGCCCCACTTGTTCATTGGTTTTTTTTTCTCATTCGTCTGGGTTCCATAAATATTTAGTTTTTCAAATAAAACTTTGTCCAGGTGCGAAATATGAATTGCCCAAGTATGTTTTGAGTGAGCCCACCAATCTGATCCGAGAAAGTTGACCGAAGGGTAAAACCTCAACAAAAATGAACAAAATTGGCTGTATAAAACCTATGTATATGAGTCTCCACCCCACTCTACATCCAAAGTCAACGCTTTAGGGTTTTGTCTCTGTGAGCTCGGCCAAAAGGCCGAGTCTGGTCAGCTTTTCCGTCTCCTGTTTCGCTTCGTTCCCGTCAATGCCGGAGCAACATCTGGGCTATCTGTGTTCCTTCTGATGAACTGGAAGAATTCTGGTTGTGGGCTACATGTGTTCATGAGCTTGTGATGTCCTGGTCAACTGATATGCATTATTATCACTATCATTGGCGTTTAATTGATCGCATTAATTGGAATCTGAGGTACCAAAAACCTCTTTGCATTAATTTATTCTCGTTTGCCATTATTGAAGGTTTCTACTTAAATATAAATATAAATATATATATATATATATATGTATATATTATTTTATTTTATTTTATTTTTCTTCTCCATCTCTCGGATTATCTTGTTGCTTCTATCACTGGATTAGGCGAACGAGGATATCACAATGAGGAACTTAGCCATAAATGTTGATAGGAACTTAGGAGCTACAAACTCTGAGTCTAGCTAGAGATTAGGTGTCTCTTCCTCCTATCTTTCTTACCGGATTTGGTCTTCAGCCTGCTCTGAGTCTACCTTACCTAACCTAGTGATATCAATTCATACATCAAAAAATTACTCAAAGAAGAAGGTACGTTGAAAGATGCAGATCTGAATGGCAACCCATCCATTGGCAGCCCATCCGTTGAATCAGGACCAGGATTGATCCTAGGTGGTCCAATGGCAGCCCATCCATTGGATGATCTTCGCTGGCAGATGCTGATATACATATTTTCTGAAAAGAAATGGGTTGGCGTGACCTGAGATCAGCTGAAATGAACAAAATTTTCTGCAAATTTGTGGATTATGAAATTATACCCCCCCCCCCTCCCCCCCCACATTGGTTGAAATCAACGAGATTTTCTCAAAGTTCCGGCTGATATGCAGCCTAAAGTCCCCCAAACTGCTCGATATTTTCCCACCAAATCAGTTGGAATGCACCAAGGTTGAACAAATGTCAACCCACATCATCTCAATCTAATCGATGCCCGGTTGGGTCGGAGAGTTTTGGGTTAGCTGATGCTTCCTGAAGCTAGTTGACCCGAACAAGATTCCTCTTCCCCTCCCCCAGATTAGGGCTGACGTCACCCCCCAAACAAGTAAAAATGGAGGGTATAAGCTCAAGCTTGTTGAAATGGAGGGCTAACTGTTAATTTGCTCCTGATCTGAAAGATGGCATTTGTAGTCAGACGTGTGCCCCTATAAAGATTTTCCTCGAGGGTGCAGGTACGCAAACTATAGAAAAATATTGTGCACGACTTTGGGAAATTATTTTATTAGGCCGTGTGGCTGTCATCTCCTCTTGCTGTCGGGAAGGCAGCCCCACACTTTACCGCTGTCCTTCCCGCGGTGGAGGGCGGTCGGCTTTTTCGAATCAACCAGGGGTTATTCACCAATTAGTTACTTTTTATTGTGCTTCACCGGAAAAATGTAGGTTTATTATGTCAGCGAGAACTCCCAGCTAAAATAGTTTAAATACTATTTGTCTGCATTATCCATCTGCGGTGTCACCATCCGGGCACCACCTAATAATCTCTCTTAATTAAAAAAAAAAAAAAAAACCCGCTGAAGCTTCCATGAGACTCCTAGATTCAACCCAATGATTGTGACTCCTCTCTCTCTTCTCTTTCTCTCTCTCTCTCTCTCTCTCTCTCTCTCTCTCTCTCTCTTAGCATGACCTGGCGGGATGACGCCGCCCCTGCACGTGGCGACGATGCCATGGCCCGGCGACTTAAGGTTCCATAATAATAGCCCTAATAATAAATAGTCCTGCAGATGGCGTCATTGCTTTCTCTCTCTCTCTCTCTAGATTGGTTTTCTGAGGAGTGGCCATGTGAGGGAGAGGGGGTGGGGGGGTGGCTATGGCTACGCAATGCGAAGGAGTAAATGCCCATCTGGCATGCGTGGAACAGTTCGTTTGACATTTTCGTGGGGGATTTTTCTAATCTCTTGACCAGAATTGTATGTTTTTCAATTCTAGTTTTTATAGCATTGAGCTACTCCTATACTACTCGTTCACACTGAGAGCGAGAGAGATGGGGTCTAGAGAAGTGGGCCTTCGGAAGAGAGAGAGAGAGAGAGAAGAGAGAGAGATGAACAGAGCGGTGCCTTCGAAGAAGGTTCTTGAGCAGTAGGCAGCGCTAGCACGACACCAACAGCTTTGAGGGATGGGTTGACTTTCATCACGGAGGAATAGACTTGCGAAGGCTTGACTCTCGCTGTCGTTGACTTCCCCCGGCCAAAAAATAAGAAAACTAAGCATGAGGCCACAGACGGCCTTCTATCTACCCTCCCCTGTTATGAATCACGCCGCCGCCACTCCCCTCCTTCCCACTAGAAGATCCAACACTTCTAGGTCATGTAGTCCCTACCCTTTTGTTGGGTGAGCTCAATGAAGAGCCGGTCAATAACCCATATGAAGTCAGCACCAACTCCCAGACAGCGAGTTGATCTGGATCCCCCACAATGCCCACCACTTTGTTGTTTCCCATAAATAATCCCTTCTCGCCTAATTATCATGATTGGTTCCAAAAATGTTTTGAACCAATCATCATAATTATCAAATTATCAAATTATCAAATTTAAATAGAAAAAATATTCTCATTATTGGTTTCAAAAATGTTTTGAACAATAATTTCTCTTCTTTTATTTTTTTTAGCTCATCGTCCGATCAGATCCAAAATCCTTGAAAATTAGATGATATTCTTAACAAAATAAGAACGATGGGCAAGTTGAATCAATCTCCAAACAACTCGGACAAAGCAGAACAATCACAATCTCAACCCAGCAGCTGGGCGGGCTGACAATTGGTCAACATTTAAGTGGACCATGCTGTGGTGAGTCAACCATCAATAGAATGAGGAAATGCTAGGTCATTTACCCATTTATTCATATATGTTTATACATACACGTTGCATTTATTCACATTTATTGAATAAGAGATAATATAATATATTTATGATTAAAAAAATATTTACATGTCATGTTAACCATAAAAGGATGTATTTGCTAGATGGGAAAATTTACACCATCACACACAAAATTCTCTCTCTCTCTCTCTCTCTGAGTGTTTGAAATTCTCATGTTCTTATTAGAAGTTTCAGGATACGAGATATACTTCTTAATCTCACACTTAAATATTCATTATTTATTTATTTGCAAGAAATTATATGTGGGGTATTTGTCCCCAGTGCTTATGGGAATATATTTTATACTATGTATATGAGAGAAATATCATAATTTATGGAAAACACTTGCCTTCCCACCCAAACTGAGAGTGATAAAATGCAACGGCTCAAAGAGGATCAAGAGAGTTTCTTGTAAAAAATCATCCAGTTTTAGATAAAAAAAGAATATTTTTAGGTGATATTATTGCGATTTAATGTCATCTCCCACCTAATCGAACTAATTACTGGTAGAATTATTGACAATCTTGCCTTATATTGTTGATCAAAGTCTTGTTAAATAGACTCCATTGCTTCATCATTGAAAAATATCCGGTAAGGGAGGGCGGGGCCCACTTAAATGTGGTCCCAACCAAGAGGGTCCAAACTGTAGTGGACGTGGCAACAAACGTCCCATCTACCCCGGGGCAGATGCGTCTTTTCATATAACGTAGATGCACGTAATCCAATAGGCCCACGTGGGCACATGGGAGAAGTCGAAATCCCGCCACGTGGGCGAACTCGGAGCCCACCATAAGGGCGGCGGCGGTGGCGGCCGCGGCGGTCTAATTGGAAACCTCATGTTCGGTCCCTATTTTATTTCGATATTTCAAGTAATACATCTAACAGAATGAATTTAATTTAATTATTCACGTGACAGCACGTCTCAACGTATGCAACTACAATATTTCCAAAAGAGAGGATATAACTGTAACTTTCTTATAATCAAGTGTGCTCTTGAAAATCAACTAATTACACGCGTAATTACGCGAGCCTGTGATCCGTCGATCTCGAGATCAGCGGAGGGGATCGATCGATGGGGTTCCCGGGGGGGGGGGGAGAGGGGGGAGCAGGGCAATGTTTTATTGCTGCCGTCATCTCGACGCAGCGACACACCCTCTCTCTCCCTCTCTCTCTATCTCCAGCTCCAGCTCTTTCTCTCTCATCCGCCAGAGGAGGCGGTCGTCTTTCCCGTCTATCTGCATCCGAATCTGACGGTCGAGGAAGCCTCTGCGGAACACGACGGCGCACTCCGGCAGCTCCCCGAGCCCGGCGAAAAGCGCCTCCTCCTCCTCCGGCGCCGCCCCCTCGCTTCCGGCGAAGTCGTCGGTCTCCTGGTCTACGGCCGGCGGGATCATCAGAGCTCCGCCGTCGCCGATGGGCCCGCCGAGGAAGGCGTCTCCGGCGGGCGGCGAGGCCGAGACGTCGGAGAACCAGCCGAATTCGTCGGCCATCATCGCCAGCGACAGATCGGCGGCGAAGATCTGGCCGTCGCCAGCGGAGGAAGGGGAGGAAGAAGTTGCAGGTGGAGGGCTCACGATGGCCTCTGATTCTTGCTTCCCCAGCGCTGGTTTCGACGGCGAACCGGCTGCGGCGGAGGGCTGCCGCCGGTGAATGCCCTCCTTCTGCTGCTGCTGTTGGTGGTTCTTGGGGAGCGGCCAAGGATGGTTGTGCTCGCAGGCGTAGGTTATGACGAGCAAGGAGGGGTCAGCTCTGCTACGCTCCACCTGCTTCCGAGCTGGGCAGCCTTTGGAGCTGCTGCACCGGTAATAACCCCTGCCAGAGAATAGGAGAGAGATGAAGATGAAGGTGAATTCTCTCAGCAGGAGCAGCGGAAATGGCGGGGAGGTTGTTTAATTATTACCTTGGGTAGGGGGAGCCCTTGATGGGTTTCTGGCCGTACTTGCGCCAGGCCCAGGAGTCCGACGGCGGAGCTCCGCCGCCGTCGCTTACTCCTCCCTTGGAACGGGATCCCTCCGCCTCCGCGATGGGGATGGAGACCACCCGCTTCTGCACCGACCGCCGGCTACTGCAAGGGCGATTGCCGCGGTTAGGGACCTCAAACTCTGGTACGGGAGAGTGAGAGGAAGAAGGAGACCGTGTTCCAGGTAGCGAACCTTCTCTTCTGAGGCGAGGAGGAGGAGGAGGCGCCAACGGTGATCTGCGCCGCCGTCGTCGGACTGAGCTTGTATTCCGTCGCCAGATCAGTGTGGAGAACGGCGGGGACCGCCGAAGCGCCACCGCCGTTCTCCGGCGCGGCGTAGGCTGGTTCCTCTTGCTCCCCAGAGAAACGCCCCCCACTGCAGCCGCCGCCGCCGCCGCCGCCGCTGTAGCCGCTACCGCTGCTGTTGCTGTCATCGTCCTTGGCGCTGAAGGAGTCCATGAGGACCCAGATCGAGATCAGGAGAAGAGACAGACAGCGGGCGCGGGTGGAGTTGGTGGAGGAGGGAAGGGGGGGGGAGAGAGAGAGAGCCGCCGGCGGGGTTATAAGAAACGGAAGGGACGAGTGTAATGGCGACAGATAGATGGGCATTTCTAATACTCCAATTATTTATTATTTACCCATTTATTTATTATGGGGGAAGCGAAGACGAGAACCCACCCTCTCACACGAAACCTTCAACAACAGCCTAGCTATATATGATGTGCAGATATGTACATAGATTAGTGCAGCAAAGTTGCAAGGTTCCTTCACATCAGCACATGGGCGGCGACGACGGCGAGAACTTAGAACAGGCGTGGGAACGCCGATCCATATCGACGCAATGTGAAGGTTTCATGATAAAAATTGGATGGTTGCATGAATTATATATTTAAGTGGTTACTTGTGACCTTTTATCTTGAATCACACACACGAGTTAATTTTTGAGAGTTAAATGCGAGTTATTCATTTACATTTTAATTTTCCAATACTGGGGGACGGTCATAGCAGGCATTTAGTGTTAAGCTTGGATCTGCCACATGGGTAATTAAAAATAAATAAATTTGAACGTTTATTGCCCAGGTTAGCATTTACATGATCTTCAGCTAACAAAAATCATATATGAATCATTTATCTTCACTATGTTGAAATTTCGAGATGCGGTAGCGGAAAAATCGCAGACAATATCGGTGCAATTCATGAGAGATTGTGGTATTTCTCATCATTATTGTAATTTTGTAATAATGAGCGAGGTGGCTTAGAGAGAATCTCTCTTTCTGTGGTTGACTACAACATTTTAACATTTTATTTATTTGTTTAAAGAGGGACCTTGTACATTTCTTCGACTCACAATTATCACCTTGAGAAATGCTGATGTTTAATTTAGGAGTTATCCAAGCTTAAGAGGTAGTGACGATTTAATGATTTATGCATGCTTACACAACCCCCCCCCCCCCCCTCTCTCTCTCTCTCTCTCTCTCTCTACAGTACTCCCCCGCTTTCAGAACCTCGATTCGCATGTGTCAGGTTTCTTCAAACTCCCCCGCCCATTCTCAACACTTCACTCTACCCAGCTTCCCACATTCATGACAGTCATAATCGAATCCAGTTAGATCTTCAGATGAGTCAAGGCCGATCCCCATCGTAGTCCACGTCCTAATCTCTTGAACTTCCTCAGAACTTGAACAGATTGAGTCTCACTAGGCAGGGACCAAGCCCCTGGATTGGACTGGCTGATGCCAATTGAGTTGGATTTTAGCCAAATCTACTCCTCCCCATGGATCTCGGTGGGTCAACTCAGTCAATTTGAAGTCAGATTGACTCGAGCTCAGTAGAACGCTCTCCATCTCGCCGTCAACACTATGACAAACGGCTCAGATGATTTCACGATTGCTCTTAATTGAGACCCTCATGGCCTGCCAGCCACCGCTGCCACCACCATCACCGCCGCCGCCGCTGCTTGTCGGTGCTTGCTAAGCATCCTTCTACTTATCTCAGCAGCCACAATTCTGTAACACGCTAGATGGATTGAAGGAATATGCACTAGATTATGATAACTTACGTTTAAGTTTACGTGTGTATTCATAATGGATGAGGATGATAATATATAATATTTGTCTAAGGGTTAGATGGGCCTGATTATTTTTTTAATTTTTTTGAATTAAATTACTGTTGACTTTTCACCGATAAATTTCCCAAGGAATCACATCATGACCTAGTTGTCGTTTGGACGGACGTTTGTAGAGCCCACCCCCTTGTAAAGTACATTGATACCACGCTTGATGGATAATTACTTATGTATACCATCATGGAAGGTAACTTTTACGTAAATTCCTAAGTTTCCTCTTCTTCTGCTTCTTCTCTCCTCTCCTTCTCTCTCTCTCTATCTCTCCCTACACGTTCCTCCACGAAACTAGAGAGTCGCGGAGCTTCCGAGTCTTCTGGCAGTGCAACCGGCATCGGTGATGACCACGTCCCATGTTTCCCCTATCTTGTGTGGCTTCCGCTTCCCATGATGCTCCCTGACTAAGGGACAGAGAACGGGAGGGAGGAAGGAAGAGAGAGAGAGAGAGAGAGAGAGAGAGAGAGAGAGAGAGTCGGTGCCATGGCACATAGATTAACCACCTGGGAAGTCTGTCTACCTCATCAACCGCTGAGATAGTTGACTTTCCGAGAATTGGGTTCTTTAACCTGGTTCCTCTCGTCAAGGCGGCGGAGTTTGGGACGTGGCGGTCGTGGGTTCGCCGAAGTCGACGGGAAGGATCATAAGGAATCCATCCCTTGGCCTCGTCCAAGTGCGCCAGCTGAAATTAAAGAAGAAGATGACCCTCCCTTTCGTGGACGCTGTTCCCTGTTAAATGCCCACCCAGCCCTCTTCATCACACGTTGAAGAATCGGTCCTCCTCCACATTATGATTTCTTCAAACTGTGTTCCCTCTCTCTCTCTCTCTCTCTCTCTCTCTCTCTCTCTCTCTCTCTCTCTCTCTCCCCCTCTCCCTCTCCCTCTCTCTTCCTCCGTCTCTCTCTCTCTCCCTCTCCCTCTCTCTTCCTCCGTCTCTCTCTCTCTCCCCCTCTCCCTCTCTCTTAAATCCATGTAAGCTGGGATGGGTAGTCGTAAACATGAACATCCGCGATCGGAATGCGTCAGCATTCTTCACGCCGACGCAGTATTATGCGATCTCCGTCCCGTCTGTTCTTCTCCGTCCATTCAGACCTCAAGATAATAAGTAATGAAGGCGCATGCTCGAAATATCCGCCCCTTACACCGCGGAAACTACGTCAGATTATATCATTTGTTCTCCTATTTCCCCATTTTTCATTTTTCAAAGAGATTTTCGCCATGCTTGGGAATGAGAAGTACCAATCTTTTTAAGGAATTAGAGTAGGATAAAACGTTCGAGTGACATAGCTAGATAAAGTTCAAGCAATGTTTGGAGGTAGGGTCAGATTGATGGGAGGTGTTAGAGAACGTTGTTCCCGAGCCGTATATGCATCTAGATCAGCTTGGATCGAATCGGCCAAATCGAATGATCCATCCCTTTAGAATCATCAGAAATTTGACCGTATAAGCTCGATTTGGTCTAGAATTTGGGTCGTAAGGGTTGGACCAGCTAGTGAGCTCTGACCCAACTGAGAGCATTGCTAATCCGAATTGATGGTCAGACCAACATCGGTTTTGATCAGATCGGGCCGGCCGGATCAATCAGCCCTCTTCCCGTGGAAGGCTTGACTAGTTCGAAGTAATCCCGGTCCGTATCGATTATCCTACTAACCTTGATGAAAATCAGACCATATATAGATAAAATGGACGGATAAAGTGTCTTGTTTTTCCCTTCTTGCAATCCTTCCTCGGACTAACGTGAGGTGGACCTCCTACCCAATGGGCCTGGCCTGTCCCATTTGTCTGCTCTGATCCAGTGAGGGGGGAGATGGAGGAGATTGGTGGCAGTGTGATTCTCTTTTGGTGGGCCGTGGAGAAGCCCGTCGTAGCTTGGACCTTCGACGGCGGCGGCGGCGGCGGCCAACATCTTAAGTAGGAAGTGATAGTGAATGAAGGAGACTGATATGGGGAGAAGGGGATGCGGAATCAATGCAACCCACCGGCGGAGAACCTCTCTCGAATGCTTCCATCTCTGCCGTTGCTCCCTGCGCTGAGCCATCTCCTCCGTCTCCGGCGAGGCTACGATGAAAGACGAAATTGCACCGGCAAAACCCTAGAGCGAGACATGGCGGGGAAGCGAGATGGCGGTGGCGACGCACCTCTGACGAACAGGAATGAGCGCATTGGCATTGGTTGTGAGGGAGGCACTAGTGCCTGCCGGAGGAGAACCGCCCGTTGATTTCCTTCACCTACGTCGCCTCCTCTGGCCAAGACAGACTCACCTGGGGATTCTGGCGCCGCCCTTCCATATAGGTGAAGGCATTGTTGCACCGGGGAGACCTCGATAGATGTTGATGGTGGTGGAGAATGACAGGGCAATTCTCCTTTGGCAGGGCCATACAGGAGCGAGTTGGCTGCCCACACTGCAGCCTGCCAGAGGAGAACCGCCCTGCTATTCCCCTCACCTCCACCGCCGACGCCATCATCGCCGCCGCCCTTGCGCAACCTGCAAGACGCAGTTGCACCGGCGAAACCCTGGAGTGGCAACTGTGAAGGCGAATGAACTCCCCGTCATTCCCCTTCACCTCCGCAGCCACCTTCTCCGGCGATGACTGACCCGCCTGAGGATTCCGGCGTCGCCCTTCAAACCCTCGAAAAGGGATGCCGGTGGAAGAGAATGGCAGGGCAATTCTCCTTTGGCGGGGCATGCAGAAGCGCGCTCCGACCACGCTTCGCCGCCTGCCAGAGGAGAACCGCCCTGTCATTCCCCTCACCTCCGCCGCCTCCGCCGCCTACTCCCTGGTCTCGCCCGGGCCGGTTATGTACCCTCGAAAGCACAAGCTCCAGGCTTGGATATGCCGAAGGAGATGCTCGGCGATGGCACAATTCCTTGGAGCTTCTTCGTCCCCCCGGGGCCCCAGCGATGGTCCTCACTCCCCTTTCTTTCCCCATCCTCTCCCCACCCTCAAAAGCTAACCCTAGGGGGGGGCAAACGTCTGTACCCTTTGAAGCATATGAAATTGTATTCGTACTCAAAACTTTCATCTAATTTTCGACTTCGTGTGGAGTAATCTTCTTACATAAAGGGTATTTTTAATTATGGCACCAATTATACACAATTACACGAAATCCATATATTGATTACTTAATCTTATAAATAATGGGGATCTTTGTTCAAATATCATCTGTCCGTCTTCACCGGGCTTAAATCTTTTTTGTATAAAATCCTACCATTGTTCATATTTGTGCATTTGTCTTCTAATTCGCCGACAGGTTGCACCGAGGCCCGACAAGAGCAGCATCCTTCATGCTGATTGACGTGCAAAAGAGTAGATATAGGCATATATTTTGTAGAAAGAGGGGTATGTATGCAAAAACCGACGTCTACGTCACCGGACGCCTGGGCAGCCTCGAGCTTCTGCACGGTGGGAATCATCCCCTTTTTATCAATGACGGCATCTGCTCCTCTTCTCGGCTGCCGCATCCACACAGGGGAAGAGGGGAAGATTTCCGGGGAGAGCATATTCCGGGAATCTGCATGGATGATCGGCTCCTGCTCTCCAATGGAGGCCCGAAAGAGAAACCCTCCGGATATCGTAGCCTTGTCCCAGATAAATGAGATATTCTTGAAGGCGGACTGAGATTTTCATGAAGAATTCTCTTTCTACTCCTCCTCTTTCTTCTCCTTCTCCTTCTCATTCCACTCCTCCTCTTTCTCCTTCTTCTCCTTCTCCTTCTGTTGAAGAGAGAAGAGAGAAGAGAGAAGAGAGAAGAGAGAGAGAGAAAAAAGAATGAAATAATACGGCTCAACATTCAACAAAATAATCCATATGGATTTATACTTAAACTCTAAGGACAAAAATACCTTCTAACTAACCCCTAAATAGTCTTGGCCCAATTAACCTAGCCTATGTAATTGGCCCAATCCTAGTTACTTCAACATTCTCTTGCAAGTTAGAGCATAAAGGTCACAAATGCTTAACTTGGAGCAAATGTTGAATAGCCAATGATGAGGAAGAGCCTTTGTGAAGATATCTACCAATTGATCCTCTATAGAGATATGTGGAGTTAATAGCTCATCTTGAATGAAATCACAATAAATGCGACAATTTTCTTCTCTACCATGACGAATCAGTTGATTTAATGTAAGATTTAATATGTTTAACGTGCTCATGAAAGATTGAATTATTGGCAATAAAGGTGGTGCCATAATCTACAATACAATTAGAATCACATAATCACAAGTACCTAATTGGTCAATCACTGATGCAGCAGTAGATAAGGTTGAATGTTATTTTGCTTAATTATGGTGATGAAATGTATCATGCTCTCCTTTGAAAATTGTAACTTCTATTAACTCAACATAGTAGATATTTGATTAGGTTGTGGCGTTGGTTGTCAACTAATGTATCTATGCTTAGCCCAACATCGATCTATATTATGATTTGTTTTATGATAATGCTCACAAAATAATTTATCTCATCTGCGACTGCAACTAGCATTAGTGAATTGTCTTCCTCTCCCTTTATTCAGAAATCCTCCTTTACCTTGACGTCTTGTTGCCATTATAATAGAAGACTTTGATTGTGAGATAGAACTAGAAGGCTAAAGTCATGCAAGGTGTGCATATATCTGTGTTCGAGTTGAGATCTCCTATAAGGTCATAATCTGATCTTTCATTACTTTATGCTCTAGGTTTAGAGCAGACAAAACCTACATTGATCAGATGCCATCCCTTTACTTAGTCATCTCAATGATATCAGATGTGATAGGTTGATTAATGTCATGTTTATTCCATAACCCTCTAAGGATTCCATAGCAATCAATTAAATCTATATAAACTTTTTTAAAAGTTTGAATGCCTTTCAATACCTTGTAAAGACAATAAATATTTTTCTTATTGGAGTATAGCTCATGTATTGTCTCCCATATCTTGTTTGGCAAAATATTGTCGCATACTTTTCAATAAGCATGTAGGCACCCAATCATCATCAGCTTTCCAATCTTCATTCTTAACTTGACGAAGTATATACCTTTTCTTGTGAGCACCAATAAACCTTTCAAAAAAGGTTTTCCACAAGTGAAAATTAGTGCCATATAATTTAATAGATTTACCCTACATAACATGAGAAGAAGAAGAGTTAGAGCTAGATGTATTTTACACAATGTCTCTAGAATCTTATTTATTCTCCATTTTCTTGAAAGATTTACCTCTAGATTAGAATTAGAAGTTTTGACGATGTGAGAGAGATTTGGCTTCAACACCCTTTTTGTAAATATAATTGATAAATATTGAAACAATGCTTTAATACTTTGACTATGAAATGACTTCAATTTCACTAGGTTGACTAGAGTTTAAATCCTACAACCGACAATGGATTGCCAATTTTGAAGATATATCGACAATGTAGAATGCTCTAGAAAATTGATCCATGACCAGAAACCAACCCTAAACATGTAGGATGGATACGACTTGATCTAGTTCATAAGAGAGATGACAACAAGCCTAATCAAAAGCTTGATCCATAAATGATGAGCCCTAATCTCAAGAGAACTTGCTCTGATACCATGTTGAAGAGAGAAGAGAGAAGAGAGAAGAGGAGAGTAGAGGAGAGTAGAAAAGAGAGAGAAAAAAGAGAATGGAGTTAAACAGCTTAGTGTTCAACAACATAATCTATAGGATTTATACTTAAAACCCTAAGGACAAAAATACCCTCTACCAAATTCCTAAATATGCTAGGCCCAATTAACCTAACATATGTAATTGGGCCAAGCCCAATTACGCCAACACCTTCTCTTTCTTCTACTTCTCCTTCCTCTCCGTCTTGTTCTTGATCTTGTTCTTCTCCTTCTTCAGTGAAAAAGATGGGACTCGCGCTCTTTCATGAGGGAGATGTGATGAGATTCAGCATGATGGCCCGGATCATCGTCGTCATCATCTCCTCCTCCTCTTCCTCTTCCTCTCTGTTCCTTCCGTCATAAATCTCATGCTTTCCTTCCCTCATCGAGGAGACGACGAGGTCCAGCTTGATGACCACCCGGGTCATCACCGTCATCAGCATCTTAATCTTCTTCTGTGAGAAATCTCAGACTTGCCCTCTGGGCTCGGGCGTTTACTGTAAAGATAACCCCCCAAGTTTGCCGGGGGGTCCTCTCCTCTTCCTCCTCCATTACATTACGTAGATCTTTTCTCACGGACACTTTCCGGCAATTCGCCACCAATCTCTCTCTCTCTCTCTCTCTCTTCTTACAGGAGAGCCATTTTCTCGCTCGTCATAAAATAGTCTCGCTTCCTCATAAAATCTTAAATCATGGATAAGGCTCTCCTCTTTTTCAGGACTCACAAATTACGCAACTCCCATGACCATCCAACTACTTTATTTTCTTCCTTTCTTATATTTTGGAGAGAGAGAGAGAGAGAGAGAGAGAGAGAGAGAGAGAGAAGGTTTTACATAGATTACAGCAGGTTAAGAATAGGAGGCAGGGCAACCGCCTAATATAGAGGCCCTGCACCGTTAAATCAAATGAGCATGGTATACACGATATCTTCTTCACTTCTCGCTGTTGGGGACTGCTTCCGGCAGCTTGTAGGTGGGAGGCCTGTCCGCACCCCTTCTCGAGTACTCCCTCCACCTCCGAGCTGCCGCTGCCGCTTTTTTCGCCCTCTCTTTTATTTCTTCATCTGTCAACGAGTAAGACAACCCATCTGACTCTGAGAGTGTGTGTGTGTGTGTGTGTGAGATAGAGAGAGAGAGAGAGAGAGAGAGAGAGAGAGAGAGAGAGAGAGAGAGAGAGAGAGAGAGAGAGAGAGAGAGAGAGAGAGAGAGAGAGAGTAGGCTTCTATAATCAACGAGCAAGATTATCCATTGGCCCTTGATGTAACAGTAAATCATTGAGCCAGACGAATTTTGTTGCATAGAGAACAAAAACGAATAATAATAATAAAATACAAAATTTTCAAGAAAATAAATCAAAAACAGGATTTATATGATAGTATTACTTAAATTCCAATCTTCATGGGCAATACCTGTGTTCTGGTATTCCTTTCGACTCCCCCACACGTTGTTCCAGTACGAGTCCTTCTTATCAGACCCATTTTTCTTTGACATCTTTGCCCTTACTTTTTCCTGCACGAAGGTGATCCCTCGTAATCATGCAAATATTAATCTGAATCAAGCGAACAACAAGGGAATATCATCGTCAATCTATTTATTTTTGTTTCGACATCTATAAATATATCTGAGAACAAAGGTCATCCCCCATTTCTAAGCTCGGAAACTGAAGTAGAACCGAGTAGGTACCCATGGCGGGTGGTGACCAAAAGGATCAATTAATCAGCTTTAGGCACGGGTAAGAGATGCAGCTGGCGACCTTATGGGACAATTGAATGAGATTATTCTATTTTGGAAAATAATGTCAGACTGCATCTTATCTACTTGATATTTGAACTTTCCTTAAATCGAAAAACGAAAAAAAACGATGCAAAAATAGAATATTATTATGATAAAATGAGGGGAGAACATACGGTCATATGTTTCCTAATACCAATAATTGAGTTCATGTGGAAGATACCAACTTTAGAAAGCTAGATTGATTGATTCGTTATATTTTTTTTTTTTCCAGACATGAATCACGTCGGATCAAAACCCACGTGGGAATTATTCAACACGGATCAAGGTATTAACGTGGGAAAGATAAGTCTGATTGGTTCTCGAAAGGGCTGAAATGCTCAGTAATGACTCGCCTCTGCTTCCTGGTGTCTTTTTAAGTGCAAAATTCAAGAGGCAGGAAAGTTTCAGCTTCAGTGAAGATGACGAGAAATTTACAGTATTTACATGACTTGTCCTACAGAATCTCCCAAAAGGATGAAGAACTTGCTCATGCACATATTCAAAACTAGGAACACTGAAATTTGATTGTTCAATGAAGAGGAGATCGTCCGTACCAGCATTTTTGTTTGACGTTTCTCCCATCGGATGCTCGCCTAGCGTCAGTAAATTAATGTGAAAAATGTGCCGATGAAAATAAATATTCCAAGTTAATGAAAGAAAGATACAAGAAAATAATGTACTCCATAAAAAAAAGGAACCACAAAAATCAGGCTGAGTATGCGATCTTGTTGCCCAAGAAATATTGCATAAGTCATCAACATTTACTAGAGATATTGAAGGAAAAATAAATTATCATTCAAAAAACAAATCTGTATCACTCAGGGTTCATGAAAATTAAAGGATCATTTTGAGAAATTATTGAACTGGCATAGGGGACAACATTGAAATTACTGAAATTATGAGTGACCGAAACATGCACGTATATTTTTTAATACATTTCTTCATTTTTGTAGTCAGAATCCACTAGAAACAACACTAATTATGACAAATCATTACATAGAATTTACGCTTTTCTAATTTTCTTAATCAGATTCTGATACAACGTATTTTTAACCTTTTAATAAAATACAAGTTCTTGTATTTTGAGTTTACCAAATTTTTCCAGTTCATGGGGTCGAACTTTATCATCAGCATTATGTTAGAATCGGATTTCAAAACGCATTTTTATTGCATGGCTTGGTTTTCAGTTTCATTAGACTACTTCAATCCTTTTTACTGCAGACAGCGTCCTAATTGAAATCTAGACAGTCTACCACATGAATGTGACGAAAACAGAGTGAATGAGTTTGAGAGAGCGAAGGTTCCTTACCATTCTAAAGACATCATATGACGCTCCCATACCCGCAAGCATCAGACCAACCTGTTAGAATGCAAATGGATTTTCATTGTGGAGGATGCTACATGTACGAAAAAAGTAAACTCTTTCTAAAATGTGATCACATAAAGAACCTCTCCAACTAGACAATAATGAGCACACCTCCTACCATTGTATGAAGAATTATTAAAACAAGATTTATGTCCAACGTCCACCAGGTAATTTTTCCATTGGAGGTGATACTCTCTTTCTTTATTCCTCTAGAAAAGAAAAAAAACTACCTCTAGCACCATGTTCGTCGTGTCATGGTGTCTGGAAAAAGAGAACCCAGGTAATAAAGAAACCAAAGTTGCATGCACGACGATTGATTATGAAGAGCACATAGAATTACAATGAAGGTATTCGTTAACCACAGAACGAACCAAAATATTGTATTTAGTTTATTAAAACAGATGTGTGAAAGATGATTATCGGAGCCAAAGTGGCATACGTGGCATTAAAGAATACAGCCATGATATCTGAGACAAAGTGATATTTGATACATGGTTATGAAGATTATGTACAGTTGCAATTGAGCCATCTGATAAACATAGAACGGTAGGTTTTATTTCTTAATTTAAGGACACAGTAAATTTTAGCAGAACTACTGTCAAACAATCTACCTGGGATTTAAATTTTAATTCCCCTTAAAGGGCCGGCAATCCGGGGAAGGAGGCAAACTCATGATACAAAAGGTCAGTGAGTATTGTCTCTCATTAGTGGGAGTGGGATGCATTTTTATCGAATTTAACAGTCTAATTTGGAACTTAAAGCGTATTTATAGCGTTCTAACTATATAAAGTCTGAGGATCAAGGAGGTATGCTAAAAAAAATGATGTCATTTTTCACCATCAAACGAAGATGTGAAGTCATAATAATTCATAGTCCTCTCTCTCTCTCTCTCTCTCCCTTTCTCTCTCCAGAATGAAGCTTTCCTACTCTCCAGGCCCCAGGTGGCAGGCCGTCTTATGGATATGCTTCTTGTTGGTTCATTTTCTTGATCGGATTATTTTCTTCCAACCTACTTTGCAATGGTATCAATTCCGTTGTGCAAAGAAAAAAAGACCAATTCATTCGGCTAAAGAAAAAAGGCCGTCATTTGGATTTTGGAAATTTTCTGAAACATTAACTTATGATGGTAAGAACAAGCAAAGATTCAAAGATACTAGGGATGTTTTGAGAATGTAAGACACTGTTCACTTGTGTACGTATTAAAGCATTCAAGAGAAATGCTAATCTAATGCTGAAAAGATGCCACGAATCCTCTCAGTTTTATCGCTCCAGAAAAACATTCAGTAAATTTTAAGCACAATCCAGAGTTTATGCAAACAGGCATGAAGATCTAGTATTGGACAAATAAATTAAAGAACACTTTACGTAAAGGACAGAACGTGTGGTCAAGTAAAATATCCTACATTTACTCTTTCCACTCTGCGCATTTCGTCTTCAAGGAGAGAGAGTTGTGCAGCAGATGTCCAGTGAATGCAGTCAACTGGACTGAAATTTGAAAAGAGAGAATTAGCCAGACAATGAGTGAATCTGACAAATATTTTCAAGCAGAGGAAAAAATACCAATGAAAAGCCATTTTCCAAAATACTTCGAAAGTTTTTCTACCTTAAAGTTAGAAAATATTTAGATATTCCGAATTACTTAGCGTACACTCACCAGCTCTCAATAGCTTGTTGGACTAGATTGACATTTCCATTCTGACAGAAAACTCTCGCTCTCCCAAAGTCCTCTTCAATCTTGAATACGTCTGGGGCAAGATTTGCACAATTCTTGCAACCTGTTATATCAATACACTCTTGAATATGTCCTGATGGAATCTTAAATGCTAACATTCCTTCCAAATGCCATTTGCAAACAAAAATTTCATGCTGTCTCAACTTCTCTTATCAATAAATTAAATGAATGTTTCCTGCCAAATGGGCGTTAATCTTAAGAAAGGAAACAAGACTAAGTGCCCGAATAAAAGTATATGGTATCACCGAAACTGCCAATGTATCGTCTCTCTTATTAAACGTGGAATAATGTGGCTAAGTGAAATCTTCGAGTACAAAATTCTTATGAGAACAGAATCTACTTGTCAAGGAAAGGCTACAAAGCAGAAAGAAATGAGAGACCCACGTGACGAGTACGCACAGAAGAATTGAGGTGGGGAAGGGTCAGATATGCACCTATGCAGCTAAACTCGTCGACAAATGCGTGATCCTTGGTAGTAGTCTCACTCATGAAAGGGTTGGTGGCTGTTGCTGAGTAACCATGGATATCATCATAGACCATTCGCTGTACAGGATCACTCAACACCTGCTTTCCCCTGTCCACAGTTAGCTCACGTGGGAGAGGAGAGCAAAAATGTGGGGTTCCGAGAGAAGGTTCTTTTACATTAGTTGCATCCCAAGAAACTCTAGACTCACCGCATAGACCTCGTTGATGAACATGCAAAAGTTATTGGTCTCTGGGTCGTTGCCGCTCAAGTCCGGGTGGCAAGACTTCATGCAATTATAATAGGCCTTCTTTATCTGTGTCGGCGTCGCATCCGGGAGCTGGTAGGATGATAGATGTGGATTGTTAGATGCATAACTAAGCTCCGAAACTCGTTCGCCGTGCGGTTAGACATGGAGAAAAAATAACCGAGAAGAGATGTATCTACGTATGCGTTTAATCACGGGCGAGGAATGTGAATTTGGAACAACCTTTACCGACAAAAAAAAAACGACGGTCAAGAAGCGATGAGCAGAAGAGTCATACAGAAAAACGGCGACGGCACCGGAGGAAGAACACACAATCCAAACACTCATCATCAAGGATACTCACCAGCCCCAGCACGGAGTAGTAGTCGTCTCCCAGATCATCTCTGGAGAGAGAGTCCCGCGAGGAGGCGCTTACACCGAAACTCCTCCGGCGCGGCTGCGTCCGAGATCCCCAACGCCTGGTCGTGGACTCAGGCCTGTGATAGCTATTCCTTCGGCAGAAGGAGAAGAACAACGCCGACGAAGAAGAAGAATGGCCCTGGAACTTGAACGGGGTCTCCGCGCAGACGGAGGACAGCAGCTGAGCCATCGATCCGATCTAGAAGACGAATCACGATCAGAAGAATGAACAGGAAGTCTAATCGGGAGATCGGAGACTACGATCCCCCGCCACCGTCGGCGAAGATCGCCCGTCTCCTCCTCCGTCGTAGCCACACAGCGGCAAGAAATCTCCGCGGCGGAGGTTCTGTTCTCTCTGGGCGATATTTCCCGGCGGGAAGAAGAATCCCCCTAGTGAGATCACCGCAAGAGAGGATAAGCAATCTTCAACCCTCACCAAGTGCCACTAGCGGGGACGGGGGGAGGCATAGAAGTAAACCCGGCGGAGCAGAGCGAGAAGAGCCGAAGGGCGGTGTAACGATCGCGTGGTGTGTGTTGACGAGGCCCATCGCTGCCGTGGGGTCCACGTGGACGTTTTTTGGATCGTTTAAACTTGCAATTTATCCTGCGGATGATGACGTGGCATTCCCATGGCCGCGGGTTTCCCTCCACGCTGGGAACGTCGCTCCGCTCGTGGGGCCACGTGGAGAGGAGACTCCAAGGGCGGGGCAGGCTCACGACGGGGGTTTCGTGATCTTTGGCACGCCGGAAAACCATTCTTTTTGGACGGTCCCAGGAGGGGGAATCGCGAATCCGGAATTCCATCCGTTTCCCACAGAGCGACGAATCGAGATTTTTTTCCCCCTCGGTCTGCGGATTTTCTTCAGTTTGGTAAGCATATAATCCCCTCATCCATCCAAATAATTATCCCTATTATTTATTTATATTTTTCGAAACCTATTATATCAAAAAAATCAGAAACTGGAATACGTCACGTATTTGTCCCTCTAGATTGAAATATTTTATTACTTTTACAGGTGGAATATTTATACTCTTTAAAATTTTATTTATGGGATTTATTTTTAAAATATAAATATCTAATATTATTCTGCACGAAAGATATTCTGCCAGTTCAGCTTTGCTTCGAGGCCCAATTCGGTAATAAATGGGCCATGTCAGAACGGGCCAAATGGGCCTTCCGGCTTCTGATAAAATTAGCCGTTAAGCCGTCGGTGACCTAAACCCTAGGGTGGCTCTATACAGAGCCAGTCCTGATTCAGAATAGCCGCCGTCTCTCCCTTCTTCTGAAGGGAGCTCGCTTTCTCCGTCCCCTCGCCTTCTTCGGGCAGCGACGGCCGGCATCTCTGTCCTCACGGGTTTCTTCTTCCCTCTCCAGGCCCCTTCTTTTGTGCTTTTTCTTGGGATTTGGGGAGGAACTTCTCCAACGCGACGAGGGAGAGGGAAGCGTAGAAGGTCGTCCCCGACATCCTCGTTGTTGGTGGAGGTCGAGACAGGCTCGCCATAGAACTTTCCCACTCGAACCCCCTCTGGTTTTGCTTTTTCTCGACCATCTGTCGTTTTTCCATACGTTCTTCTAGATTCAGCCCGGTGATTCATCAGTTGCATTTTAAGAGTTTATTTGCCTTTTGAGAGAACCGGGACGCTGCCGTGTGCCGTGCTACTCGGTTCCGTTGCGGGCATAAAGTCAAAATCTCCCAGGTGGTCATCTTCTGTGATCCGAAGCAACCCTTGTTTCAGATCTCTTGCACCAGGAGCACATTGGGTATCCTATACAATCGGTAAGAATCGTGTACATTTTTATTTTGGAGGTAAAGTTCAGCCGCTGATTGAACAAACATACTGTTCTTGGGTCCGTCCCTGATTCCCATGTTGATGTATGTCTTCTCCTCCCTTCACCTCCAGTACACAATTTCTCCAATAATCCTGGCGGCTAGATCTTTGCATCGAAAGCAGATGGTTTCCCCAAGAACGCTGATGCTCTGTCATCGTTTTTCTCTTTCTGTAGTGATTTCCCTGCTATTAATATCAGAGGGTCCGGCATGTTCGAGCTCACCTCAGCTGTCGGCGCTCAGAGTCGACCCGGGTCGAGATGAGTCCATTTCCTCAGCCCATTTGAGCTGGTGTTAGATTAATTTCATGGATAACCCTGTTTCCGTTCCTTTCGATCTGGTGATTTCAATAAGTTTTTGGATTGAGTAGATATTTATGTTTATATCTAGTGTGATGTGCTGGGTGATTATCGGAGTCTCTTTCAGCGTTCACTTGCCTTTTGAGAGAACCGGGATGCTGCCCTGTGCTGTGCTACTCGGTTCCGTTGCGGGCAGAGATTGAATTTCTCTTGGGGGTGCTCCATATCTGTGAGCCCAGGCAGTTCTTGTCCCGGCTCTGCTTCACCCAGAGAACATGAAGTCAAATCATTCCTCACCAGAATCTCTGGATTGAGTAGTTGAGCTAATCGCCAAGAAATTGCTCCCCAGATGTCGACCGTTTTGCAGCCAGGGAAGCTCTATTTTCTTGTTAATACGGATTATTACTTCTTTTCTATGCCATAATTATGATGGGCTTTCATTAGATTTCCTTGTTAGGAAGTCAAGCTGTTTTTTTTTTCTTCTAATTCTCTTTTGCCCGCCATTTACCCATATCGCCGTCGCCTGTTTCTACCACGGCCGTTGATTTCCACGGTCAGTCAACCATGTGCCCATTTCGGGATTCTTTTTAAACCTAGAGGTCAACGATGGCTGCGGTCGTGTGGAGGTGGGGGATCAAGCAAGTCAACAGGCGTAGCGTGGATATTTTGCCTGGGTCCCTCGGAAGTCGCTCCAGTTAGCAAATGGGGCGTTTATTTTTTATTTTATATTCTTGTCCTGGAAGACCTACTTTCGTCGTTTCAGGGAGGACTTGATGAGGATAACGATCCACAGCAAAATAGAACATACGGGTTGTTTTAAAGATTGGAAAATTAATCTTAAAACCCTATTAAAATTTCCAACTTGTAGAAAAGGTTCTACGAAAGCCCAGACTTCGCAAAGGCTCTCTTCTTCCTTTGGGGTCAGTTGGTTTCCCCTTTTTAACAAATTAACAAAAGGATGGAGCGGTTTCTCGAGGACATATTGCTAATTTAAGATTTATTTGTTAAATCTCTCGCACCGGCAGGGGCAGATATAAGATTGTTCATTGCTTCCACCTTTTCATAAACTAACAAAAATGAGGGTGGACTTTCTCGAGAAATCGCCAAATATGCATCTCCTCCCTTTCCCATCGTCATGAAGGAAGATCGTCTCCGTCGTCTTCTTCGCCGTCTTCGTGGGAAGAGCGACGATGTGCTCTCTGGAGAAGCGGGGTCGGGTCTACGTCCTCACCCTCACCGGCGATGGCGAGCACCGCCTCAACCTCGCCCTCATCGACGGCCTGCGGGCCGCCCTCTCCCGGGTCCGAACGGAGATCGCCGCCGAGCCCCGCGGCGGGTTCGCCCTGGTCACGACGGCGGAGGGCAAGTTCTTCTCCAACGGGTTCGACCTGGCTTGGTCCCTCGCCGCCGGCTCCCCCGCCGGATCTCGCAAGCGGCTGGAGCAGTTGGTCTCCATGTTCTCACCCGTTGTAGCGGACCTAATGGCCATGCCGCTGCCGACCATCGCCGCCGTGAACGGCCACGCCGCCGCCGCCGGGTTCATGCTGGCGCTCAGCCACGACTACATCTTCATGAGGAAGGACCGGGGGGTCCTCTACATGAGCGAGCTCGAACTGGGGCTGTCCTTCCCCGGCTATTTTCTCTCTCTGATGCGGGCCAAGTTTGCAGATCCTTCAACTCTGCGGGATGTTGTTCTGCGGGCTTCGAAGTTCCGGGCAGCGGAGGCGGTGGAGAGGAAGATCATCGACGCCGCAGTGGAGACCCCGGAGGCGACCCTCGAGGCGGCCATTCGGATGGGGGAGCAGCTCGCGGGAAGGAAATGGGAAGGGATGGTGTACGCCTCCATACGGATCGGAGCCTTTCCAGAACTCTGCCGGGCCGTGGGTTTGGTGGTGGAGGACGAAGAGATGATTAAGATGTTCAACGCGAAGCTCTAGAGAAGGTACATAACTCCGATCTCTCATCCTCTCTGTCTTCTTCAAGCTTTTGGGTCTCGGAGAATCCATACAGACCAGACTGCAACTTCGTGGTGGGGAAGAGGAATCAGAGGTGATGATTCCATAATGTTCCTGTATTGGTATCATGATCTAATAACTCCGTGTTTGTGGGAGACTCTGCATCAGAACCCTGTCTAAGGCACCAATCAAATCGGGATGAACATTCACTGATCCCTTTCCCGATCTGATCCCGGTTCCCATGAAGATATGTGCACAGGTCTTCATGTCTAAAAAATGCACCCCAGCCCAAGAACATCGCTGAAAATCTCTTGGAACGCTGCAGGCGTGGAGCGGCTGGTAGTTGTTCTCATTGTTCTTGGGGTCGGGGCCAGTAGTTGTTTAGCTTACCGAGAGACCCCGTTGACTTCCAATTTAGGAAACTCTGAACCCTCTTGTTGTGACCGTTTGCGGCGTGTTAGATGAATATAAGGAGATGGGTTCTTTTCCAAAGTTTTATTTTTTATTTTTTTATTTCAATGGAGATGCGACCAGTCTAGGAATGGTGGGAAAGGTAGAAACTAAGCTTATCTGAAGAAAATGGGTACTTCGGTGATCTTCTTGGCTGTCGTCGGATACCCAGCTCTGGTCAACAATTAGGCTCGGGAATTGAAGGGTTTTGGGTTGTTAGTCCTAGGCCTTATTGCTTGTTGACCCCCCAAGTCAGTAACCAGAGCTAGCATCGGGGTGAAGAATTGATTCTTCCCATTTGACTCTCGTCCGGGATTCTAACTGTCTGACTCTCGCAGTTGTGAAGAAATTGATGAATTATTCCACGGAAATTAATTCCTGATTGATCTCCACCACCTTTCTGATGCTGTGGAGACGATCAGAACAGAGCTGATGCCGAGATCCTCCTCTTCTCTTCTGGCTTCACAGAACTGTCCTACAGGAAGCCTGAGAACCCCCAAGAGTTGAAGAAACCCCTCTAGAGGCCCACCACTATGAGCGAACAGCCGCCTCCGCTGCCGCCACAGATCACCGCTTACTCACATGTACAGTCGCCGTCGACCGCCTGTGCCGGCGGCGGGATGTAATAGCCGACCTGACCCTTTCTTCTGGCCGGGCAGGAAGAGAGAAGAGCAGTGGCGCCGCCCGCCCCCCCCCAAGCTCGGTTTTGTTGTCCTTGACGAGCGAGCTCAAAGAAGAAATCGGCATTAGCGGCAGTGGCGGCTGGCTCATGTGGCGGCCGGATGGAAGGGGCCGAGCCCCCCCTGGCGCCTTGCATGCTCCGGGACCAGCTTGTTGACCAAATCGGGTGAGGCCCCCGCCAGCTATTTAGAAAGGGAAGGTCAGACCCAATAGGAAATGGCTGTCTGAGGTCAGCCCAAGGCCAGTTGCCGTAGTTAAGAAGGCTCGAGAGATCAAGATACCTCCTGTTTGAAGTTGAATAGCGGGGGCAGAGCACGGCCGTTGGGCAGACGGGCGGTGGGCTCCCTCAGCTCGTCGAAGAACGGGTGGGCGCATGCCTCTAGCTGCCATGCCAACAATGTGTGGAGATCTCTTCAGTACATCGGATGGGACAATGCGACGAGTAAATAGTAAGTAGCAGGAACCCGAGAGTGCGGAGGATCGAGGAGAGGAGAAACTGACCGCGGTGCAACGAAGGCTCGGCGAGTATTGAAGGAGTCGCGACGTGAGATCTATCGCCTCTGGAGGCATTCTCTTGTGGAAAACCTGGGGGAGGCCTACCATGAGAGAGAGAGGGGGAGAGAGAGAGAGAGAGAGAGAGAGAGAGGGAGAATGGGCACCTTATGCCACGGATGGGCCTTAATCTGGGGGAACCTGAAGTCCGTGTAGTTGGGATTCATGCATCGTATCTCTTCTCTTGTTGGGGTACCGACGACCTGGGATGGTCGTAAATGTTAATAACTCAGGAGGATCTACCGCATTCCCCATCTCCACATGGTCCGAGTGAGCAATCAATACCTTGATTATCTCAACCAGCTGGTCAACGGCACTCTCCCCAGGAAACAGTGGCTGCCACAGAAAGGTCAACATTCCAAAAAAGGCAAAATCATCAGCATCAGCATCAGCATCAGCATCAGAAGAATGGCTGCCAGGCTTTATATCTCTGGTGTTCATCGAAGCCTGACCTGTCCAAGAAGTAATTCCGCCAGGACACACCCAGCTGACCATATGTCGATAGACGTTGTGTACTCCGCTGCCCCAAATATGAGCTCTGGGGCCCGGTAATAGCGAGAGCATATGTACGATATGTTTGCCTCGCCCTTCACCTGGTTAAATATAGCCGGAGAGATTGAGTCAGCCGTGGTTGAGTTAGCAGAATGACGCCGAAACCATATCTTTGAAAGATTTAAGTACACAACTCTGTGGTTGGTTTTATGCGGGCTTCTATTGAATTATTCTTGGCTACATATACATACAGACACAATTTAGTAGCATAATGAAGAGGTCATAACATACATACATACATATATACATGAATTAGTAGCATAATGAGGCTGTAATATATCAGATTCCTTTATATGGTATGAGAAACTCAAATTCAATCAATTTATCCAGATAAAAGATGAACTTGGGTTGAATTCCACCCTTCACTAGAAAATGAAAAAGACTGTAACGTGCCTCAGTGAAGAGGCCACTCCCTCTCCCTACCCTCTCTCATTTCCTCTCATGAAAACATAAAATTCGTCTCCTTTCTTTGTTCACATAGGCTTAAAGAAGGGTAACTGAAACAAACAGGAAGAATGATCAAGCCTGCGGGAGAAAGACGGCAGACTCACTCTATCCATCGCTCAGGTTATCTAAGCAAGTTTCACCACATATAGTAGATTGCTCATAAGGAACTTTCAACTATTTGAAAGCAATTAATGAGGCGGAAATAGCGAAAATGGCCCTTACAAGAGACCAGAACAGCCTTCATCAGCTAGACATGAAGGTGCTGTTCCATTAATGTTGGGAAATTTCTGCAAGAGATCTTACACACATGAACAACAACACAGCTGGAGTGCATGGGAATATTTGGACATGCAAGCATCAAAAAGGGCTGAAAGCAAAACTTAAATGGGCATATTCAAACAAATTGAAGAATTTCTAATTTTAAGCATCAAAATGGATGAATTTTGCGAATTTATAAATAAAATGGCTAAATATTATATTCATTTGTAATATGTGGATTTTCCTTGTTTTAAATTTTCTGTTTCAAAACCTTTAGTTATTCACTTATTGTACCGGCAATGGGTGAAAGACAGCCTAAAAAATCCACGGTGCTCTCTCTCTCCCACAACTTCTGACTATGATCATCAACCATTCCCAAGCAACTGACATGTTACGCATAAGGAAGACTAGTATATAAGCACATACCAACACTTTGGCACTTCCGAAATCACAAAGTTTCACCTGGTGAGTGAGAGGATCAACCTGCATATTCAAAATTTCAAAGTAAAAAATAGTTCATAGAAAACAATGAAAAAAAAATCAGCGTCGTTTGGGTAAAGCCATGTCTAATGCAGAAAACAATTTCGAAAGAAATACCAGAAGATTCTGTGGCTTGACATCACGATGACAGACACCTTGAACATTGTGGATATAAGCCAGTCCCCTAAAAACCTGGATACTCAATTAAGGATGTCAGGTTGGGCCTATGTGCTGAGAATCCACAACGAGTTTAAAAGAAACATTATACCACTATTGCAGTGTGCCAAAAGAAACATTATACCTGGTATATATAAAGTTTGACATATATAAGTGGCATTCTCTGGCTCACATTACTGTAATGCTTCAAGACACGATACACAGTTTCTGGAACATATTCCATTACTAAATTGAGAAAGAGGTCATCTCTACTTGTGGTGGAGAAGAAGCAGTGCTTTAAAGATATAACATTTGGATGATCCATTGAACGCATCAATTGGAGCTCACGGTTCTTGTATCTCTTGTCTTGTAAGACTTTTTTAATAGCAACAGTTTCCCCAGTTTCCAAGCACTTGGCCTGTAACAAAATAATAATTACAAAAGCCAAGATGAAATTCAGCTATTAAGCAGAAGGGATCAGATCACTAAGGATGACCTGGAAGACGATACCAAAAGACCCAGTTCCCACAACCCGCTCTGCCATGTAACTGATGGTCTGCAGGAAAACAAAATGCGACTTTGTGATTAAAAGCAAGCAAGCAAAATAGTGGGGACTTATCACAAAAGAAATCGTTTTCCCCAATAAACAAAGAAAAGCATCAATGAAAGAGTAGATCAGGTTATTATCAGGCAGAATATCAAATCAAGGAAAAAATGATCGTTGGAACAGAAGCTGAGCAAAAGCTTCACGGGAAAATATCGCCAGTTAATTTGGTTCAAGGGATACCTGCTTGGGTTCACCATTCTTTCCTCCAATCGTCGTAGAAATTATGTGGCCAGTAAGTGGATTGTTTCCCTCGACGACTGATGCTTTCTATAGCAAAAAAATTCACCCTAACCATTAGCCTCCTTGGGTAAAATTCCAGAGAAATAAACATAATCCAATAGGAACAAATACATTAGGAGTTATAAAAATATAGATCTGGCAAAAGGATCAAAATATGAAAAAATACAGACAGTTTTGAAGCATTTCTGCAACATCAAAGGCCAATTCGATAAGAGTGCAAAATGATCCATATAGGCATGGAATGGAGAAAAATAAAGCATTGAAAGAATGAATCAATTGCTCTCAAGTTTGAAAAGGAGACCAAGGAGCTACAAAGAGTTAATGAGGCTGATCAAGTACGATGTCACCACTCTGACTGAGCAAATCTGAGAATTCTACAGCAATTAAACAAAAATAGCTCATACAATAACTCCACGGAAATCGTGCCACTTAACATAACCATCATCTTTATACTAGTAGACGCCCCTAGAAGAGAAATGGCGCAGAACAAAACGAAGCAATATCTGAAAGTGCATATGAAGGATGACATCAGTGCGACATGTCAGATGAAACAACAGAAGGTTTGGGGGTGAAAAGTCAAAGGAGGCAAAAGAAAGGGAAAGACATGACAAATCCTAGATGAAAACGAGGGAGAGAGTATGGCGCTGGAAAATGAAGAATCAAATTAGGGGAATGAGTTGTCCAGGGATCATTGGCAAGATGATCCGTAATTTAAAAGAGCTAAAAAAAAGAACAAAAACAGAAGGCAATAGAAGTAGAAAAGACGCATGCGTCTCATGGACTCTCCTGTGGTTCTGAGGTGTCGCAGAAAAGCATCAGAAGAAATCAGAATCCCCCAAATCCGACGAGATCAGCAAGACGAACCCAGATAAAGACGCTGATGATTCCCGTGGAATGAGAAACTGGGAAGATGGAAAACACGTAGGGATCTTCTTGCAGTGAACTCAAAAAAACAAAAAGAGCTCATAAGAGACTAAATACACCAAAACAAGAAAAAGAGTCAGGGAAGAAACGCGGACCGTCATTTTCTCGTTGCCCATCTCCGATCGCGGAGGAGGGATCTTCACTGAGGCCTCATTCTGAAGCTGTTGCTGCTGACGAAGTTGATGGTGCTGGTGCTGCTGTATCGCCTCCGGCTGTAGGTTCGGCGGCTGCTCTGGCAGATGATGGGTCCCCAGCGGCAACGAGGCCATGTTGAAACTGCACGACCCCTTCACCTCTTTTCACACTCCTTTCTCTCTCTCTGCTGCATTCATCAACCATCCATCAACAACAAGGACGAGGAAACGATGTACGAACAAAATTTCGCAATGCAATTCATCCGATCTACTCCACAAATTTCAAACAAGAAGGAACGAGAACATACTCGAAGGCAGAAAACCAACGGTTAGGGGTTCCCGGAGGTTCCCGGAAGCACGACCAGGCGATTCCGAGGTTGCCACGAACCCGACGACCCCCGCAAAAATGGAAACCAACGTAAATCTCTCTATCTGGACAACCGCATCACTGCCCGAGCTCGACCCCCCCAACCCCGGCCAAATGCCTCTACTGGAGAGCTACCGTTGACTTCCCAGTGGCACTCCCGTCTTCCTCCGCCATCTCCGGCGAAGGCTCCTATCCGATCCAAGCGGCCGCCGGCGAGACGGGCGCCGCCGGCTTCTATCGGCTTCTCCACCTCACTGGTCTCTCTAAATTCTCCCCCTCCGTACGGTCTCCTTTCTAAAAAACCGAAAACCACATGAATAGCCTAAATTACCCCCATTCAGCTGTTCAAACAGTCGGAGACAGCTCAGGGTAGTTTCGCCCAAAAAAAGTAGGAGGTCTTCGCCGTGGTCGTCTGCGGACGCCAATAGATGGCGGAAGGAATCTGTGTACGATGTATATCAGTGTGCATCAGTTACGTGCGCATCAGTTTACTGCTAGACTCCAAAACATTGTCATGGAATGATATGGGCATATTGTTGAAGCGTATGAGCTGATCTCATGTACCTGAAGTTTGTGACAACGTAACTACGTCGTGCGTATCATATAGTACGTTTATATCTTGCTTTGTCGGCACCTTGCTTTTCTGATGCATGCTCTGCCGGCGGTCTACCTACCTCCTGTAACTTGACGGTCCTTGTCGGGTCTCTCTCTCGCTCTCGATCACAACCGTCCAATGAACTAAGAGACGACAATGGGTGGTGATGATGGGACGAGGGAATCGGTAGCCCTGCTCAATGATTGGCCAGACCCTCGACGTGAATCGGATTTATGGAAGATGGGCCAGTCGGACGGGTCTGTCACGGACCTTCATCAGATTGAAAGCCCGAAAATCCGAACTCCGAGTCGTATCAGATGAATCTTGGGTCGGGGTTATCTTGCCGTCTCTACGCACTGTTATGCCACGGAGTGAGAGAGAGAGAGAGAGAGAGAGAGAGAGAGAGAGAGAGAGAGAGAGAGAGAGAGAGAGAGAGAGAGAGATGATTGCTACAACCATGATGGGGACTCGGCCATTTTCTTTTACTTGATTTGATTAGTTGTGTTGGACTAGATAGGCTCAAGTTACATTGATAAAGCCTTTAGTCTTAATGCAATCTCATGTAAATACTATATATTAGCTAAACAATGCTATTTTTCTTTGTACTTGTTTATTTGATGAACAACTCAAGGACAATTATATGTTTTGAGAGTCTAACAAAGGAATCAAGAAAAGGGGTAGATTAGTCTTCTAAGAACTTACATTTTTGGCTCATATACTTCATCACCTTAGTCTACGTCAATCCAAGCTTTACAATGAGAACTAATGGTTTGTTGTAGTTTTAGACATTGCACCTACTTTGCCAACTAAAAAACATATTCATAGGTCCTACTAAGCCTAGTTAGTAAAATTTATGAACATCAATAATTTAACTATCATTCACCAGATTTACAGTTCCAATGAACTGATGGTTTGTAAAATGTTTAGGCATTGATTTTTGACTATAGAAGACCAAAGCATATGAGAAAACCATCGAGTTCCTTTTAGATTTAACAAAGATAGGTCAACCCAAGTATGCAAGATTCACAAATTTGTATATTGTAGGATAGAAAAAAATGAGTTACTATAAATTTGATGTGCTGCACATTCAATATAGAATATGGGATGAGCGATGGTGAAGCTTTTTTCCTGCAACAGCTTTCAATATTTCAGAATGATATAAAAACATAATTTATAGTGTGCAACACGTTCAATTTTAGAAAGGTTAACCTTTTTATAAGACAATATTTTCATTTAGTCGTATGCTTGTAATGCTGAAAAATTACTTTAAAGAATTATCACCATGGCTGTTGACAGTGTTAAAAGATTTACCATTTTGTCTTTTCTACATTTTGTCATTTAGTGACACATGTTCGTCTTCTTTAAGTCAATTGAGTCAACTCATTTCTTATAATGAAGTGAAAACACAACCTTCATAAGCAATAAATCTTAATGGTAAGAATAAGATGCTGTCAACCGATTAAATATCTAATATTTATATTAGTAATGTAAAACAATGTTGTACTTTTTTCATCATGATTGTAACTTTTTTTGACAATGTGAGTATAACTAGTCAACTCTCTTCTTGAAAATAGAAAGGTACGTATGAGATCTTGAAATTAGACTTAACATCATCTAAGACTTTGAAAAGGGTTATCAAAATATTTTGTGAATATTAGATACACATTCACCATAAATTAGATAACGTAAATTATTACTTTGTTGTTGTATTTATTTTTTAATATGAAAAATAAAAGGCTTCAAAAGCATACAATTATCTTGACTTATTCATTGGACATAGAGCTAAGTTGACATTGCTAATCTATATATTACAATGAAAGCTTTATATCACAATTTCAAAGAACTTGCAAAGTATGTTCGATTATCATACGTGGCTGTTGTTGGCTTTTGGAGCCTTTACAGTCTGATATTAACAACTAAATACAAGGGTTTTACTACTAAAAATTATGCTGAGAGTTTACAAAAGTTTACAACCCTTAGAAAAGGTCATATGCTTTTAAGGCTAATTGCATGACATATTGTCTTTTGTTATATTTTTCTAGAAGTGAGTCAATTGATTAGTTAGTTATATAAGTTTTACACTCATAGTAAGGAAGCCATAACTTTATATTTTTTAAGATTACATTCTAAATTTATGTCAAAATTCCTTGCACTCAATATGCAAGGCTTCTTTATTGATTTTTTATAGGAACTGAGTTGGTTCACTTGATATGAGAAATGACCAAACTATTATTATAGGAGTGAGTTGATTTATCTTATTTAAAGAAGGCTTAACACTTCAATGGTGAAGTAAGTGAGTTGACTCATTTAATAGGAAAAAAATCAAGTAAAGTATGATAAGATAACTCAAAGAAGAAAGCTGAGTCATGTAGTAAGAGTATGTAACAACTATTTAGAAAAGTGCACACAAGAGTAAAATAGTCATTATATATCTAAAAATATTTAAATATATATTTGATTATGATTTCAATAATCTAATTAAATCTTATGAAGGTCCTTCATCTTTTTAAACTCTTTGACTGTAAGGTCTTCTATTTTGTACCTGTAGGAAGTGAGTAGACTAACAAGTGGAGTCATATTAGGATAATGTAGGTGGGTTGTGGCACTAGATGAGAAAATAAGAATGAGGAAGCTGATATATTACCTATAAGTACTAATTGTAGTGTGTGAGTATTATGGTGATCCTTTCTTAATACTTTTTAATATAAAAAATATTATAAAGAGACAAAAAACACCCAACTATAGCTAAAATAAAATGATTTAATACTCATATAAGTTTTGTATATAACTCAAGTTGAAATGATTTTTTTGCACTCAAAAGTGCAAAATATTCTTTAGAAATCAGCCACTTGATAACTTGAAATGGTTTTATGTAGTGTTGCATATTATGATAGGCCATTAGGTAAACACTTAGATTGTCTACAGTCATTAAATTAAGAAGTGGCTAGTGGTAGCCTTTTGTCTTCATTCTTCATACTAACTAGAGGCCATTAGAGAGTAAAATAGCTAGTGTATAAACCACTATAAATTTTAGCTCTAATAGTTTGATGGGAAACAATAAGTTAAACATGATCTTCAAAAAAACAATTTACACCTTTTTTGTTCCTCTTATAGATTCCTTAAAACCAACAACTATGGCCTTTTACATTGACAAACTAAAACGTCATATTATTTTTTTTTGAGTTACTTCATCTTCCAAAATGATCAAAAATTTCTAAAGTATTCTCAAAATTACCTAAAAACGTCATAATTTTTTTTTTGCACAACTTTTGAAAGTAATATATATATTTAAAATTTTTCTTTCCACTTTGCAAAAATTAAAGTTTTTGCACTTTTTTAGTGTTGGCATATATTTGTAATCTTTGTGATATTTTTGGGTAATATTCAATGAAAATTCTTATTTTTTATTGCTATCTAATTGGTATTCTCATAATAAACCTTGGAACTCAACATCATTTCTTACTAAAGGGTAGAAACAATTATTTTACAATATTATATTGTTGTCAAAAAAATACTAATTTGAATTTTATTTTTTACCACATTATTTGAGACAAGTAGTTCATAGTTTCACATCTAAAATTATGTGAACTTTTTATTAGATAGAAAACTTTATTATGTTGAGTTCAGTGTGACAGTAAATATATTTTATTCTCACTTTTAGTGATAGTAAACATAGAGATTTTATATTGGTTCACCTTTCCTTGAGCTATGTCTAGTATTGGAGGATACTTATTTTAGATTATTATTATTTTTTAATATAAATACAACTAATTTCATAGGCTTAGATCTTTCAATATAACAACTCGATCTTCATAGAGATCTCACCCCTCAAAGATAGATCTTAACTCACAACACCACATGTTTAAGTTAATGTATAATTTTTCTAAAAGAACAACACCTTTTATACGTAGAATCCAACTCTCAACATCTCATGCCTCAGCCTTAATTTTTTTTCACTCACTATGCAAGTTACATGATGGAGAAAGATAACTTTCAATATAATTATTTGATTCATATGTTATCATAGTTGATCGAGTATAATGAAGCTTTAATTCCTTCTTTAAAACATGTGGTTACTTTGTTGTAGATGATTAAGTAGGATTTATTCTCTTACTATGTGAGTGATGTGGATAAAGATTTTTTTGCTCAACATTAACTTTGTCTATTCTCAAC